GGGTTATCCAACTTCGATACCGGGGTTGGACATGGGACGGTGGGAAAAACTTGGGGAATCCACCACGTGAATGGACGGACAATTACTTGAAAACGGAAGGACAAGGGCTGCTTGGCCTAGTGCGTGAACCGGATTTTCAATTGAAGGATGTTTTACCTTTTTGGCAGGATGATGGCTGGTTTTGGCACAAAGTGCGCTATCATCAGTAGTGGCTAACTTAACTTAGAAGTGAACGTCAGTTAGCGAGGGCAGTCATGGAGTAATAGACTAGAGCCTAGCTTCACTGATGATACAAGGTAAAACACAACCTGGTAACCTGATGCTTTGCTTAGAAAGGAATTGAAAACTTTGCTGTACTGACGGCTTTTGACGTGATGCTTCCTCATGACTCCACATAATTTGTGCAAACAGTTATGGGAAGCTTGAATTGGTGCAAACCGTTGCCGGACGGTTAGTCACCTACCTATGCCAGTTGACCTCGTCCGGGCGAAAAACAAAAATAAACAGGTCTCTGTGTTGAGCTGCCAGTGGACATCCCCATGGTGATCTTGATGTATTTCAGATTTTTTAGTATTATAATACTATTATATTCATCAGTCTCACTTCTCAACCGTTGGAACTTCATTTTACAATATAATAAATTAAATTACAGTACTGCGGTCTTGGATGTCCAGCCCAAAAAATGCTTACAGTAATACTTTCCAACGGTTGAGACATTGAACAAATGTTGGTTCCTCAAAGCTCACTCTTCGTGTACATTTGTTTTTCTGGCTGTTGCTTTGGAGCCCCAAGAGACATCAAAGAAAGTATTGAGGCCTTGTGCAGTGGGTCCTATACCCATTGTTTTTTCCCAGTGTTTGAGTAGGGAGCCATGGATAAAACACCGGAGACTCCTTCCCATCATCTAGTGAAGGCTGCTAGGCAATTGTTTCGGACTGATTCCAGTGGTGCAGAGACAACATCCGGGAGAAGCAGCGTTGCTGAAAGCGATTTGGAGGCTTTACGGAAGTTTCTAACTTGCACAGAAAAAGCCTGAGGAATATCAAGTTAAGGGCAAGGGTAATAAAAATGAATATTTTTTGTTAGTCTTTGTAATGAATTTTTATCCGGACTCTTGACCAGGTTGAAAGTTTCTTCACCAGCAGCCAGCAAAGCGGCAACCACTCCCACCACTCCACCACCTCGTATGCGTGTTCATGCTGATCCTACACCTCCAGGTGCTCCAGTCAAAAGGAAGGCTACATTTCACTCGGTCCTCTTGTTTTTTGTTTGCAATGAGTTGTATAAATTTTAAAAAACCCACACTGCAACTTTTTGGTTCAAATACTGCCATGACACTTCAGTTCAACAAAAGACTAAGACTCACTGACATTTTAATGGTTCGATTATTTTTTAATGGCATCTTCGCCAAGCACGCTGCCCGTCCCATCATTAGAGGATGTTTGGAATGGAAAAACCTCACTCAGTGAGTACACAGAGTCGCAGGAAAGAAAGGATCAATCCGAGGTGTTAGAAAGTGACACTCAGGTCAGCAAAAAACGAACCAACCAACCAAAGTGGTAGAAACACAAGGTGAGGCTGAGCATACATATGAAAAGCATACTGACACAAACATGGGAGCGAAAGACGGACAAGTTTTACCCCCAGGAAGATTGCCAATTGGGACTTTGCCCCAGCCAAAGCCAATAAAAGAAAAGCCCCCGATCCCTCTGAAGCCAGGCCCTCTGGGCAGCGGATCACAAAAGTGACTTGAGAGATTTGTTTGATTTTGTGCGTAAGAGGGTAGACATCTGTGTGGCCTAAAGTTTCATTGCTCCAATCTCTCAAGTCACTGTTGAAAAAGACATGTCATCAGCTAGACATTTACAGCACCAATCTCATTCAATTGTTCATATCACAAGCAAGACAATCAACATCTCGCTTGCTGCTGTGGTGGTAGCTGTACCCCATGACAATGACAATGATACTTACACAGAGCAGCTCTACTCAAACTATTTGATGTTTAGTGATTGTGTTTTTATTTTTTGTTCTGCTTCCCAAAGACTTTTTTCTCGCACTAGATATTGTCAAAGTAATTTTTCACCGAATACCAAGGAAACCTGCAGCATCGGGGCATACTGATGGTGGTGGGGAACGCTCAAGCCCTGTGATCCCTGAGACTGAGAACCTGAAAATGAAAACCTTTTCCAATCTCCCGCCCAGCATTGATGATGATGACTATCCACAGACGCCAGAGTAACCTGGCTATTACAATTATTTATGAGTCATGCTGTTTACTGTGGATTGTTGTTCTCACACTCGTGGGCCTTTCTTTTGTGGTGGTTTTAGCATGTGGTCCCAAAGTCCGGCATCGCCTAAGGATGAAGAAAAGATTTGTGCAGGCAGCGCTCGATATGAATCAGAATGTGAGTGAGGGTTCTCGCATCGATTCAGTAGAACAGCTGATGGAGCAAAAAATTGTAAAGCCCAGGGAAGTCCATCGCATGACTTTGTCTGACCTTAAGCGGTTGAGGAATGTCAAGAAGGCTACTTTGAAGAAGTAGCAGGGTAGACAGCTTATGCCCTGGTCTGTGCGCCAAGAAGATAGTATATATATATATTCCTTTAAGGAAGAAACCCAAACTTTGGTTGCATGCTTTTACTTCGACAAAAAAAGGTTCGTACTACAATTTGGTTACCTGGTTCAAAGGGTTGAATCGCACATCAAGTGACCTCTGGGCAAGTGGGCGTTCAAGCGGATGAAACGGTCCTTTCTTATCATGGCCCGGCACACAAAGTGCATTTACTACGTTTACCATACACTACATTGCTGCCTCAGACAAAAAGGAGGAACCGTCTCGACTGCTGTTGTTGAGGTCCAGTCAAGCCCCAATGTTTTTTTGGCGTTAGTGATCTTTAAGGGTCCTGGGGGAGTCCTGGGGGGTGTTGCGCAAACAGTCATCAGCGGACCAAATTTAATATCAGTTACAACATCTCTATATTATTATAACATTGCAAAATTTTGGACCTACAACTGAAATGTCAATATACAGCAGGTTTTGCACATATCGAATTCTGGAAGCTCTGTGTTACCTTTAGATTTTAGGGCCCTGCTACCCACGCACCCTGTCGAAGAGGTGCAGCATTACATCATCTTGTGCCAACGCCGTCCTTAGGTCTCTGAGCACTATGCCATCCTACAACCATCTGAATCAGCACAGGCCGCCAGGTGCGTCTTTTCCAAAGAATGACATGGGTCAGAGTTTCTTTTAGACTGTGTGAAAGAGTGTCATGATCTAATTGATGCGTTCTCTTCCAGATCTTTTTCAAACAACTCAAGGTTTCAGATTGTGGTTGCTATTAACGGGACATTTCATTACAGAATTCAATTTGATACCTGGTATCTGACAACGGCAGTGACTGCGAATTTTTGAATCATACCACACCACCCTCACTGTGTCACTGCAGTACTCACGATAAGCCTTAACTCTTTGCAGGAAAATGGAGAAGAAGATGAGCAACGCAATGTACGAGCCAAGACTGCAATCTACTGCTTCGGGCTGCAGCTTTTGTAGTTTTTAACATACCGTGAGGGTCTCTAGATTCTTAGATGTTTTAAAGCCAAGGGAAGTGAAACTGATGTATCTGTGAAACCGCCTCTGGAGAGTGAGTTGGTGAGTGGAAAGACAAGGAGAAATAGACAAACTGACAAACTGGGTTTCATCTCTACTACGGGAGCTCTACAACGATATATACCTTTTTTTTACCTCCAGCTGATTCAGGCACACACAGACCTGAACACTTGCCACAAGTGCCAGGTAGAATGTCAAACCAACTTTAGCCAGCAGAAAACATGTCAGAATGGATGCCATCTATTCAAAAGACGATTTTATAATTACTAATGCACAAATCTATAGCTAAATTCAGACTCAGAGTTGGGTTGCCACTGCCATCTAATAGTATAATAGTATAACCCCCAAATTGCGTCTGAAACCTTGAAAATCTGCCCCCTACATTAGATCAGATTGGTGTTTTTCTTTGCCCCCCGTACCACGTTTCAAGGTTTCAGAAGTTTACTAGGGATACATGGCAGTGGGTAACCCTTTCAGGGTTGATGATGGTGATGATGGTGATGATGATGATGGTGGTGATGATGATGATGATGGTTCTGATGATGAAGATAGTGAGGATGATGACGATGATGATGACGATGAAGATGATGATGATGATGATGATGATGATGATGATGAATGTGATGATGATGATGATGATGATGAATGTGACGATGATGAGGATGATGACGATGATGATGTGGATGAGGATGATGATGGTGATGATGATGATGTGGATGAGGATGTGGATGATGATGATGATGGTGATGATGATGATGATGATGATGATGTGGATGATGATGATGATGATGATGATTGTGAGGATGATGATGATGATGATAAGGAGGAGGAAGATAATGATGATGATGATGATGAATGTGACGATGATGATGATGATGCTTGTGAGGATGATGATGAGGATGATGGCGATGATGATGATGAATGTGACGGTGAAGATGATGATGATGATGATGATGATGATGATGATGATGATGAGGATGATGGTGTGGATGATGATGATGATGGTGACGATGATGATGATGATGATGATGACGATGATGGTGATGCTGATGCTGATGCTGATGATGATGATGATGATGATGGTGTTCAGAGTGATTTGTCAGGGTGGATCTCCTGGGTGGGTATCACTCAAAAAAATGCTGTATCGCTTCAAAGCGCATATCAATACTTTTGCCATATGTCATTTTCTGTCGGACATCAGCTTTCAAGGTTGCAACTTTTCATCAGAGCATGATATGTGATATTTGTATTTCTAATGCATGTATATATGATTCCATTGTTCAACAAATGCGTCATTTTAATCAGGATAAACTAACATCGCTTCAGTCAGTGAGTTTCATTGTCGCTGCTACCAAAGCTGGTGGTTGGTTCCTGAATGTGGCTAAGGTGATGGCTCTCGGATTGCACTGCTCATTCCATGCGCTTACTGGCCGTGGCCTGGAGCAGTTCGTTCCCAAGAATTCTGGTCCAGAACGAGAATCACTTGGAAGGGCTTCAGTCACCGGGTTTGACTTACCTCCATGGGATGAGAGGCCCTGTGCGAAATCTTGCCACGATGAGGAGGCAGCAGGCTTCAAGATGATGAATTTCTTAGCTGGGCCTTGCCAGTTAAGATGCTACCCAGAGCCCGAAGGAAGCCACCCGCAGTGGAACGATTACCTTCGAAGTGTGGACCAGGCAGGACTGAAGCCTGTGCTTCTGAAAGCAACACTTCTTTGCAATTGGACCAGAGGACCTTTCTCAAAAGGCACTCACCAGACCCGACTTTCTGATGCTGCTACTGACTTGATGAATCGAAAAGGGCACGATGATGAATTCATGAATGTGCTCACTGAAATGACGGCGGTGGATCGTGGATTTAGCCCAGATTCCGATTTTCGCCTTACACCAGATGAATGGCTTCGCGTTTGCAGCAAGCGCATTCCCAAGGCACGAGGAAAAGCTTGGTTCGGCATAGCCGAATCATTTTCCCAGCTTGAAAGGAGCTGGTCCATTCTGTCGGAAACAGTCCGCCACATCAAGACCTTGCATGCCCTTTTGAAAGCAACTTGGCATCCATGGTTGCAGGGGCAGCAACGTTTTGAAAGATGTTCAATGTTGATTTGCATCCTTGCATGTTTGGTTCTCACACGAGCCCCAATATTATTACTTTTGCTTTCTAATCTAGGACCTCAGTGCAGCTGACGCCGATGACGACGCAATGATTCCTGCCCCAGCTCCTGCTCCTCCACCCGATCCTGACGATGCACGGGAGCTCTCAGCCACACAGCAGCCTGTTTGACAATCCTTGGGCCCTGGGGTTTGGAGAAACAGCTTTTGCTTCTCACATTGAACCGGTGGCCAAACTTTTTTGGAAACAGTTTTGATTGTCACACCAAACGTAAAATCGGGTGTCAAATGATTGATTTGGTACCTTGGCAGGAAAGCCTTCAACGCCTTGAGGAGCAGGTACAAATCGACATATGATTTTGTGATTGCTCTGTATGGAGAGCCTCGTCTCCAACTTCAGGTGAGGATGATGATTGACGCCACCCTTGATCTTCACGAAGAATACAGTGCACACTTGGAAGCGCAAAAGGAAGGGACTCATGGAATGCTACGATGGTGTGCAGAGCGAGCCTGTGGGAACTGGTATCAGACCATTGTCAAAATGATCAATCGAATGACGGGGCCAGACACTGCTGAGCGGCTGAAGATGACAACACCTTCACCTTTCAGAGTTTTCCAGCCCGATGATCCTGTGCTCGAGGAGGAATCGAAGCTGGCCAAGCAGTACGTCAAGCTGGTGATGACGCTGGCAGCAAACCGGGCTTGGTCACAAGTCCATTTTGGGCTGGTCTTTCCCTACTGCTTAGCCCGAATCATGTCTCCAAATCAGGACGACAAGAGGAGGGCACAGGTCCTACTCAGGAGCCTCACCGATGCGATCTTGAAGCTGGAAGATAGAACAAAAGTTGCCCATCAGAAGTCGCCTCTTCATCGTTTGCTGTGCGACCTTGGAACTACAGAATGGGTGGTCACCCGTGAAATCTTTGTGCAAGGGATCCGGGTGGACTGGTGTTACAATGATGTGGAACTTCGCAAGATGGCTTTTTCGTTGTCTGCAGGTCCCTCCACAACGAAGTATTGCTTGGAGAATGTCATCAGCACCGTGAAAGATTGCGGACAACGCGTCAAAAAAAACACGAGGAACATGTCCATGCATACGAAGTGGATGTATGCAGGGACATCGCACTATGCACCAGCTGGTGGTGTCGAGCAACTCCAGGTTGACAGAGACGACCTGCTCAAGACTTGTCTTCAAAAAGGGGTGGAGCAAAAATTTGTTCAGGGCAAGTGGTTGGCCGAGGCCAAGGCAAGTTTCAAAGATGTTTTCCCCACGCCAGAAGACATTCTGCATGAGACCAGGAAGGCAGGCTACCTTGCAAACAAGCGAGCTGCCTCTGCTGCGGCCTTCGTTTTGCATGACTCACGCAATGATTTTTCCAATGTCAGCAAGGCATGGACAGGACTGGTGTGACCAAAGTTTCGTGGTTGCCCTTGCAGCTTTCAGTTTCCAACGCTAGTTAGTTTTTGTTGTCAGTTCCTCCATTTTGTAGTTCAGGATGTCTTCTCATGGCACGCGAGTTCTATTATCAGGGTCCTCCGAACGAGAAAGTGATCTACTCACTTGGCTTCAAAGATTGGATGGTGCAAGCACTTCCTGTCACTCAGTACAGAGTGGGTGGCCAGGCCATGGTTGAGAATGTTACCCTTTTTTGTTTGAACAAAATTGCCATTGCCTACACTGCTAGGCTATGAGAATGCAAAGCAATCAATGGCCTTGAACTGTTTTGAGTTTCGAGCACATATTTAAGCTAATGTCCACTTTTTCCGGACAATTCCCATTATGCCATTGCGCTCCATTCCCCCTGTGTTTCCCTTGCCCTGCAGTTCTACTTTGAGCTTTCTCCAGAACAAGTTCAGTCACCCACTTGGGTTCTCAACATCGCTGTTGGTGAAGATTGCCCCTGGCACCATATCCCTACTCAAGTGCTCCCTCCGGCATGTGTACCTCTGCCACTTCGCGATGAACACAGAACCCTGGTCACTTGCCATACGAAGTTTCACAATACAATAATACAATTGACTACTCAATACATCATTGATCGTGATGGGCTTCCTTTTTTAAATGTGTTTCGCAGACAGCTTTGGCTTCTCTTAGAAGCGGTTGGGCAGCTCAGGTGTTTGTCCAGAGCGGACCCCGTGAACGTGCTTTGACAGCTTCACTTTTGGCAGGGTACTTTTTCACACAGTCCGAAATTACTCAGATCATGAGTGCTGTAGGCATTCTGCGCCCTTCTGCTGGTTCGGGGAAAAACGGGTCTGTCCTGAAGAAGGATCTAGTTAGAGCTTTGGTCAAGCATATTCTCCGTGACAGGAATGATCTCACAGACGAGCAAATTCAAGAAATCATTGACAAGATTTCGGGGGATTCCAAGCGAAAAAAAACGAAGAAGCAACGCCCGACTTGATGCAGGCAGTTAGCTGTTTGGACCCCCAAGATCAAGCAGAGTTTGAACCATTGGTGAAAAGTTGCATTGACGAGTTGGAGGAGGAACACAAATCTGAAATGTCAAAGCGGAAACCGGCAGAGAAAGAAAAAGAGAAAGAAAAAAACCTGGAAGTTGACAATGACAAGCCTGAAAAAGGAGCTGATGATGAGGTTCCAAAAGACAAAGCGGAAGATTCAAAAAAACGAAAAACAATGGAACCAGACAAGTTGAAACCTTCCTTAGAGAAGGCAATGGAGACACCCTTGCCAGCACACCTCAGGAAAGCACCAGAGAACAAGCAACCTAGAGCCCAGCAAAAAGGCAGGAAACCTACACCGGATGCCTTGAAAAGGTTGCTTCCAGACATCGAACAGATGTATCTGTCATGGACTCCGGAGAACAGGATGGTGAGCGTTGACTTTCAAGGCTCCCTGCAGCCCAAAGAGTTTTACAATATGTTTTTTTTTTGACGTCACGGCTTTTTTCACTGAGGAGCAACCATCAACTTGAGGATAACCATCAATTTCTTCTGTTGAAGGTTTATTTTAGGTGCAGCAACCACTAACTTGGGGATATAACCACCAACATGTTTCGTTGATGTTGTAATTTTCAATTATTGACCCTGGGGACAAGCACCAACTTGTATATTAGTAGCATAGTTGTTTTCACGGACTTTTGATGTCTAATGTTTCGGATTGTCACAAGCCGAACTCCTGTAGGTTTGGCTGGGCAAGGAATTCAACGCACTAAGCAAAAGTCGTGGCCCCTTTTCCGCGGCATTGAGCCGAAGGTGGATGCTCTTGAGGTGATTTTCGAATTCATCAATCTAATCAGGAATACTAAATACAAAGAAGTGGTTTGGCAAAAGCCGAACCGTGCAACGCTTAAGGCGGCAGTGGAAGCTTTGCTCGCTCCAGAACCCTGACTAGTTAATATTCCGTAAGAAGTTAGCACAAAAATTGGACGCCAGTTTTAGCAAGACTTTTCAGATTTCAAAATTGATGCTTCAAGACCAAACATACAAACATTAATATTGCAATTTTGTTATTGGTACAGTGATTCAGTTCAGTGAGCAAAGCCAGGGAATCTAATAAAGGCTCCTGACGCAATCGCATGGCTGGCCAAAAAAAGTTTACATGTTCCTCGTGCTCAGAGTTGGGTTGCCACTGCCATCTAATAGTATAATAGTATAACCCCCAAATTGCGTCTGAAACCTTGAAAATCTGCCCCCTACATTAGATCAGATGGGTGTTTTTCTTTGCCCCCAGTACCACGTTTCAAGGTTTCAGAAGTTTACTAGGGATACATGGCAGTGGGTAACCCTTTGAGGGTTGGTGATGATGATGACGATGATGATGATGATGATGATGATGGTGACGATGATGATGATGATGATGGTTCTGATGATGAAGATAGTGAGGATGATGACGATGATGATGATGAAGATGATGATGATGATGATGAATGTGACAATGATGAGGATGATGACGATGATGATGTGGATGAGGATGATGATGGTGATGATGATGATGATGTGGATGAGGATGTGGATGATGATGATGATGAATGTGACGATGATGAGGATGATGACGATGATGATGTGGATGAGGATGATGATGGTGATGATGATGATGATGTGGATGAGGATGTGGATGATGATGATGATTGTGAGGATGATGATGTGGATGATGATGATGATGATGATGAATGTGACGATGATGAGGATGATGATGATAATGATGAGGAGGATAATGAGGATGATGATGATGATGAGGATGATGATGATGCTGATGATGATGATGATGATGACGGTAATGAGGATGATGGTGATGGTGATGGTGATGAGGAAGATAATGAGGATGATGATGGTGATGAGGATGATGATGATGATGAGGATGATGATGATGAGGATGAGGATGATGATGGTGATGATAATGATGAGGAAGATAATGAGGATGATGATGGTGATGATGATGATGAGGATGATGATGATGATGATGATGATGATGATGATGATGATGACGGTAATGAGGGTAATGAGGATGATGGTGATGGTGATGGTGATGATGATGGTGATGATGATGTTGATGATTTATGCCCAAATTTACATGTTAAAATTCCATCAACATGGCTCTCCCCAAAATTGACCCAAACCAGACCCAAACCAGACCCAAACTCATTTTGCATAGATGCATTGAACAAACGCTTTTTTGGGGGGGGGCTGTGGGGGGGGGGCACGAGCTTTCTATGATATTCTTATTTTTGGAAACATATAAACATAACTGTTGCAAACATCAAGTTTATTTTATGTAGAACATTTTCCAAAGCATGTATTGATTGAAATGTCACTCTAAATAATTTCCGTTGTGAAAAGAGCACTGTGTATTCTAATTGATTGAGCTGGATATGTGTCAGAAGGAAAATTGAATGACAACATGTCCAAAAACCATGCGGCATATCGTAACAAGTAAACCAGCAATGGAAAAGTGTGGGAAAATAGGCCGCATACCAATCCCAACTTTCAGTAGAAACAATGTTGTTTTCAATTAGAACAGCCTTAAAAACGCTCAGAGAATCCAATGTGAAAAGTGAGCAACCGATGAGATCCCTCGATCTGTTTGTCTACTGTCCATGCCCTGCTAAAGGATGCAAAGGATGCTTGTACCCAACCCAACCATAGAATTAGATGAAATTGAGAATATATACATATATATATATATGTGTATTTAATGTTACAATATGTATACATGTAATTATGTGTATATATACATATATATATATGTCTAGATTCTGTTGAAATACATTAGTTTCAATGTAATCCATAGCACAAACTTTCCAAAAACTTGGGCCTAAAAGAAAGAACGAATCGAGTTCAACTGCTATATAACAAGGTTTTTGCCACTTCCTTGTGCAGATTTCCTTAGCATATTAGGAATACAAGCCAAAAAGGGAGCTTGGAATATCCAATACGATCAGTGCAATCAGACAGCCCCCACAGACAATGCACACAATCACTGTGTTCAAATCAAGCATGTCTATGGTAGAGATGGTAGAGAATACCGTTGTATAATGTTGAGGTACGCAGTTGCCCTTCTTAGTTTGTATGCTAGCAAAATTTGAATGATACTGTCTATAGCAGCACCCATGCATAAATGCGCTGATCAAACACATGGTTCACAGTGAATGGAGGTTACCCTTGGCCAACGCAATTGCAATTCAAATATTGTCAAGGATGTCTGCATACAAGTGTGGCAAGGAGCAGACCTACAATACAAAGTCAAACGGGGCTCAGGTAAAAAATCAAAATGCATGCTAGATGTTTATTGGGAAAAGGCTGGAATATTACGTATGTTTAAACCAAAAATTGGCTTGGCTAAACTAGTATGGTGAAGGTGGTTATATATAGCTATCCTTGGAAATTATAGTTCTGATTGATGGCTGTAAAACATCAAAAGAAATGACCATTGCAATTTGCCATGCGTTGCCACAGATGAGACAAACAAAAGGGAGCTTGACTAAATTGTGTGAACTTTGAATGAGAGTACATTGGCCATACCAATGCTGAAGGTATATGATACTGTATATGTTGCAGATCTTTTTTTTGCATTGTTCAATTGTTGGCCAGGTCACCCTCATAAAAATCTGCATCCTCATGATAATGACCAGGGATGATTGGCTGGCACTTTCTGACAATGGACGGAAATGATGTAGGTCAGTTGTGTCGCCACAATGTTACAAACATCCTGAAAACAAAGATGTAATTCAAAATGATACCAATTTGTTGGTATGACTGACCTAGTTTATATACATAGAAAATGATACCGATTTGGTGCATTTTCCTAGTTTATATACATACTAATTTTCTCCCGAAAGACTACAGTATATATAATTATAATTAATTTGGTTTATGTATAATTAAATTAGATTTATGTATTGATTGTATAGATCTGTGTCTTACCTATGTCTATATGTATATATACACAGTATATATATATATATATATGTTTATTTATATATATATATGTGTCACTTCAGGTTCCTCACTTTTCAGGCTTCAGGTTCCGTTCCATCTGAGGATCATCGTCAGGATGGTTTGCTGTATTGCAGGATGACTTGATGAATGGTCCGCAACGAGTGCTACCAAAGCTGCCTGACATCCTCCCAAACTTTCTCACAGCTGACTCAGAGGGTTCCTGGGACTTAAGATTTGTTTTGGTCTTGAGACAAAAACGACCTAGACCCCCCAAACAAAGCAGCCTGGAAAAAACAGGGAACGTCGGGTGTATAATCTGCACATGTGTTTTTGATGAATTGAGGGTTTGGGTGGATATGGTGGGAAAAGATGCTCCAGAAATAAACAAGATGCAGCCCACGAACCCGAATGCTCACACGTATGTTAATGGTACAGATGTCGAAACATGGATATGCAGTCACGCAGAACACTTTTCTGCAATAGTTTATTTGAACGGTCTTGTACATATTTTCCCTGTTACCAGTCCCCAGTGTGGAGTGGAAAGTGTAGAGTGTGGAGTGTGGAGTGGGAAGTGTGGAGTGTGGAGTGTGGAGTGTAAAGAAAGGAGTGTGGATTGCAAAGTGTGGAGTGTAAAGTGTGGAGTGGGGAGTGTAGAGTGTAAAGTGTAGAGTGTAAAGTGTAGAGTGTGGAGTGTAAAGTGTGGAGTGTAAAGTGTGGAGTGTGGAGTGTAAAGTGTAAAGTGTGGAGTGTGGAGTGCAAAGTGTGGAGTGAGGAGTGTAAAATGTAAAGTGTGGAGTGTGGAGTGAAAAATCTAAAGTGTAAAGTGTAGAGTGTGGAGTGTGGAGTGTAAAGTGTAGAGTGTGGAGTGTGGAGTGGAAAGTGTAGAGTGTGGAGTATGGAGCGTAAAGTAAGGAGTGTGGAGTGTAAAGTGTGGAGTGTCCAGTGTGTAAAGTGTAGTGTGTAGAGTGTGGAGTGTAGACTGTAAAGTGTAGAGTGTAAAGTGTAGAGTGTGGAGTGTGGAGTGTAAAGTGTAGAGTGTGGAGTGTGAAGTGGAAAGTGTAGAGCGTGGAGTGTGGAGTGAGGAGTGTAAAGTAAGGAGTGTGGAGTGTAAAGTGTGGAGTGTGGAGTGAGGAGTGTGGAGTGTGGAGTGAGGAGCGTGGTGTGTGCAGAGTGTAGAGGAGTGAGGAAGGTAAAGTGTAAAGTGTGGAGTGTGGAGTGTGAAGTGTAGAGTGTGGAGTGTGGAGTGTGGAGTGTGGAGTGGAAAGTGTAGAGTGTGGAGTGCGGAGTGTAGAGTGTAAAGTGTAGAGTGTGGAGTGTGGAGCATAAAGTGTAGAGTGTGGAGTGTGAAGTGGAAAGTGTAGAGTGTGGAGTGTGGAGCGTAAAGTAAGGAGTGTGGAGTGTAAAGTGTGGAGTGTCCAGTGTGGAAAGTGTGGAGTGTGGAGTGCGGAGTGTAAAGTACGGCGTGTGGAGTGTAAAGTGTGGAGTGTGGAGTGTAAAGTGTAGAGTGTGGAGTGAGGAGTGTGGTTTGTGTGGAGTGTAAAGGAGTGAGGAGTGTAAAGTGTAAAGTGTGGAGTGTAAAGTGTAGAGTGTAAAGTGTAGAGCGTGGAGTGTGGAGAGTAAAGTGTTGAGAGTGGAGTGTAAAGTGTGGTGTGAGGAGTGTAACGTGTGGAGTGGGGAGTGTAGGGTGTGTAAAGTGTAGAGTGTGGAGTGTAAAGTGTAGAGTGTAAAGTGTAGAGTGTGGAGTGTGGAGTGTAACCAGAGACACTTTCGGCACGCTATCAAACAGGTTGGAATGTCGCAAAGTGCCACGTCTGCCACGCAAAACGACATGACAACCTGCTTGGACACATTCGAATAGGGGAGGTTTTCCAGCTTCCCCCATAGACACGGCGACGCCACCAGAAAACCGGAGACTCGAGACGAGACACGTGGATGCAGAAAAACCAGCATTTCGCACCAGACTTCCTCCAATTTTGACACTTCCGACACGTTACCAAACAAGTTGGAATGTCACAAAGTGCCACGCCTGCCACGCAAAACGACTTGACAACTTGCTTGGACACATTCGAAGAGGAGAGGTTTTCCAGCTTCCCCCATAGACACGGCGACGCCACCAGGAAACCGGAGACTCGAGACGAGACACGTGGATGCAGAAAAACCAGCATTTCGCACGAGACTTCCTCCAATTTTCACAGTTGGCAACATGACAAAAGGACAAGTTTTGCAGCTTCCGTGGGAGCACCAAAACGAGCATTTCGTGCGAGACTTCCTCCAATTTTCACACTTTGTAGCTTCAAAATCGACGTTTTCCTACGAGTTTTCCTTAGAACATGAAATGAAAATTTGCTACCTCAAAATCCATGTTTCGTGCGAAACTTCCGTCAATTTTCAGCACATCGCACAAAATGCCACGCTTGCCACGGAATTTGCACCTTGTCGCCACTTGACGCAGCCCTGCCAATGCGATTTGCAATAAACACGCAACACGACACGTCTAAAGTGTTGCGCCTGCCACGAAAAATGACGATGGACACGTCCAAAGTGCTGCGCCTGCCACGAAAAATGCAACACATCTTCTGAAAACGTCGCAAAAGTATTGCGCCTGCCACACAAAACGACTTTCGACACGTCTGAATGTCACGAAGTGCCACGCCTGCCACGCGAAACGAAGCAACGAAACGTTGGAAACCTCCAAAAATGACCCCTCCTGCAGAACTTACCATAGGCACGGCCATATAGCAATCACACGGACGGTTGCGAACGGTTGCGGACGGTTGCGGACGGTTGCGGACGGTTGCGACCGAGAACGCAACGTCGACCGAACACACCCTCAACCCCCAGACCACCAGAGTGAAACGGGAACCCTTGCTACGCATTCGGGAAAAAAACATATCTCAAAGCGGACCAACCTCGGATTTTTTAAAAAAGAAGATTATCTCCAATGGGGAGTCCATTGAACCACAGGTGTTCCAGTTGTCCAGGCTTTCCATCCCTTTCCTAATCAGCAACGCAGCCACTGGGAACTTTGATTTAGCTACTGGATTTATGAGTCTTTAGGTCCCATGGGGTTTATTACAGAAAAGGGGTGATTCCATCCCCATGACAAACACTACAAATGGGATGTTCTCTTACTACAAACCACCTCCAAGTATCTGGATCTGCTGAAGATATGTGTGTTTTTGGTAGTCTCATGTGTGAAACCACCATGTTTTCGGAATCAAATGAGAACATCCTTGACTTTCTATCGCCCTAATACCCAACTAACATAGACCCTGCCAGATAGGGCTTGCAAGCCTACCCGATGGGTGATTCTTAGGATTGAACTGTTACTTTGGAGGATGGTAACTAGGAGCACGGCCCCTGGCTGTGTGTTTTTTTGACGGGATGTTGTTGATGATATTGGATGTGTTCGTGCCAGTAGTATTTTGTGTTATCTCTGTGTAAAGGCAGTCAGCACCTTATTTACAGGCAGCAGAATGAGAAGAGCCATTTCGCCCACACGAAACCTCCATTTTTGTGCTTTCTTCACAGCCCCCGACTAATTGGTGCCCACAATTTTTCAGCCGTCTTTTGTTCACAGCAGCACTTCAAGTTCGTCCAAGAACCTTTTAGGATCTGAATTCTGCAAGCTTGATCGCCAACCCACACCCACAGCTTAGCATCTACTTCATGTGCAAGTTCACATGAAGGTGAAGTACATGCCCCACCCCACCCCCCACCCCTACAAAACACCTACGGCCGTCTATGGGCCGTGGTCCTATCTCCAGTGCTTAGGAGGGAGCTGTTCGGGGAGCCACGGAGCATCTCACCCCATTTCAGTTACAGGCCTTAACTGCTATAATTGGACATTTCCATTCCTGCAGCTAAGGTTATATATATATATATCACTTCAATGCGGTAACCCGGTAAGCCAAAGCCGCTTGTAATTGTGAGAAGGGCTGCAACGTGGGCCCCCCCAGTTATAAGTTGTAAACCCCTATAACGATAGTTATACATAGTTTGAGTGAGATGTTATAAGTATCATGAACCACAGTAAAATTGGAGTTATGTTCGCCAACTTGTCGCGATTTCGTGGCCACGCGGGCCCCACATTGAAACTGTCTAAAGCGGAGAACCAACTGTTCGGAAACCGGGAAACCGTCACTGTCTCCTCCAGGCACCACCGACACAGACCGAGCCGAAAGTTTGCCGCAGCCCGAGCAGCCCGGCTCGCAGCCCGTCGAAGTCACCAAGTACATCAGCGACAGACATGAGAATCTCGGTGTCATGGTGGTGCAGTTATGGCCGTGAACTGGCCAGTTTCACTCTCCCATGTTGGTGAAGTCACGAAGTCCAAATTTCTCCTCATGTTTGATGGTGAAATAACAGGTGAACTGGCCATGGGATGATACGTAACTCCTGCAACTAGTTGGTGAAGAATTTGACTCAAATGATGTTTTCTGAGCCAGTTCAAACTGTTAAGGGTTTTAACTGTACCCCAGTTTGTTTACTAGTTACCTCGGGTTTATGGTGATTGTAGGTATAAATGGGTTCTAGATCAATAAACACAATAATGGGCACCAGCCACACCACCTTTTTAGGTGTGTGGGTAGACCTGGAGACCTAGGGGCAGATGGGTTGTGGATGCATATGGAAAGATGGACGCACGGATGGATGGATGGGGAGGGCGGGCGGGAAGGTAGGTAAGCAGGCAGACAGGCAGGGAGGTATAGGTAGGTAGGTAAAGGATGAATAATTGCTGGTGAATGTTAAAAGGTTCATGAGCATCTTTTAAAAGAGATGCATTTGGCGTTTCACTCACAAGAACCGGTGCATTTCATGCATTCATGGCATTCATGCATGCAAATGCTGGTTTGCACTGACTGAATGATTTATGAACAATGGGTAAACCTGGGTAAATCTGTGGTTTTGATGATGGCTTCGTGAAAAAGGCCGGGAAGATTGGCATTACTCAGATGGAATCCATGGTGGGGTACCCTCCAGGTTACTCACATATATGGAAAATACTGAATGGTGGTTTGGAACCATGGAATTTTATGACTTTCCATATCTTGGGAATAAGAATCCCAACTGACGAAGTCATATTTTTGAGAGGGGTAGGTATACCACCAACCAGATAGGCTCGGGAAATATTGATAGTGGATGTTCATGGATTTTCCATATCGATGTAAGTTCGCCGGTGGAGGCTATGACCTGCGCCATGCCACTCTTAAAGGGCGTAACAAAAAAGTCAAAGCAGATCTGGATTCCCAGCATGGGAATGGCGCAACTAAGTCAGCCAATAGTTTATCGTCATGCTATCATGAAATTGACATAAACTATCATAAACTGACGATCTTGGGGTATACGCAATTTCTGGACAACCAAAAATTAAATGGCAGTGACAAACTGCGATGACACAGCTGTGGTAGTGTCAGCTGCCTCAACTTGTAAAATTTAGTTTCCTTGCCACAAGCTGCTGGGAAACCGTGGTGGCAAACTCCGAGTTTCATGGGAATGATATGGAATGATCCGTTTCTGGGAGATCCACGGATACCGGATTGCTGCCAAATCCTTGTTTGGGAAAGTGTTGGAATTTGTAGAGAATGCTGAAACCGAACCGAATATCTAGATCCTATTGGCTTGAGGTTTTATGAATGTGCCCATACTGTCAAATTTCTGGATGTTTTTGCTGGATCTTTGGCTTTATTCAGATTTATTCAGCGTCCGAACTCGCTGACCTGCTCACCCAAACGGGTTTCTTCTGAGGAAAGGTCGCTGTGACCCATGCGTGTTCTTCACCAGCGTTGGTTGTTCGAAGGGAGTGGGCTGCCCCTACTGCCCCTTGGAGAACTTGGAAACCGTTGGACCTGCGTAGTTGCTACTTGTTGGTTCGTCCCACTACGTTATTGGCCTAGTTATAAGGGGATTGACCCTATCCCAATATAATCTACTTGGTGGGATGAGCCACCGAGTAGATTTGGGAAATTGTTGGGGCAAATCTTTTTAAATTTTGGTCAATATTCCATGCATGTATCGCATTTGGGAATGTTTACACGCCTTGTGGATGTTTGGGGTTTTGAGAGGAGTATTGGAAGCCAAATGTGTGAAATCGGCATAGCTGAGGATCTTGCCATGTTCCAATGGCTGCAAAGTTGCAGAATTGGATGAATGAGATATGGGGGGTTCCATAGTCATGGGGGTACGCCTTTATCGCTGGATGGTTTATTTGCTGGAACATCCTACTAAAATGCATGATCTGGTGAATGAAACTCCTCAGGAAATTTGATGGAGGAACATGATTTCCTTTTAAAAAGGCTCAGTCCTTCAAAGAGAAAGACAAATTGTTCTAGCATATAAATTTCAGGTGTGCAACTGTTCTACTATATCCATTTTGGAGTTGTGATATAAATAAGATCCATGAAGATCCATCAGAATTTTCGATTTTTTGGTGCCCAATTCCATCAAATGTTACATTTACATGATTAAGCGATCGACATACTATAAATCTATAAGTTCGAATTCTTGTACTGTTAAATAATGTTAAATCCATTAAAAAAAGTACAAACTAATCAAATAATGTTAGTTCCATACTATAAAATCTATCAGTTTTGAGATCCATGAACATCATGACGGCATCACCGCATCGGCGCCACGGGCCCATGGGCCCACGGGCCCCAGGCCACTTTCCTCATGGCGAAGTGAAGTCGACGCATCGACCACGGAAACAAACACGCGACAAGTACAAGGTCACTGGTTGGTGGTTTGAGATATTTTGGGATTCAGATGGTTGTGATTTTTGAATTTGTTTGGATAATGATAATGATATGCTGCTTGGCGCTTTGGAAGGTGAATGGGAAAATGACTTTCCAGAAACAGTTGGGAAGTTCATCATCCCAAGTGACTTTAAGTCCATGATTTTTCAGAGGGATGACCAGGTCACTGTGGATTTAACCAACAGACATCAGCATGTTGATCCCTGAAGATGGGATAGATCATGGATGATAATGGGATATAACTTACCTGTAATTGTAATATATATATGCATAATAATAGCCATGTAGCTTATTTAATAATAGCCATATAGCCATATAGCCATATATATATATATGTATAATATAATATATATATATAGAGAGAGATGGGATATAACTTACATCGCCATAGAATTATTGGTTCCACATGGGATCCAGAGATTTCATGGCGATGTTACGAGGCGATGTTTTCCAATGATATTAGGAAGATATGTAGCCAATAATATGATATTTGGATAGGATATTGTTGGCTATTGATATTTGGATATATGTGGTGTGCCTGATGGGGAATCTGCTATAGAATGGAAGCTTCACTAGAAAAAATGCAAACCGCTTGGATAGGTCGGATAGATTAGTAAACTATGACGACGTCGCCACCCCGTCATTAGAAAGGAAGGTTCGTATGTGGGTAACTATCCCAAACCATCCCTGCTTCAGGTTGGTGAATTGTTGCTACATATCCAACTATACGTTGACAGATAATACAGTACATGTATATATATATATGTATGTATATATATAATATATATGTATATGTATACATACACATCGTGTCTGTAGATTTATCTACACTGAGAATGGGATGGTCACGCTGTGCCAGGCGGACCTACAAGACCTCCTGCTACAGCATGATGGAAGGCTAGAAGAGATCCACGCGGAACTCCAAGCAGACGCTCTACGCGGAACTGAGTACAGTTATGGCTCAATATAACAGTTGTAAGTACTAAGAAATCCCCATTTATACTATTTATATTATAGAATGTATAATTAATCCCATTGAGATAACCAATAGCCATTGGCCATAACCGTACAATTTATACCAGCAAAAACGTTTTTTAACCAGCAGCAATGTGGATTTCTGCAGCATTTCATGAAGTTTCTCTTGCATCAAATCAGGGTTTCATCAGGCATGGGTTGTGGGTCAAGTCTTAGCCCAAGATTTTTTTAATGGTGAATAATCAATGGGAATTTCAGGATCCTAAAATGGAGGTACTGTACCATATAAGCCCATATTTTGGAGGAATATTCCCTTACATAGGCCTTACATAGGCCTTATATATGGAAGGTACCTCCAATTTAGGTTCCTGGAATGGCCATTGAAATAATGGTGAATTCTAAACCTAGACATTCCTATGACTTGGTCCCCCAAGTCATGTTTTTTTTTGACCCATAAGCCACATGTGTTCAAAGAGAACACTGGCCACCGACCCATGATTTCGGCGAACAGCTGGGATGTTGATTCGGTGATTTCGGAATTTCTGGCGTTTTTTTTTCAGGAAAACACCCCAATAGAAAAGGCCAGTCCTACGAAATATAGTGATAGTGATAAACGACTTCCTAGTCCTACGAAATAGTGCTACTAATGACTTCAAAATCTGTGTGGTAATTACTCTATGGTGTAAATCGATTCATTTAGAAACGGCAAGATGGTAAGGCAGTTAGATAATCGATAGAAATAGATAGACAGATAGATAGATGGAAAGGGTGGATAATTGGATAGATTGATAGATAGCTAGTTAGATAGGTATATAGAGAGATAGGACGATAGGTAGATGCATATATAGAAAGGTAGGTAGACAGACAGGCCAATAGATGTACAGATAGACTGACGGATGGATCAATGGGATGTATGGTTCTATGGATAGGTAGATGGCAGGGCGGATGGATGCATATATGTATGTATATATATATATATATTATCATAAAGACATTTAGATAGATTCATAAATGTAGGCTGACAGATAGAGCAAGTAGAGAGGTTATGTTGTTAAGTAGGCAAGCAAGTAGATAGATGGATAGACTGATAGACACATGGATTGATAGAGAACTGGATAGATGGATTGACAATGGAAGGACAAATAGGCGGATGAATATACAGTTACTTTGGTATCTAGATAGATTATAGATAGGTCGAAAGATAGATATATATTGGCAGCTAGATAAATCGATAGATGCACAGATAGATAGGTATAGGTAGATGTATAGGTAGACGGATAAAGAGACACAATTTGCTAGTGACTCAAGCTGAGAACAGATGCGGGCCGTCTTGGAATCTAATGGTTGCTAGTTCTTGGTGGAAGTAATCCCAAGAATGGCTCACAACTCTGGTGGACTGTGCGCATGTTGACATTATCAGAGACTACATGGCATAACACACACACACTTACACACTATTACATCGACCCCTACCTTTCTCCATAGCGTTTTTTTTCCCAAAACCGAAGTTATCAAATTATGTGTTTATCGAATTTTTCGTTCCATGTTTGTCTCCGAGGAAGCACGAAAGAATCCCTACGTTCGGAAGTTGCTTCAAGGATACCTTGATGGACGAGAGCAGGACGAGGGCATGGTGGTGCCGCGGCCGTTGCCGAGCGCCGCAGTGCCCGGACCCGGACCCGGACCCGTTGGACCTGTCGGCCCTGTTGGACCTATGGGCATCAGAACCGTAACTGTAGGACCTTTGTCCACTGGAGCCTTGGTGGAGCAAGTTGGGGGGCTAAGGTCTAGGGAGATCGCTGTTGCTTTGGTGACGCTGAGATTTAAAGACCTTGCAACTTGCATAGCATTTGATATGTCACGGTCGCCCAATTTGAAGGGCCGCAGATCAGAACATCGCACCCAAGGTGTTCCTCCCCATGATAGATGGTTAAGCATGGTTAAGCATGGTTAAGCCCTTATTTGTCCTTGTTGGCAAATTCTTGGTGGTTCAGATTCGCAGATTCGTCCCTACATAAACTGTTATTATTGTGGGATGTTGTGGGTCAGCGAAATGTTGGGACTTGGTGCTACAATGTGGTGACCCCTATAGTTATGTATGTTGCTTTACAAACCCCTTTGACAATATTCACGATATATCCAGCATAAACCTTCCCGCGATTCAACGGCCCCTCAGCGCAGTTATGGTCCAAATGCACTTATACATGGGATTATTATAACCTCATAAAAAAGTGCTTTGTTTCACCAACTCGTTGCAGTCATTTCATCCCATTTTTTGGGGCCATAGGGGTTCCCCCTTCCAAGGACCAGATGTTGGTCCAATCTTCCAACAACGGTGGATTCCCCCTCCACCGCCAGCAGCCCCACGCCTTCCATCTGGCTTCGTCCCGAACCACGGCTCTGTGGCACCTCCAATACCATCATCATCCAGTGCCCCGGTTGTGACCGGTGGATTTGGTTTTGGGCCTTGGGAAAATGCTGATGAAGCTTTGGCCAGCTACGGATTTTCTAGGATTTTCTAGCCTCTTTTGAGAGAAGCCCGAAAACTTCTTGATGTTCAACAGTGCATCCCAAATGAGTTCGAAGGTTTAATTATACCCAAAAATATTGGAGATTCTTATTGTTAATTCCGTTTTGCCCCAGTTCTGGGGATCGAAAACGCCATTCGAAATAGCATTGTTGATTGGTTTATAGTGGGGATTATTTATAGTATATAGTGGAGCTCATTAGTGGTTTATATATACAATATATATATATATATTATCATATATATCATATATGTTGATTACTGTATACTAGCTATTCTAGTGGTGATTATGATAACTAGAAATGGGAAACATAGAAAAACCACAAATGAGATGGGTTCTCTGGGGGTATCTTTAATGGCTTAATTCGCCGTCGGTGATGTTTTCGTTTTTTCCAATAGCTGATTTCTCAAGTGACGTGGCTGGGAATCTTATGGGCATGAATCAACTACTTGGGGTAGCCTGACATATTTTCATATGCTGGTTGGTGGTTTGGAACATTTTTTATTTTCCATTTCATATATGGGATGTCATCCTTCCCATTGACTTAGTGACTAATCTTTTTCAAAATGGTTAAAACCACCAACCAGATTTTCATATGTCATGAAATGATAATTTGACTTGTTGATACAGGGATGATATGGGTGATATTGGCAACAAGCGGGAGCCAACTCAGATGTAAACATTCTGATCCATCGAAACCAGAGAATTTGGAACCCGGTCCTTAGGTTAGTATACGGACCAGCCCCACCATCATTGATCCCAGACGCGCCTAGTGGAGAGGATTTCCTGACCAATCCAGTCACCAGCTCACTTTCCAGTGGGAAGAAGCCAAGGAATCTGCATGGATTTGTGGGTATTTTATGGTATTTTACAATCGCTTAACAATCCCTCTTGGTGTTGATTGATGAGGTGAAGTTCTAGCTCTTGGTTTGGTGATGGAGCTAGAATAGATCATAGGAGGTATCAACATCCAACCAGTTTGGCCGGGCCTCATGGGATGTTGAGTTCAGAACTGTCCCCCATTTTCTGGAAATCCCGCAGCATCTTTCAGCAAGATCACCCATATGCGAAGCATGGTGCTGGAATATGAATCCCAACATAGAAACCCAAACAAATTAATCACCCAGTTTTGTAAGTTTTTATATACCAGCACCATGGTTCACATATGGGTCAAGGCGCTCTTGGACTACTTGTAAATCTCGGTGTCTGATGAACTGAAGCATCGCTGTCTTTCGATGATACTCGATGCTTTGAAGCGGGGTAGCACTGGCTGTTTTGGGTGTCAGCTCCTGTGAACAGTAATGCTACATGGCTATGGATCAAAATTGCTGGTAGTTACCAAATTGGATGATTTGATACTGAAAATTATAGGAATTGGGGGTCCATTGATAGCCCATGTTGCACCCACGGCTGAAGCATCGCGAGCTGTCTTTCGATGACGCTCGATTCTTTGAAAAAGGTTTGAAAAAGGCTGGCACTGGCTGTTTTGGGTGTCAGCTCCTGTGAACAGAAATGCTACATGGCTATGGATCAAAATTGCTGGTAGTTACCAAATTGGATGATTTGATACTGAAAATTATAGGAATTGCGGGTCCATTGATAGCCCACGTTGCACCCACGGCTGGCTAGGGCTCTTTGCAAGAGTCTTGTGCGCCATTTGTTCTTTTATGTGTGGGCTTTCATAACTGTTATATCCAGTATAGGTATGCAACATTATGCAACCACATCACATCTCATATGTTTTTTTGGAAAACAGGGTACAACACCCAAATCCCAATGATAGACACATTGGTCCAACAAGGTCACTTTACTTGGGCAAAAAGTTGGGCGTTCCGTTGCGGACCTAGTGAATGGTGAGATGTGTGCTTTCTATTCATAGGTGAACACCAAAGATTTCTTCATAGGAAGTGTCATGATTTGAGTCTTAAATGTTAGTTTGGAGATGTTAGGAGTACTTTCACCGCCCAGCATTTCCAGGACCAACTGGAGCCCTCTCAGCTGTAAAACTGCTTCTAAACCTATTCGATTGTAGTTATATCCGCCATACATCCTAGTCATCTAGTTCTCGTCTTTGCAAGCCAACTGACCCATGATAGAATCATGAACTATATAGTAATATATAATAATATCTTGTTTATTAATAATATATCAACCTCATTTTGTTCTTGGTGGAATCGTTGGAATCTCCGTTTTCCAACTTGTTTGAGGGTCAGCTGCGAGTATCCCCCCCCGCAGCTGACACAGGAGCAGACCAACCCGCATGTTTCTTAAATCAGCCTGCCAGGCACAAGATAGACGTGTAATTCTACTAGGCTGTTCCATGGTGACTTTGATATCCCACAGAAAATCATATGAGTAGATTTAGTTCAGAGATTCAGTACGAAAAACAATGTTATGACGGCCTATTATGTCTGTAAGATTTTTGGAAGCTCATATGTCACAATCATGTTAACATCAACTATATTTGCCATATTACATACTTATTTCAAGGAAATTATAGTCACCGATGGGGGTTCATCAGCTTGATGAACCTGACTTTTGATAAGGATCGGATGGGAACTGTCTGAACAATTTAGGGGAAACACCTCCAACTTTGATGTTTTATTGATGGTTTAAGCAATCTTGTAAGCACTATTTCGACTATTTCCGAGATCAAGATGAATGGTCTCCCCGTTTTCAGACAAGTTCTTGTTGTGTCATGTGTATGAGGAGAGGACGGGAGGCGCGACGAACTAGCGCGGCGGGTGCGAAAATGGAGTCCGGTTTGATCATCTGCCTGCGATGTGATTTTTCGATTCATGTGGGATTCTTTGCCACAACTGGTTGGTGGTTTGGAACATTTTTTATGACTTTCCATTCAGTTGGGAATGTCATCATCCCAACTGACTTTAAGTCCATCATTTTTCAGAGGGGTTGTTTTACCACCAACCAGAGAAATTTGGGGAGAATTTTCCCAAGCTTTTATGGTACAACATTTTGGGGGGATGATTTATTGGCACCACATTGGTAACCAATGGATGGGGACCTGTATGACTGGGTGAACCAACATGAGCGAGCCCTGAGTCGACCAGAGTAGAAACAAATCAAGATAGACATATCATGACATATATAGTGGTGTGTAAGTAGTTGGTTTATTAATGTTTACTACACACATATATATATATACACATGTGTGCATATGATTGTATGTGTATATGAACTGATTGTTTCACTGAATTGTGAATAAATGTCACTATTCCAAAATTCAAGACACAGCCTAACAAGGGCCATATTTTGTAGGCAAAAGATCTTCCGGACTCTATTTGTTTGATTCGATGTTATAATGTATATGTTATTATTATCTTCGAGGTGCAGCTCTATCAGATCCCAAGGCAGTAGCACTTCACCGTGGCTTCCTGTCCCAGACAATGTGGTAAACAAAGAAGTATACAGTCATGGCCATTAGCAGTTGTAAATGGAACTATAACTCCTATAAATAAGGTCTTATAATATATTTATATATACATATATCATTCTAAGTCCATTTAAACATGTTAAGGGCCATAACTGTAACATCATAGCTACGGAAGTTTCCAAAACCTGGTCTGACTGGGTATCAAGACCACCATACCCCCAGGAGATCACTATGGGGACTCGGGGATTCAATTTTCAGAGTGGGAATCATTATGAGCAATTTTTTGTAGGATATATATATATATATATATCAATGATACCATGATTCAATGAAAATTGACTTGGTCAACTTGTCCGGATTGGGAATGATTTCAATTTTTGCCACAGATTTTGATCACACAACTTTCGGATGTCGTCCGCCGGGCGGCGCAATGGATCTGTTTGCTCCTCCTGTGTGATAGGGGCACTGGCAGCGGGAAGCTTAGATGTTCCAACAGTTACGGCCCTTAACAGTCATGAATGGGTTTATAATGGTAGGAGTTATATTTTCATTTATAACATTTTATAGCTGTTAATGGCCATGACTGAACATATGCCGCCAAACCACTGGGTATCCTGAGCATCCAGAGTCCCAGTGGCAAATTGTAATTTTTTGGGCGTGCGACTAGTGGTACTAAGGGACAACAGATTTTTAGGATGATTTTGGCAATGTTTAGTAAGTGGCTATGTTATCTACGAATTTATCTTTGGATGGTCAAATTGACCATAACGTATTGTAAAGCATGTCTTTGAGCCCTTTTCAACTTAGCTGAATGTGGAGGAAAGCTGGATCCCAGACCGAGTCTTGATTCTGAATGTTAAATCAAGATCATGCTGTCATCAGCCTGGATACCCCCCCAAAAAATATCAGCCCAACTGTGTTTAATGTTGCTTTCCATCCTCCCTTTGGGTTTCCTGGGTCGAAAAAAGTCGAATGAGTGCTCTCAGATGAGCCACCAACCACATGCAGGTGTTCCAATTGTGCTCATGGTGTTTTTTGTAGCCATCCAAGCAAATCTGCATTTTTTTAAGATTCCAGTAATATTGAATACCCTCTGGTAATTTAACATAGCTATTGAAAATGGCCATTTATAGTGTATTTTCCCATTCAAAACGGTGATTTTCCATAGTTACGTTAGTTTACCAGAGGGTATTCATTGATGTTCATGTACTATATTGGCATGTATCGGAGATATCCATGTACCAAGAGATTCCAGTTTAAAAAAACACCAACATCCCCAAGAGATGCGTGCTGTCAGTGGAATGATCATCCGAGACCCGCCGTTGTGTTTGGTCTTCATGATCTCATTGGGGTGCTCGAGAAAGAGAATAAACAAATATGCCAGACTGTATATTCTACATATATATGTATATTGCCATAGTGTTGTATGTATATCAGTATATCTATAGTAATCCCATATATATATATTATGTATATTATGTATATGTTTACCCAGCTCAAGATTGATTAAGATCGGCCATAGTCTTCTCGACTGTTTATTCACATTGCTCACGCCAGCCTGAAAGGTGGTGACCATTTCAATGGGGAAAAAAAGCCTGGGGGACTTGCCAGAAATGTTGATATTTATAGTTAGTGGAACTTGGTGTCTAGATGTTTCTATAGTTCATTTCACTAGTGATTATGAATGGTATTTCATAATATATGTTCTATAGTGAAATACGGGTTATAAACCAACTTGTTTCACTACGGGCTAGCACTCCAGGTGCGGGGAACACATGTTTGTTGGCCACAAGTTGGGGCGCTGTTGAAAACCCAACGGTGGAAAGAGAGGCAACCTTTGACGTTACGCTTTATGGAGGATATAAAAATAGTTGATGGATGTTGATGGGGTTGTAAAGAAACTTACTGAGGTTTGAGATGTGTTGGCAGTTTGGGGATGTTTCGGGTTGAATTGATCGCAGTTCGTCACCATTGTCACCATTGAAGATTGAAATCCCCAGAAACTCTTTAGTTCCAGCCCTTGGTGGTTCGCCCGGCTTAGTAAGGGGTAACCCCGAATATTGAACACCACATGAAAACATCCAGTCGGCCACGCAGGTGTTGAGTGTGAACGAGGGATGGGATTATCCCCGCTTCAATCGTAACATTCCATCATTTCAGAGATGTTTTCATCTGGTTGGTGGTTTGGAACATGTTTTATTTTCCATAATATATGGGATGTCATCCTTCCCATTGACTTTCATATTTTTCAAGATGGTTAAAATCACCAACCAGTCATGGTTTATGTTCCGAAAAAAAATGGTGCTTTGAGAAAAATCCACCACTCCACAACTCAGGTGCTTTGCCTGGCGGCTTTGTATTTCACTTGGCCGACCGCATCCTTGAGTCCCCGTCGCGAAGGTGGGAATGCCATTTTGTATGATGATGGATTGGAAACAAAAAACAACGAGCTAAAATAAGGATGCACATCAAACAAGTGGATACATTTTTTTAAAGTTTAAAAAACACAGTCGCATTTTGGTGAGGATTGTTGGACTCCTTTTTTTAAAAATCTATTTCAGGATGACCGTAGAGTTTGAATGTTTGGGGTTGGGTTCACCATACATCTCTCACTAAAGAAGAAACTTTTAGAAGGGGAGCAGCAAACCACGAAGAGATGTCAGTGACACGGGTTGAGAAATGGGTGGTTTGATGCTGGATGGCTCAATATGAACCCACAATTCACATCAAACATATCGATTTTGCCAAGTTTCAGAATGGTTTGTAGAAAAATAGTGATTTTACCCTCTGGTAAACTAACAGTTTGCTATGGAAAATCACCATTTTTAATGGTTAAATCAACTATTTCTATGTCCATTTTGGTACTCCCATGTTGAACCATCGACATTTGGGTAGCCCCTTCAGAGGCGAAGCCACGCGTGCACTTCCCGTCCATTTTTATAGATAGGTTTTTAAAGCCATCCAACCGGATTAAAATGGAAGTATGGTGAAATCAGCCAATTAGATTAGTGATATTTTTTTAATGAGTGGAATATACCATGTTAATCCATGTTACGTTAATGGTTTTATGATCATCACTTACTGCTTCCCGAGCCCCACGTCTCCCCATATCCAGGTGTATTGCTGATTATATATTCATTATTCATTGCTTTAAGATATACCAATTCCTACATCCCTATAGCCACGTGGCTGGTTGCTTCAGAAGCCTATCATTCAGTCATCCTGAGCCCCACTTGGAGGATCATCCCATGCACCTTGGGACCTTGGCTAAAAAAAAACATGAGTTCCCGCCACATCACGAATCAGTTCCAAAACTCGTGAGCTAAAGTGATAAACCATCCTATTGTTGGTTGTATCAGTTATTTATATATATATAATGTGATATATCCCTTGAAGTTCAAAGAAGTTTCTGACTTCTCCCCCATGTCAAGGCCCTTTACCGGTGCACCGGTTCCCATCGTCCCCGTCATCGTTCCCATAAGTTCCCGTCATCGTCCGCGTGTCGCAGAGCGCTTGCGTTCCCCGGTGGAGCTGCAGCGGAGCTTTCCGCTGCCCTTTCCGCTGAAGCTCTTCGTGAACACCTCCCGGGCTGAGGCCGCTGCGATTCTGCACGGCCAGGCGGGGCCAAAAACGAGGGGCCAAGGCAAAGCCAACCCGGATGGCACTATATACAAGGTGGTGCCCCCCAAACGTTATAAATTTGTTTATAAACCCCATTAACTATAGATATATCACCTATAAAGCATAGTTATTGGAGTTATAAACCAACTTAGCTATCTAGGGGGCACCACCTTGTATACATATATATATATATATGTGTGTAATGTCAAGCCCGGATTAACAAAGCATGGTTTATTAATTAGAGGGTATTCCTCTAATAGTCATTTCATATGATACTTTTTTATGGTACCCTCCCAATTAAACAGCCGTTTGGGGTTTATTAATCCAGGGTTGACATTATCTATATGTTGGGTACATTTATGTAACATGGGGTACATATAACAACCATGTGGGAATGTGATAGTTTCATCTTTTAGTATTTTGCTATGTATACATGGAAAATGACCAGCCAACCAGAAAAAGGTGTCTTTGTTTGTGGACTAGCAAAGATTGACCATCTATAGGAATATCTGAGATATATCCTGAAGGTATATCATGGTACAGTTATGGCCATGGCTATTAGTTACAACTGGTTATTTCTATGGGATAAAAGACATTCTATAAATGGGGGTTTCTTAGTACTTATAACTGGTATTTTGGGCCATAACTGTATATATATATATATATGATATATTATATATATATCTGATATATTATATATATATATATCTGATATATTATATATATATATATATTATATATATTATATATATATATTATATATATATATATATATATATTTTATATATATTATATATATATATATATGCCCGAGATGTTCGTAGAAATGCCTGACAAGTTGAAAATCCAAGGTTTGGAGCTGAACTTGGATCACTGACCACGATTCGGGTTGAACATGTCATTGTTAAGCAAGAAGCTTTGTTAAATGTCGAATGATTTTAATACTGATGTGGAGAATTTATGAGAATTCAAGGGATTGTTCCGAAGCATAAGTGAATTGATTTGAAGCTAAGTGGAATGCATCTGAGGTTGGCAAAGTGTAGAACCCCCTTCCATCCGGGAGCGGTTGGACACCAGCCGCTGACCAATTCGTCAAGTTTAGCAATGTCCAAGCTTCATTTGACTGCAACGGAGTTTGAGTCTTGAACTTACATTTGGAATCATTTGGAACGTTTGAGTCTTCTATACACCTTCAAGAGAAATCAGTGCAACAGTGCAGATACGGAAATGAAAAAATCTCATGTTGATAATTTGTCATTATTTTTTATAAAAAAGAGAAGAAGATTCGGTTGTCTAGGGATCAAACATGTTCAACAGCTGTTATTTTCAAGGGCGAAGCGCCATGAATCCTTCAGCTTGTTGGGGATAAACCATGGATGCCATGGGTGCCATGACTCACAGAGTGTTCCACAGCTTCCAGGATGATCGATTGCTGGTCATTGTGGGTCCATGCTCAATTCACGATCCCAAAGCAGCGAGGGACTACGCGCATCGCTTGCAGGTGACTCGGATGGCGGGACGGGAAGTTTACGGTTTGCGGTTTGGATGGTGTGTCACAGATGTTATGCCTGGTTAGTTTTAAAATTGTATCTATACAGTATATCTCTATACTGAACCTGCAAAGCTAGATAGACTACTACACTTGGATTTATGGCTGGTTGGTGGTGTTAAACATTTTTTATTTTCCATAATATATGGGATGTCATCCTTCCCATTGACTTTCATATTTTTAAAGATGGTTAAAACCACCAACCAGTTATGGTTATTCAGGTGATTTTCGATGGGATAAAATAAGGTCTTTATCCTCCAGTTTCATTTACTTCGATGCCCCAGCGAACGAGCTACCTCCATGGATAGAGGCAAATTTATGTGGTGAGATGGGTTGTAGCTGCGCCTTTTGCGAATGGAAAAGATGATATGCTGGTTCCATGCTGGGAAACATTTGACACAGATGGTTTTTTGGAAATGAACAGAGAGTAAAGATCTAAATTCTATCAGCATTGTACAGTAGCCCCCCGGTAACTAGCATGATTGACCCAAGTTTGCACCCCTTAGAACTGGACGAGCTCGTGAATACCAGGTCCTTCGGGAAGAGATGAAGGACGATTTGCTGATTTTCATGAGGAGATGATGGGTGAAAAAGGGGAATGGCAGCAGTTCTTAGGCCAAAATTCCGAATGAAGTTTGAGTGACATTTGATCTGAGGAGAATGAGATATCATAGGGGTAATATTGGGATTTCATGAGAAATCATTAGATTTAATGGGGTTTTTGGAACCATCCATGAAGGAATCTGGGTGAATTTGATCATGACAGTGGCCACCTGACTGGAATCGTGGCCTTGGTCCGGGGTATCCCAAATAGCTGAACTCTTAATGTCAGCGCATCATTTTGGGTTACTGACAGTTTGCTATTGAAATTGGCCATTTATAGTGGATATATCCATAAAAAATGGTGATTTTCCAAGGTAAAACAACTGGTTGGTGCTTTGGAACATGATTTTTATGACTTTCCATTCAGTTGGGAATGTCATCATCATTTTTCAGAGGGGTTCAAACCATCAACCTGAAGAGTTCAGCTATTTTGGGATACATGACTTCGATTTACCAAGATTTGATGACTTCGACTTCGATTCTTCGTGAAAAAGTTGGCAACTGAGAGGCTAATGTGGAAACCCCAACTATAAAACGGCATGGTTTGTCATACCCCAAAAAATGCAAGTGGGAGACGCTGCTAGGTGTTTTTTTGGTACATGACTCTGGCGGTGAATTCATAATAGACCATCGTTAATGGGGAGGCAGGATGAAAACTACACACTATTTCTCAGAGATGTTTACACAGAGATGCAACATCTCTGTCTCTGATGGGGAAAAACCTGGAAACAGTGTGTGTATATATATATAATGTTAATTCTTGCCCAGTTTGGTTTGGAAAAAAAAATCTTGTAGGGTACCCCATCTTCAATGCATTTCTTTGAACCTGCTAAGCTGAAGATGATTGAGCCAACATGCGATGGCTTGAGGAGTGCTTGCCGCGTTGTGTCTCTGTTGTATCCCCAAGGTCAGCGGTATCACCTAGGACAACGCCATTTACGAGATGATCTATGGAAGTATCCTATGATTTATGGGATGAGTATCCTTTGATTTATACAGTTATAGCCCTTTACCAGTTATAAGTACTTATAACCCCGTCTATAGAATGTATAATCCCATTTATAACCAGTTAAAACTAGTAAATGGCCATAACTGTAGGATGAAATTACAGTATCATACCGTTTATGGGATGATTTACCATAATTACCTGCTGGGCACGTCAAACGCTTCTCAAAGCTCAAGAATAGCCATTCAACACAGTTGGCTCAGGTCCAGGATTCACAGGCTTTTCTCACTCTACTTGGATTCTTGCCCTGTAAAAGAACGCCACCATTTAATCCTATAAAGGTCAGTAACAAGCCTCAACTTATAATCACTTATAGTATATAGGTATATGTCACCGTGCATCCCAACTCCGATAATTTGACCAGCCAGTACCCAAACGAGTATAGCCAGTATAGCTATATATTATATATTTCAAAAATCACGAGTTATAGCTTTCTCAAAAATCGGAAATCCGCTTCCCAATCTCAACCTGAACCAATACCACTTCGGTGTTACCAGAATAGGGGATTGGTTAGTAAGTGGATGTAAGCGGGAAAAATTGGTATTGGATGGTCCAAACAACCGATCACAAATTCTGGAAACATCCAAGTGAGTTTCATTCCTCTAGAATATGTTAAGTCCACGTAAACCCTCAAACTTAACCTCTTAACCACTGGTTACCTAGTTAATAAACCTACGTAGTTATGACCCCCTTTGTTCATGATTCCAATTTTCCATGTTTTCTCGCTTCAAATCACAAAAATCCTGGTCAAATCCATTGAAACCATCATGTTCCCATGATTTTTCAATCAGATGTTCTTCCCATTTTTTCGGAAACTGCCAGGACCTACCTGGAGAAGCCCCGCACCGCCGTGGGTTGGCGCGGCCTCATCTCCGACCCGACCTTGAGCGGCGCCGAGGACGTGCCCAGGGGCCTGGCCCTGGGCCGTCGGGTGCTGCTGGACGTCCTGGCCGCAGGGCTTCCGACGGCCGTGGAGTTCCTGGATCCACTGGTGGCGTGCCCTGGCGGAGTTTGTTGTGGATGGTACAAGGTGGTGCCCCCCAAACGTTATAAATTTGTTTATAAACCCCATTCACTATAGATATACCACCAACAAAAACCATAGTTATTGGAGTTATAAACCAACTTATGACATGTTGGGGATTTAGTGGGATTTCAATCGTTACTGATTAATGGATAACTCATCGACGGCTAATTAATTAACAACCAACAGGTGGATTTTGTCAACAGTATAATGGATATTTCACAAATCATGGTAGGAAAAAATCAACAGTAATCGATTGCATGAGATAACTAATGGATACCGGTAACTTGTCATTACCACATGATGGTTGTTGAAATATGTTTGTTTTTTCCCGGATGTGTTTTTTTCTCTTTTGTAAGAACATGTTATAATTGTGTCTCTTCGTTATGTTTGAGACGTGTGTGGCGATGTTTGTTTGATTTCACCATGGGCCTGAGACGATGTCTTAGGATGTGACGGCTTTGATGTTGAGATGGTGAGGATTTGAACTTTTTCTTGGGAATGGTCTACAGTTATGGCCATTTACTAGTTATAACTGGTTATTTCTATGGGATAAAATACATGACCTATAAATGGGGTTTTCTATTCGTACTTCCAACTGGTATAACTTAGGCCATAACTGCAATAATATCTGAAGATTCTGAAGTTCATTGATGTTACAACATTAATAACTGTATGGGTATAACTATATTTTGGGCCATAACTGTGGGTGATCTCAGTAAAGAAACGACAAGGCATTGGCCCGGAGCCATGGGGACATGCTTCGGTATATCTGGACCTTCACAGATACAAGGGTGGTGCCCCCGGCCACGAGAGCGTTCAGTTGGGGTTCACATAACTCCAATAACTATGGTTTATAGGTGATACAGTATATCTATAATAATCAGTAACGATTGAAATCCCACTAAATCCCCAACATGTCATAAGTTGGTTTATAACTCCAATAATTATGGTATTTGTTGGTGGTATTATCTATAGCTAATGGGGTTTATAAATCCACCTTGTAGCTATTTCAGGGGATACCAAAATATACGAAGGGAGAATCCCGCCCAGGATTTTTTTTGGTCCTATAACCCAAGCTATCAAAAGTATTGTACACTTATGTCCACTTATCATTATCATATTGCCAATATATTGCCGCCATATAGTATCATATCATATCATATCTCCATTATAGCCTAATCATCCAAACCTATATAGTACCATCAATGATAGCCCGATGTTCCCTATACCTCCAATAATATATTCCCAAGTATATTCCTGATACCGCCAATTCCCGTAACCACAAAACCCTGGTTGATGAGTCCGTGGGGATTACCTATTTGGTGGTTGGGCTTTGACCCCTTAGCTACCAGGTTTCTGAAACTCTTCTCTTATCATACTCCATCATACTCCCCTTTTTTATAACCTTATTGTAGCCCCAGCATAGCAATCGTTTTTTGCTGATGATTAACCCGACGATTTTAATCCCCCACTTCCCACAATCCAATGACTTCCCTACATCTTCCATTCCCACAAGGTGAAGAAACACAACGTTATGTTTATTGGTTTATACAGTTATGGCCATTTACTAGTTATAACTGGTTATAAATGGGATTATGCATTCTATAAATGGGGTTATAAGTACTTATAACTGGTAAAGGGCCATAACTGTACACCATTAACATCCATTAGCTAAGTTCCCTATATCCACCATCAACTATAGAATTCACCAAGTGATGCGCGGATGCACGTGTCGCGAGTTCGTCAATGGGGGCCGAACGTAGGACCTACATCGAAGACGTGGTGAGTTACGGTAGCATCGGCGCGCGCACCGTGGAGAGCCCCGTGCATCGGCAGCTGGCGGCGGCGATGAAGATGCCCATGGGCTTCAAGAACGGCCGCAGCGGTGCACGGTTTGGGGACTGGGGCGGTTTTTGATGTGGCGAAGTGGTTCAAAAATCTCTGGGGAAAAGAGTTCGGGGAATGATTTTAGCGAACATTTATTATATATTGTTTGAACATTTTGAGAAGTGGGGGAAATCTTTGGGAACTATTAATGCTGTAAACGTGCACTTCACCTTGGAGAAATTTGATGTGAGCTCATGTATTGTCTTAGATCAAAGCGAAAGGATAACGAAATTGACGATGCCATCATTTGAAACCTGGGTACTTGGGGCTCTTACCAACAGCTATGGGGAAAAATCATATTCAAAAAATGTGACCCGTCACGGGGTAAGCTTCAAACATTGGGGGAAATCAACTGATTTACAGTACCCATCTCCACAGTGCTTTAATGGAAAGTTTGGAGGGATACTTTAGCACAACTTCATCTCTTGCTACAAATGATATCTTACCCTAACCAGCTACAAAGGAACAACGAGAATCCGAGATAGCCCATGGGAACTGGAAATAGTTTGCTGGAAATAAAATAGATGCAACCAATCAATAAGATATCAACATCAACAAATTGATTTAATACTCTGAAGAAATATGTATGGTTACATCTAATACATGTTTTACAATTCGTGGCTGACCACTTGAAATACTGGTTGACTTGTGGTTTTACGAGATTTTGGGGGGAGAATGAAGAATTGGGACCTTGGGAGGGGACCAAATCAAATGCAGAGTTCAAACCATGAAACATGGGAGCTCCACATCAAATATGGGAACCTCAACAGCCTGCTGAAATGGTGAACCGGTGGTATCTAAGTCCAGGTGAGGTAAAAATGGGGAGGAACTGGCAAAACCGAAGAATGGAGCACTTCACTCCCTAAAGGTCACATCCATTGTTTTTTGCACCATGTTTGTTGGATAGCTTAGCCAGTTATGGCCCTTTAGCAGTTATAAGTACCAAGAAAACCCAATTTATAGAATGTATATATAATCCCATTTATAACCAGTTATAACTAGTAAATGGCCATAACTGTAGCCAGTTTTGGAAGGTCCAACTTATTCGTGAAATCCCCCCATTTATAGAATGTATAATCCCATAGAAATAACCAGTTATAACTAGTAAATGGCCATAACTGCAGAGGGAAAAAAATCCTTGGTTCACTCCGACACCAGGTGACCTGCAAAGTGCGGTGAACGCTGCCGTGGCGGCCTCCCTGCCGCAGAAGCGCTTGAGCACCGATGCAAGGGGACACGTGCAGCTGGAGAAGGTGTGGAAAACCCCAGGGGATTTCCAGCCATCCCCAGCAATTTCCATGGGAATATCATATGATAATGGGAATTGAATGGGAATATCTTCAACATATCCAGGGTATTTCCATGGGAATATCATAGGGAATAGGGATGATCAGCCCATTTTCGAATATGTTGAATATGGAAATTCCAATGATATTCCCATTTACTGCTGGAAAAATACTTCGATCGGCCATGGGATGGGTTAACTACTCCCATGGCCCATCTAAGTACCTGCCGGTATTCAAACGTGGCAAGCTGGGAAATCCCCGAACTAAAAAAGGAGATTTCAGTGAGAAAATCATCGAACTAAGTGGGTTTCCAGCAAGCCATGTTTGATGAGTATGGATAAACCTGCGGAAAGATGAAATGAAATTTGGGTGAAGCATTTGAGATTATTACTGTATATATGATCGGGATGATTTTTGGGACAACATTTGGGATTATTGGGAGATAATGGGGTTTGTCATGGCGGAAAAATGATGGACATTTTTGTGGAAAAAGTGGATGATGAACGCATCTAAAATAGATGAGATTATCCCCATGGCGAAATGGGATGACTAGAATTGCAAAATATTGGGATTTTACGGCGGAGATATTTGGAAAATTTTGGGCTACAAGCAACAGAAAAGACTTCACTGGGAATAGTGGGATTCAACCACCCCCGCAAGGTATCCCACGGATGATACGGGTTTATTAAGGGCTTTTAACCACCAAATAAGCACGCAGCAACTGGCTAAGCGAACAATTTTGTTGTTTACTTTTAACTCTTGGAATATGTCTTTTAACATGTCCATTGTTTTGGATGTTACTATTTAGATAGGGGATTTAGTATAGGATTGAATTAACATATGTTGGCCCAATATGATTTTGGGGACGTAGGATGAGATCATGGGAATATATGGGAATAGCAGACAATGAAATAAGCCATTAATGATTGACAATTTCCAATATCATTATTGATACACGGGAATCTTACATTCATTATGCATTAGTCTCATATAAAGAACAACTTTATTTTAACCATTGAACAACTGGAATGCAAGCAACAGCAACGGAATATCATGGGTGTATCAACTAATTAGTCTTGCTCTTTTTAGCCGGAAATTGGAGGATTTTTCCAACCACAGACGGGGTTGATTACCCTCTGGTTATGACTAACATAGCCATGGTATAGATGGCCCCATAGAAAATCATAGAAATAGATAGAAATAGATGGTTTACCTATTAATCGCATGGTGGATCTGTCCATGGCGAACCGTTAGTCATAACCAGATGGTACTTGTAAACTAAGCCTTAGGCCTAACCATCCCTAAGCTGTTTTTCACCATCCTTTCTGTGTCAACAGTCACTGCCGGACCATTAACAGGCCCCTGGAAACCCTGACGTGCACATTATCCTCAGAGGCAGTGAAAGTGGACCAAACTATGGATGCTTGGAACGCGGTTCGTGCGGAGCTATGCGGAGCTATTCGGAGCTGCGGGGTGTGAAAAAAATATGAAATGCTTGAACAAATCTGGTGATGTTGGCCATGGGGGTTCAACCCCTTGAATAATGGCATGATGGATGACGTGTTTATACGTGTATAACGTGTTTGTGATGGGAACTAACTAACAAAGTCATATGAAACGCAGACAGGAGTATGGAATGATGGGTAAGTTGGTGTATGGCAAATATATCTAGAGCTGTATGTATGAGAAACGCTTGTTTTTGTAACGAGGGCGACATGTTCTGGGTGATACGCTGCTTCAAGTTGGTGGTTTCAAGTGTTTGTTATTGCCCAGCCCCCTCGCTTTAGATATGGGTCCCTATGGTTTTTGAATCAGGGTTTGCTACGGAATTGGCGTTTTTGTGGGGAACGTATTCCTCGGTTTTGTGTGCAGTAGTACAGCGTGTGCATCATGTCGAATTCTATTTGCTTGACATATACCGAATGTAATTGGATTGCGCACGGATCATGATCACGATGATCGAAATATATCAAAGTGAAAGCATACTTTTGATGATACATAAATGACATTTACCATCGGGTTATGACTAACAGTTCGCCATGGAAAATCACCATGCTATTAATAGGTAAATCAACAAATTTCTATGGGCCATCTATACCATGGCTATGTTAGTCATAACCAGAGGGTAATCGACATCTTATGAACTGTTGATATATTTTCATAAATACATTATTATCATAATATCATTTATGTATCATAAGATCATATACATAATGGTCATCATTAAATGACATGACTCATCGACATCTTGAATGATGCGTTGTGCCACAGATCTTCTGCCATGGCCATGGCCCAGGAGAGGCATTTGTGGCTGAATCCAAAGAGCGATTGGCCAAAGCCGGATTTCGCACCTTTTTTGCAACGGGCGCGTTGCGCTTTGGTGCTTTGGTAGGGTATAATACGGTATAACATGATATAACTATGGCGAGTCCACCGAAATTAAAAAGATGGGGTGTTTGGAAACTAGTTTAGGAAATCCACTTTTTTTACCATCAACGTATGGCCAAGTACTGGGAACATTATGGGGATAGAAGCGGAATACCATGGAGATATAAGGAGACACCACCTATCATTAACCATCCTGGGGGTGCTTTGTTGGGGTGACAACGGTGACAAGGATTAGTATGAGTATCATAGTAAACTTCATAAGTTGGGAATAGTTGGGATATATGGCCCTTACAAACTATGGTGACGTATATCCAGGTCCACTTGCAATCTGAAATGGCTGGTTTACCCTCTGGCGATGTAACAGTTTGCTCTGGAAAACGGTTCGTAAAAATAGATTAATTTAGCAGAATGGCAGAAAGGGACTAATTTAGAAACCACTTCCATTTCATTAGGGTGCTTGTTTGTACAGTATTTGTTTCAAGGGAATTGTGAAATGATTGATCCTTGCTAATCGCAAGGAACTCATCCGGGTCACCTTTATTGTTTTTATTATTATTACTACTGTTTTCTTGATTGTTATAAAATGATGGTCCAGCCTTCAACTTGTGGCATTGTTGGCAGTGGTCCGTCAAATGCAATGCCACGGTGCCCAAAGTGGAAGCAAAACCGACGCCAAAGCAGCAGAAGTGCAACCGACGGCTCCCGCTGCAGCAAAAATGCCACCGACGCCTCCCCAAGCCAAGTTCAGCCGACCGTTGCCAGATGCCTTGCAACGAGCTGAAGCACTCCAAAGTCAAGTCCACGCTCTGCAACGAGAAAACCTCCAGCTGCGGTTGTTTACATTGGGTGTACCATGTTGTAGCGTACAATCTGTTTGTTTTGTGTGTTTTTGCCTTTTAAAAAGTGCGGTATTACCGTTGCAAAAAATGAGAAACATGTACCTCCAAAAGATGGTGGGCTGGATGTGAAACTTGTCCTTATGAAATGACCGCATGTGTCTCTGTTATGCAAAGGGCTTACAAAATGAAACATATGTTGTGGGACTGGGGCCCATTGATTTATACAGTTTGTTGGTCCGTAAATAAATATATATATATATGATTATTTATGTAAATGTTAACACGGCCTTAGAACCTAGGTGCGGAAAACATTGGCACTATATAAGCCCTTAAAAAGAAAAACATTTTATAACTCGTGGATTTCTTATTCTATAAAAGTGGCGTTTTTTGGGGGGTGTTCTTATTTCCATGGCACCAGGTTGGCCATATTTCAAAGGGGATCATCCGCTGATGTTTGTTAAATTTACTCATCAAACTGTAGAATGTCCAGAAAAAACATCCTAGTTAGGTGAGCGAAAGGAATAATATTGTTAATACATATATAGAATTATATAGATATATACACACACTCCCTTCACTAGAGTTATCCACTGAGTCCAAAATAACAAAAATCACTTTCGGCAATAGAGTTGCCCGCGCACAAAATGCCGTCTTGTTATCGCACTGGATAGTGAGCTTGATTGTTGGGAGAAAATTCCAGGTATGGGTCATACATCCCCACATGGAGTGGCGACCTAATACGGTTTCACCAGACCTCTGGACTTTAACACATGTCATAGCTGGGTCACCTGGTAAGGCGTCAGGCGATTTTTGTTCCCGTCATGGACCATCATTTAAGGGGAATCTCTCGCCCCCAATGGGATGACAACTACATCCCCATTTTGTTCTGCTAATTTAGTCACCCATTACGCTATACAATTATATAATTATACCAATTTTGCTATACGAATTACATCCAAATTTTGCTATACAAATTATACCCCTGTTTTGCTATATATACTAAGTATATATCCTCATGTTGCTATCCCATATCCGCATTATGAGTGATTTCATCTGGTTGCTGGCTTGGAACATTTTTTATTTTTCCATATATTGGGAAGAATAATCCCAACTGACTTTCATATTTTTCAGAGGGTTCAAACCACCAACCAGTCATGGTTCAGGCTATGCCTATGCCAGACCCCGCTGGTTCGTCAAAAAACGTCTCCAAGGTGGTTCACAGATTCTGATCGACTGCCGCTCGCTCGAGAGCTTAAGACGGCAGCGAAATTTTGCGTGGTGGGTTGCCATGGAAGTCTCTGAAAAGTGCTTAGTTAGATTTAGTTATTATGATTAGGAAAGTAATAACATATATATCATATAATGATGTGGCATAACATATATTGCAATCAATCATGGTTAGTTATTCATGATATGTTATGATTGTTTGAGATTACTTTCCTTTGAGTGATGGGATCCTTGGGATGTGGACATTTATGAATTTCGGATCTCAACGATTCAGAGATGTGAAGGCATAGAGGGTGTGGCTTTAAGGTATTGCGGGCACATGGGCGGCACAGAAAATCATTTGATCACCATGCAGCCTCTCAGCCTCTCAGTTCACAAATTCTAGACCCTCAACTTCGATTTCAAGCTTCGTCGCTTCGTCGCCCAAAACCATGGCTTTCCCGGTAGGTAGCCACGGCAATTCGGGGAAGAAGTTTGAGGGCGAGGCGTCGTGGGATGTCGTGGGATGTCGTGGGATGTGGAGGGTTTTTTTTTGCCGCGACACTGCTGGTGAACTTTACAGTGCCCATGACGGATCCGGCTGGTGCTGCTATATTAATGCTAACATAAAGGGGGTATATTGATGGGATCCATGTTACCAGGTTACCATATATATATATCGCATACATGATGGATTCTATGGGTACTGTAATTACATCATATAGGAAATCCTGGCCACTTGTTGATCCCTTTTAGAAAGACAAGGCACTGAGTTTTTTTTGTTGACTGAGACAAGGCACTGTGCTTGAACTACTTTGGAACTTGATTGAAATGCTGTGATTTTCACCAATTCATGCACGATGTCAGGCCCCCAAGAAAAAGCAGTGCATGGAATGACGGACTATACAGAACAAAGGATCATGAAGGATAGATCTGTTTCTTTGAATGTATGGATTTCCTGCAAAGTTGCCTTTGAGCTGTAAAATTTTGGGAAATAAACCCCGGAGGGTGCAGCCCAAAAAGTGCTATATAGACTCACAGTAGAAAGTCCTTTTTGCATGAATAAATTAGCAAATTGGTAGTTCCTGGTTTGACAGTATGGCACAATATCAACACATATTATCACATATTTAGATCATATTATTTAGCTCTTTAGTAGTGCCCAGTTGATAGTTGGTGGCATCCAGATGTGCAGGTGGTGGCTTGTGGGTCAGTGGCTCAGCAGGCGTGGCTATCCTGGTGGCACCGGATTTTTCTCAACATGTCTTAACGGACAACGATCCCCACTTGACCACGATCCCCAGTCTTTCACGACATCAAAACTAGTTATATGAGTTACATAACTATAATTATAGTATGCTATAGTCTACGAGTTTACGATAAACCCTGCCCTGGTTCTTAGTTGTAAATCAACTTTGCTAATTATGGGAGAGCCACCTCGTAAAGTCCATAAGGTGTTTGAATGTTCACTTGCAGCCGCTGTGAAGATCCTACTGTCCTACTGACTCTCCTCCAATTGATTGAGATTGGTTGAGGCTCGGCTCGAACCCAAACATGGCGATTTCCAGCAATGAATTCACTTTCGAATGTCCCCCTGTCTTGGAGGGTTTTGCATCACAGAAGTGGTGTGCTAGATATGGAGATGGGTCAATACCACAAATGGGCAGGATGAACAGTACATCAGCGAAAATTTGGTGGAAATAAAAATAAGTTGTGCTGTTTGCGTTTTGATCCGTGGCATTTTTTTTTGCTGCTTGGCAGGTTGCTGCAGGGAACACTGCTATCGGTGGTGTTGGGGCACTCAGATTCGGTAAGCTATGTGGGAACATTTGGGAACATACACAAAATCCTTTGGAGAATCAAGGGAGAACTCAGCGAATCTAAGCAAGAATCTATCCAAAGTATGAATCAATGAGTCATATCTCCCTGATATGCGAGCCATATTCCCCAAAGGAAAGCATCTTTTACGGCTGTTCCCCAATGGCCCAATCGATTTGGGCAGTTCTTTGCTGGAATTTTTGTGCCCCAACAAAATCAGCTTGTCTTTCACTATTTATCCACGTGGTTTGAAATATAGCCTAGCTGCTATGTTGCATCCTGGGAGCCAATGCATTGACTTTCGCAGATTTCGAAAAGGGTGTGTGGTGTGGCTCAACCACCAATCAGTATCGTTAAGATCTGCTATCTATGTCGTGGATACCAAACCTTGGGCAAAACGCTCGAAATCCTGGAGTTCATTGGGCTCCGCTGTTCAGGTTTCCACGAAATTAGTACCAGAGTGTTGACTCTTCCAGTATGCTCCATGTATGGTATATTGACCATTCTCTACCTATGGATCACAGGGTAAATGTTGGTCAGCATTCCGTGGAGTGTATGGGACAGGATTTTCACCCCGGGATCTGATTCGGTAGCGGTAGTTTGCCACCAAATAGCTATGGATTTGAATCCTACATTCATAGATTCGGATAGAAATGTACCTTTCATCAACATGTTCATCCCAGATGGTAGAGTGCAGTTGTGTTTTTCCTATAGGGAAAGCAAGGCACAAAGTGAGGTGCTGATTGAAAGTTTCCTGGTGGCTGGGAATCAGAAGCTGGAACCAGGCCGGAAGCCCACAGCTTCGGATGGAGATGTTGTTTTCAGATGTTTTCAGCTCCTAAAATGGTTAGCCCCTAATGATCAATAGCTGCTGGTTGGTGGTTTGGTGGAACATTTTTTATTTTCCATAATATATGGGATGTCATCCTTCCCATTGACTTCCATATTTTTCAAGATGGGCACATTGCACCACCAACCAGGTTGGCTTTATGAATCCCAATGGCTGACACCGATGGTTCGGATGCTTTGCATATACGATGCCTTTTGACAACAAGCTTATAGATATCTAAAGTCTTCTAAAGTCCTAAGCCAGTCACAGTGATTCCACCAAAATCCTGATATCACTCACTGTCTTGTGATGGATCACCCATTTTGATATCAACCTGTACTGATTTCAGGGGAGATCAACTAATTTCAATATGTTTCAATGGGAGTCAGGTTGTACTTACGAAGGGGAGAAAGGCTGCGTCCTCAGTTTGTCCTCGGTCATTCTCAGTTCTGAGGGTCTCGTTCACTTCGTAGGGTATTTCCTAATTTTGATCAGCTCAACCAGTACTCTGCACCGTTAAATTGATATAAATATAAGCCTGACATAGCAGAAAGTGACCAAGTAGCCAGTAAACACAAATTTACTGGACATGCACGGTTTTCCAAGAGAAGCGATGCGCAACTGGTGGATTTTCATGAATTTTACATATCTAAGTTACCCCCTGGTACTCAAACATGCCTGGGACATGGAGGCTTCTGGGAAAATCAACCTTTACCCCGAAATTGTCATCCACATCCAGTTCCCCGGGTTCTTCTGTGGGTTGTGGGGATTTTCCCCGGGTCCCTTGGCCGCCAGGCGTCACAAAAGTGGAAGATCTCAAATATGGCTGCAGTGCTTGGGGCCCTGGTGACAGGATGGCGGATGGCATTCTGGAGATGTCCTAAGTCAGGGTACCCCAATAGCTGGATGGTTTCGATTAAGGACAATCCTATATTTATCATGGAGAAATATGAAGAATATAGTGGTACAGTGGCCAGATCATGGGATATAAATGGATATTCTGGGCAAATTATAGCGACCTCAGGTACAAAAGCCTGGAATCAAAAGCCTGGAATCATAGTGAATGTGTAGGACATCATCTTCAAATGGCCAAATGGCCACAAACTTTCAGGTTCGTGAAATACTATGGATGGAAGAAATCCTGCACCAGTTCGTATATGGTTTATCCCCTTGTATATAATCCCATTATTTACAGTATTGCATAGTTACCTAATGGTTGCCAACTGGTGCAGGATTTCTTGCATCCACTGTATGAAAATGTTCCCAGGCTATTGCTTTAGAATGCTTTGCATGGGTTGAAACAAGTTGAACCCCAGGGCGGGTCTTCACCATCTGGATTTGTCCAAAGACATGGTACCCCAAATTTGTGCCGGTTTTTTAGAATTGTCCCTATTGAATTTGCCATTTAGGGGTACATACGTCATTTCTTAGGGGTATACCGGTATACCCGAGTTCTTCAAGACATACCCAATTATCATAGGTTGTTGGCTGTATATCCCATTACCCTCTGGTAATTTAACATAGCTATGGAAAAGCACCATTTTTAATGGGAAACTCACTATAAATGGCCATTTTCAATAGCTATGTTAAATTACCAGAGGGTAACATACATTATTTATGTTCGGTTATGGCCTCATTAAGTCATCAGATTTTCCTCCACATCTTGCTGTTATCAACCAATATGTGAGGATCCTTCATATTCTATGTATATATATATACATATACATTATACATTATACATATATATATATATATTTATACATAATAAATAATATATACATATATAGTATCAACAAGCTAGAAAAGTTTATTCCTCCTAAAATGATGATCAATGTTATAGTTTTCTATCTTTTCTTGGGTGGATATGATATACATAACCCATTGAGTTATATTTCCACCAACTATCCCCGCGAAGTTGCTTGCATTTGGCTGCCCCCAATCGGGATAATTAAATATGTCATAATATGTCCTGAGCCTGGGATATACCTCAAGATATACCTATCATTTCAGCTGATTCTATGCCCCAGAGCTATCCCATAGCTATCCCCGGTCACCCCGATTCTGTTTGGATTTGGATTTTTTCAGGTCACCGATTCCTGCTTGGATTTCAACATGACGCAGGTGTGAACCATCTGATGCATCTGCGCATGATTTGGGTGTGAACCACGGCAGGTGATCAAAACACCAAGTAAGTTGGGCAGTTTTTTTGAGGTGTGAACCACGTTGGATCATTTTTAGAAGCATTTTTTGTGGTACCCTGTGGTAATGACTAACAGATTGCTATTGGAAATGGCACATAGAAATAGTTGATTTCCCGAACTTAAAAATGGTGATTTTCCATAGCTATGTTAATTTACCAGAGGGTACCTCAAACTTGTTGAATATGCCCAAAAGCATCAGTATGTCAGTATTTGATAGTATTTGCAATTCTGACTGCAGTCACGTTATGTTTGTTGCTTAGCAGGATCCCTGGCCGCCAGGACTTCTTACAGCAGCTGCGCCAAAGCGTGGTGACGCGTCGCCAGGGCCTCGCAAAGTCGTGGCAAGGCGCTCCGCAGGCTCAGCAGACGGAGGCGATGGTGAAATCGGTGAGAATTCTGCGGGAATATCGGTGGATCATGGCCATACCCTCCGGTAAACTAACATAAAACCATAGAAAAAATCACCATTTTTAATGGGAAAATCTACTATAAATGGCCATTTTCAATAGCTATGTTAGTTTACCAGAGCGTAGATCTTGAGACTTTTTGTGGAATGGATGGGTTTACCCATTACCATTTCTATAACCAATGAAAAGCAATAGTGTACTGGTTGGTGGTTTCAAACATGTTTTATTTTCCACAATATATGGGATGTCATCTTTCCCATTGACTTCCATATTTTTCAAGATGGTTAAAACCACCAACCAGTATAGGAATATGCGTTATCAATGTATAGAATCTTATGGCGATGTATTGGGAATGTTCATGGGAATTACCTGGAATTGTCTTAATTTACGAAAAAAATATTGTCAATTCATAGGAATATTAGGGCGATGTAGTGTGAATTCATGGGAATTATTGCAAGAGGTAATCTGATAATTTTCATCATGAACTGATGGCAGAGTAACTAATGGGAATATTATGGGGATAGAAGCGGGAATACCATGGAGATATAAGGAGACACCACCTATCATTAACCATCCTGAGGGTGCTTTGTTGGGGTGACAAGGATTAGTATGAGTATCATAGTAAACTTCATAAGTTGGGAATAGTTGGGATATAGGGCATTTATAACTATGGTGACGTATATCCAGGTCAATAAGTGGAGCCCCCCAGGCAGTGTTTCGGGAGGGCACTTTTTACATGGTCACATAACCAACCTTTGGAGCACTCACAAGGGGATATCGCGGGATATGGCGGCTGAAAAGGGCCGCTGTCATGGAGACATCTGTCATCAACATGTTCTGGCAGTAGCCAACCTGGTTATGACCAACATAGCCATGGAATAGATGGCCCATAGAAATAGATGAAGTTCCCATTAAAACCTCTATTTATAAGGGATTTTCCATGGCTATGTTAAATAACCAGATGGTAGCCAATGAGTAGTGGATATTGATGGGGACATTGACTATACTGCAGAAAAAATAACCTGGAGGTGTAGCGCAGAAGATGTGACAGTTTTGCCATGGAGAATACAAAGCCAGATAGAGGAGGCGGAGTGTTATTTTCATCAGATCATCAAATTGATGGTCATCAAAGATATTAGGGAAGGCTTTGAAGTTCGATGGAATGGGCTTACATTTTTTCAGAAACGAAGATATTCTGGTTGGTGGTTTCGAACATTTTTCAGTTTCCATTTTTTATATACAGGATATAATCCTTCCCATTGACATTAATATTTCAAGATGGTTGCACCACCAAGCAGCATGGATTACCCGTGAGTCATTGGGTCACTACAGACCTTTGTGGGACACGAGGACTTGCCGCACTGATGATTTTCAGAAACGAAGATATTTGGTGTCAATTACCCTCTGGTAAACTAACAGTTTGCGAACTGGAGAATCACCATTGAAACAGTGGGAAAATCCACTAAAAATGGCCATTGTCAATAGCTATGTTAGTTTACCAGAGGGTAATGTGTCAAAAAAATTACACCCCATTGACAACTGTTTTTCAAGATGGTTATTGCACCAAACCAGTGGTGTCAATGAATGTGTCAATAAAAACACTGATGGGTCGGGTTGCCTGGTGAACCGTCGGAAGATTTGATGAGTTGCCTGCCAGTTTGGCCGAGTTGAAGATTCTTCGTGACGATACAACGCTTAAAATTCCAATGATGTATCTACCCTGCCTGTACATGTATAGTAAATGATGATAAATTAAGATGTCAAATTGGATATCCATTGATAAATGATTTGGATACCCCTACTATCATAATTCAACTTGCATCCTACCTATACTGCATCCATTCAAAGTACATTTATCATAATCTATCCAAGTGACCACGGTGGCCCGGAAAATTTTCATGAATTCGAGCGCGGCATTCGCCAAGAAAAAACCTTCCAGCGTGGATGATCTAGGCATGGCAACCACGTCGATACAATCTACATTACATTTTTCCCCACCTGCCACATGATGATTGTTAGATTTTATCAGAGCTGTTCTCCTCCTCCGCCTCCTCACCCGCCGCCTCCTCCTCGCAGTCCAGATCCCAGTGGGCACTGCCGGACCTCAACCGCGAGTTGCAGATCGCAGTGGGCACTGCCGGACCTCAACCGCGAGCAGATCGCAGTGGGCACTGCCGGACCTCAACCGCGACTTCCAGGTCGCAGTGGGCACTGCCGGACCTCAACCGCGACTTCCAGATCGCAGTGGGCACTGCCGGACCTCAACCGCGAGCTCCAGATCCCAGTGGGCACTGCCGGACCTCAACCGCGAGCTCCAGATCCCAGTGGGCACTGCCGGACCTCAACCGCGACTTCCAGATCGCAGTGGGCACTGCCGGACCTCAACCGCGACTTCCAGATCGCAGTGGGCACTGCCGGACCTCAACCGCGACTTCCAGATCGCAGTGGGCACTGCCGGACCTCAACGGGAAGAATGTCAGAAAAGATGTCAGATAGAATGTCAGAAGATATGCCAGATAGAATGCCAGAAAGAATGTCAGAAAGTCAGAAGATATGCCAGACAGAATGTCAGAAGATATGCCAGAAAGAATGTCAGAAGATATGTCAGATAGAATGTCAGAAGATATGCCAGATAGAATGCCAGAAAAAATGTCAGAAGATATGCCAGATAGAATGTCAGATAGAATGCCAGAAGATATGCCAGATAGAATGCCAGAAGATTTGCCAGATAGAATGCCAGAAGATATGCCAGAACATATGCCAGAAGATATGCCAGATAGAATGCCAGATAGAATGCCAGAAGATATGTCAGATAGAATGCCAGAAGATTTGCCAGTAAGAAAATGTATAAATGTCATGGTGGGGATCATTCAAAGTGAAGTAATTTTTCATAAAGTCGTAGCCCCTTGCTTTAGTCAAGTTGGATTGGTTAACAGGCTTTACGGTTTTACTGTGGATAATGATGATGATCCCGCGCCAGGATACTAAGATCCCGAGCAGCGCTTCGTGACGCGGATACAGCATGGTTGGGAGTTACCTGGGATCCCCAGTCAACGTTAGCTAAGTTGGTTTAGTATGTTTAATATGTCTAGTTTAGTACATTCATTGTTGCGTTTATGGTGATTAAAGGAACTGTAGTTGTGTGAGGTAGAATGGACCAACATGTAACTAGGGGGCACCACCTTGCATTTGTGAAATGTATGGTTTTACATGCGAGTTTTGAGCCACGCACGTGTTGGTGTTTACTCACGTCGTTTTTCACATAAAGATTCGGGAGCTCACTAGGCAACCGATATACATTATAGCTGCTCGAGCAACAACAGGTTGCCAGGGCGCACCAAAGTGCCATCCGTTTCACTTTCTCCAAGACACTCCAAGAAGATTTAAGATGGATGTTACAGTAGCAAAACTTAGATTTTTTCACAGTAGAACTTTTTGCAGAGAAAAAGATGCGGTTGCCGGGAATGCTGAGCCAGTGATCAATGGTCGAGAAATCGAGAAACATTTACAGGTCATTGAGCCATGTTGTCACCCAGAAACTATTTCGCTACAAAACAGACGGTTGATCAACCGTGGACGTATCAATTCACTGGTTGGCGGTTTCACTTATGTTGCAGCAAACCCAACAATTTTTACCTACCATGACTGGGCATAGTTTATGCCAACCATTTTTGGAGATTTTGGGGATATAAAACCGGGTAAACACCACATGACTGTTTAAAAAGTTTGATCATAGATGATGATCGCTAATATGATGAACATATTTTTCAGGTGGTGGCTCAACCACCAACCAGGCATGCATCAAGGGAACATGACTTGAAGACAATCTGAGAATTTGAGACGATTATTAAAAAAATGAACACCTGCCAAGCGAGTCTAAGATTTGGTGGTTGGTGTGATTGGTTCAAAGGCATTCAAGGACAATACGCGTTGTGGATTCCCAGGTCTGATTCTGTCTAAGAAACAAAGCCAGAAGATTGACTGTGGCAGATTGACCGAAATAAGACGTACCTTGACGTACCATGAGCGAAAAGCATTCAAACTACCTGTAGTGTGTCTTGTGATACTCGATGATCATGACTTTTTAATTCCTACTTTGATGAACTTCAAGTGAGCGAAGCCAGAAGCATCCTTTATGATGCTATATGACATGTGTTTTTTCTGTGTGGGATTTAGTCTCAATCCGGATATTTATCACTAAGAATGGGCCAAGATTGTTATGAACCAACCTGTAGAGGAGCAGATGCCTCTATATAGAAGTGATCAGGATGGTACCTGTTCTGTCGTTCTTTCAGCTTCAGGGACGGTGCACAGCTTCTTCATCACAGCGCACCAGATCCCCAAACCACAAAAAAAAGTTGAAGAGTTTCCGTAAAAAGCTACTGTTCAGGATGAAGGGGGCCGAGTATGTTCTTCATGGTGTGGACAGGGTGGCCAACGCCATGATGAAAACTCCAAGAGACACCCGGCACCCAAACATTGGCTTTGGAATCCATAAAGTTTTACAACGTTTCAGAAGCTCGACGACATTTTTTGGGATGACCATTGTGCGACATTGTGCCACATTGTGCATGTGGCAACGCTACAGGTTTTAAAAACTGCTTCACGGTAGCGTGTTACATTGCCCTTGCCATGGGAAAAGCCAAAAAGTTGGGAAAGAAAAGTGGAGGCTGAACTTGCCCAGCATGGCCCAGCTATTAGGCCCTTCAGGTCCTTATCGATAGATCGCTGGAATTGGAGACGGTAGTCGTTGTTAAAGAAGGTAGATATTTGGGGGTTGAAGTCAGCTGGCGGGTTTGCACTACCAACAAGGTTGTTCAAGGTGTATCTAACGAGAATTTGACCTTCAAATGCCCTAAAGCATTTGCAACTGGATTGTTTGACCCCACTCAGCATTCTAGATCATCTAATCATTGTCTGAAAGTGAAAATGTGGCGCCCTAAAGTCCAATCGCTTACCATCATTTTTCCTGTTGGAATGTGCGACTTTATGGTGTTCATTGGTGTTCATCGTCATTTTCAGACACATGTTGTGTTAGTTATAGAAAGTTATGTCCCATATTATCCCGAATATATAGGTATTATATTCCGATATTGCTAGCTATGCCCAGAATCCCATCGGGCCATTATTGGGCTATTTTTGAAATCTCATCGGGGAATTGCAAATTTAAGATGCTCTTTAAGGGGCATTTCGCAGCGATTTTCAGTGGCTATTTTTTGGTCTACGTAAGGGCAAAATTTCTCTTGTGAAATATGGCGACATTTACACCTGCCAGGTGCCACCGAAGCTGCCACGCACAGGTCAGGTGTCCGAAGCGAAAGCTGGAGTGAAGCGTAGCATCGGCAAGGTTCGACCGTCGTTGCGTTGTTACAAGGTGGTGCCCCAGTTCGTTAAGTTGATTTGCAACTAACAGAACCAGGGGTTTATGGGAGATCTATTTAAAATTGAGCGTATAAACAAACTTAAAACTGTGGTCACTAGTTTGTAGGTTTCAACTATCGAAAATAGCGGAATCTAATTGATAACTTACGCTTGGTCTTGATCTTGATCTTGATGATGATGATGATGATGATGATGATGGTGGTGGTGGTGGTGGTGGGGGTGGGGGGTGGGTGGTCGTGGTGGTGTTTACTATGTACCCAATATATTGGGGATTCTCATGGTCCACTTTGGGGATTTCTGTCAAGCAGCGAAAGTCTAAGTGACTTTCCAGGCTGGGTAAATCAGACAAGAATGGGCTGAATCAGAAGAGTCCGTGGTGAGACATCATGCTTTGGGGTTGCAACAGCCTGAATGAACTGAGATTCTAGATACAAGTTGGCCGTTTCGCCGATGATCTTTAGGTCAAGCATGGTCAAACTGGAAATAGGTTTAAGCAGCAGTGGAGCTGTTCGGATCTTTGATGGTGTCCATATGGTGTCCATGACACCTGGCAGCCATAAAGCTACCATGACTGGGGATGGTTTATACCATGCTATACCGTTTTATACCATCATGTTTGATCACGGTTTATGATTAAGTTCACCACATTATATACAGTAGTTTTTTGCTCGTGTTTAGAACACCATCTCCGACCAGCAATACATCATATAGTCTCCTCGTAACTGGACATGATGTGTGCGGAATCTGAGCCTACCATCATGAAACAACAGAACAGATATTTCCAATTGATTGATGTTGCTTGTGAATATTGCGAATTGAAACAGATTGCGGCTCATTTATTTTCACGTGAAGTTGAACATCGAATTCCGGATTTGAGAACGCCGCTTCCACTCCGCAGTTTGACCATCTTCCACCTGCCAGGCTCAGAAGTCGTCCAAGGCGCTTCCCAAGGCAGTTCCCAAGGCAGTGGCGGTGGGTAGCGAGGTCTTCTCGCAGATGTGTTTACAACACTTACTGGTGTTCATCATTTCATAGGGTTCTAACCGTTAAAATATGGGGATGTAAGAGGATATAACTGATAGATGGGTTGGTTCATGTTTAGTTTAGGGAGTATATTAACACAATCCATGAACCGGGAATCCCGTTCTCAATATGAGATAGTGAGATACATATTGATGTAAAATTTATGTGCCATGATTTTGTACATTCATTTCATTTTTTGTGATAGTTTTAAACATAATTGGCAATATATCTGTAATAGTTGGGTCATTATATTGCTTAGTATCATCGGTGAGCTCGCCAATTTTCATGTTTTTGTTAAGCATCGAAAATGGTGGTTGGAATGGTGTGCCACGTCGCCATGGAAAATGAGGATGGGTCAACACCTCTAGCATATGACTGGGGGAAGAACAAAAACCGTTAACCAGCTATAGTACCATCCGGGTACCAGGGTTTTGCCAAGCCAGGCATAATATCATTGGATGAAATGTGCTTCCAGAATTTGAACGAAATCCACTTTTTTGGGGACAATGCCACGCGGACTTTTCGTTCGGCAGTTACTATACCAAAGGCCAAAGAACTTCAATGGAACTAGCAAGTGATTAGTCGCTGTGCTCCAAGAATAGGCTAGTGATTGGGGATGCTTCGAGATTCAACTGCGAGTTTTGCAGATGTTATAATATATTACATATTATAGTTACCTTCAAGTACCAAGGTAACTTTGGAAATTGATCCCTTAGATCAGCCTCTGTTTTTCGATGGCTGCCCTCACGATTTCCATCCAAGTCTCACATCCTACTTGGGGGTGCATCCTACTTGGTTGGCTTATAGCTCCAGCTAGATTGATGGAATATCCCCCAATATATATAATATATTATATATTATAATGATATATTATAAATCATATTATACATTTATTGATTTATTTACAATTTTATATATACCATATATATATATATACACTGAATGGAACATGGCTGATATATGAATTCTGGTTCCTCCGATTCCTCCGTCGCTCCGGAGGACACGTCCATCACCAAGGCAGTGACTGCAGGTGGGATCGAGCTGCACAAAAAGGAGGCATGTGCTGCATCCCAATCATTGATATGAACGATGCATCCATTAATATATCTATATATACATATATATATATATATATAAGTATTTATTAGTACTTATTAGTATTCATTAGTATATATTTGTATTTATTAGTATTTATTGATTTATATGTTTAAATAGAAATATGTTGTTTTATATTATGATAAATATGTATATGTTAAACTGTATTAACAATTATTTATTTGTATATATATATATAGATTATCAACGGATACATCTACCATATCATCACTGATAATATATATATATATAATATACACAAATATCAGAGGATGTGTGTTTAAAAAAAATCATTGGACCAGTTTCAGAGACTTGTTTTTAAGCGGATATGAGTGAAGGCCCATAAGATTGTATCTCTGGTACTTCTACACCGCGCCATTCTTTGGTGGCAGAACCTTTGCAGAGGGGCCGACCGTCCAGTATGACTTGGAAACCAACTTTGAGACGAAGCAGTGAGTTGTTTTTTTGTTGTGAAGGTGTGTGTAAAGGTTGGAAAGGGGGTCAATGACCTTACGTGGGGTCAATTTCCTGTGGAGACTCCTTATACGACTTTCTCATAAATCAGCAACAAGAACCCCCATGGAAATCCTCATGTTTCTTGATGAAATCTCCATTTTCCCATGGTTTTCCTATGGGGCGCCACCTTGTAGGATAGATATAATGGGAATATACGCGGAAAAACAAATATATCTATATAAGGATACAAAAAATGTAATAACATGATATCCCGGGATATCCCTATTTTATATTACATACTGCGGATGGAAGAAATCCTGCCCCAAGTGGTAACCATTAAGTCACCATGAAACACTGTAAATAATGGAACTATAATGAGATTATAATGGGATTATAATATATCATATATCACATAGCCCATATATATATACACTGCATTATAAACACTATTAAAAGGTGACTATGAAACACTGTATACTATAAATAATGGGATCATTAATATCACACATCATAGAATAATTATCATTATATTATCATATCACTGTTTTCTGATTAATGGGACTACATATGTATATATATATATCACATTTCACATCATATTTTCCATTATTACCGCATAAATCATATCATTTTTTTCATATTGATCTTTGTGAACATTGTATCATTTATTACCCCATATTACACACTATACAAGTGACTATATGAATCACTGTATATAGTATAAATAAGTGGATCATATATCACATATACTACAGAGTTTCATGGTAACTTACAGGGATATCAATGTTGGGATCATACCATAATATAATGGGATCATATATCATATATCAAATATCATACAAGGTGGTGCCCATGGTTAGCCAAGTTGGTTTATGATTCAAATACCTTTCAAATAACTATGTTTTATGGTATATATATATATACGTACTATGCTTTATTATAAACTTACTTATGGTATCTATACTTACTTATGGTAGATATATCATGATATATCTATTGTAAACCAGATATATCTATATATCCAACTTATAACTGGGGGGGCACAACCTTGTATCATATTTCATCATCCATATCCCTGAAGAGGTCCTCAGAGCCGCCGGGCGCTCATAACAGCCGTCTCCGCGGCCCGCGCCGAGGGCAAGGCGCCGGAATCTGTTGCCACTGGTGACGTCACGTTACCAGTGGAAGAACTGGTTATAACTGTTTTTTAACGTGTTTTGTACATATAGCTGATGAAATAACTGGTCACTAACCTGGGGAAATGGAAATTTGACCTTAGCCATGCCAAAATAATTAACAATTAGAGGGTTATGACTGGTTACAACTCTCTACAGCTATGCAGCTAGCTTTTTGACAGAATTCACTCAACTCTGTTTTTTTTAAGGAGGGTGGTAGTCAAAAGCTCGATCTTGTGGTAATCAAAGGAAGTTGGGAAGCAATACTTCCGAGTTACGAATGACTTTTGCTTGGTGCAATTGACTATGATGAAGGGTGGTAGATCATGTAACAATACATAATGTACCAATACATCACAAAAGAATAAGAAGCAATGAAATTGACCTTGAGGAAGGGTGGTAGATCATATAACAATACATAATGTACCAATACATAACAAAAGAATAAGAAGCTATGAAATTGACCTTGACGAAGGGTGGTAGATCATATAACAATACATAATATAACAATACATAATCTAATCAAAGGAAGTTGGGAAGCAATACTTCCGAGTTACGGAAGTGGCGACGAAGGGAAGTGGTGATGAAGGGGAGTGGTGAGGAAGGCAGGAAGTGGCGACGATGGGAAGTGGTGAGGAAGGGAAGTGGTGAGGAAGGGAAGTGGTGACGAAGGGAAGTGGTGATGAAGGGGAGTGGTGAGGAAGGGAAGTGGTGACGATGGGAAGTGGTGAGGAAGGGAAGTGGTGGCGATGGGAAGTGATGAGGAAGGGAAGTGAGAAGCGATGGAATTGCTGACGATGGGAAGTGATGAGGAAGGGAAGTGGTGACGATGGGAAGTGGTGAGGAAGGGAAGTGGTGACGATGGGAAGTGGTGAGGAAGGGAAGTGGTGACGATGGGAAGTGGTGAGGAAGGGAAGTGGTGACGGAGGGAAGTGATGATGAAGGGGAGTGGTGAGGAAGGCAGGTGGGGACGATGGGAGGTGGTGAGGAAGGGAAGTGGTGAGGAAGGGAAGTGGACGATGGGATGTGGTGACGATGGGAAGTGGTGAGGAAGGGAAGTGGTGACGAAGTGAGGTGGTGACGATGGGAAGTGGTGAGGAAGGGAAGCGGTGACGAAGGCAAGTGGTGAGTTGGGGAGGAAGCCGGAGCACGAAACCTTGTGTTTTTTCCGTGTAAAGTGGCTGCAGGCGACGATGAAAGGTACCTAGTGTGTGCGACGGATGCGGCTGCGGTCGGTTTGTCGTTTTTTTTTCCCGCAGTGTAACGGTGGCTTGAAGCTGCTTTGGGTGTGCTTGTGTGTGCGTAGTTATAGGGTGTTTTGAAATCTCCGGTTGCAGATCGCATTGGAATGGCTGCATGACTCTTGTCATCTGGTGTTCTGGTGTCGTTCTGTGCGAAGATAGGTGCAAGTTAGCGAGTTGATGCTGCGAACCCCATTGTAATAGCTGCATGATGTTGCATGGGCTATGTTTTGGGGAGGAAGCCGGAGCACGAAACCTTGTGTTTTTCCGTGTAAAGTGGCTGCAGGCGACGATGAAAGGTACCTCGTGTGTGCGACGGGTGCGGCTGCGGTCGTTCCGGACGCGATTGGCTCCTTCTATGTGTTTTGCAACAAGTGGTTGTTCCTATGTGCGTAGTTCTATGCGTTTCCTGAAGCTGTGGTTGCAGATCGGATTGTAATGGCTGCGTGAATGTTGCATGGGCTATGTTTTGGGGAGGAAGCCGGAGCACGAAACCTTGTATTTTTCCGTGTAAAGTGGCTGCAGGCGACGATGAAAGGTACCTCGTGTGTGCGACGGGTGCGGCTGCGGACGTCCCGGACGCGATTGGTTCCTTCTATATGTTTTGCGACAAGTGGTTGTTCTTGTGGTGTCGTTCTATGCGTTTCCTGAGGCTGTGGTTGCAGATCGCATTGTAATGGCTGCATGAATGTTGCATGGTCTATGTTTTGGGGAGGAAGCCGGAGCACGAAACCTTGTGTTTTTCTCTGTAAAGTGGCTGCAGGCGACGATGAAAGGTACCTCGTGTGTGCGACGGGTGCGGCTGCGGTCGTTCCGGACGCGATTGGTTCCTTCTATGTGTTTTGCAACAAGTGGCTGTTCCTGTGGTGTAGTTCTATGCGCTTCTTGCAGCTGTGGTTGCAGATCGCATTGGAATGGCTGCATGAATGTTGCATGGGCTATGTTTTGGGGAGGAAGCCGGAGCACGAAACCTTTTGTTTTTCCGTGTAAAGTGGCTGCAGGCGACGATGAAAGGTACCTCGTGTGTGCGACGGGTGCGGCTGCGGTCGTTCCGGACGCGATTGGTTCCTTCTATATGTTTTGCGACAAGTGGTTGTTCCTGTGGTGTCGTTCTATGCGTTTCCTGAGGCTGTGGTTGCAGATCGCATTGTAATGGCTGCATGAATGTTGCATGGGCTATGTTTTGGGGAGGAAGCCGGAGCACGACACCTTGTGTGCTCAACGTTGCTCGGTGCCGCGGCTGCATGCGTAATACTATTGTCTTTTGCAGCTGAACATCGTAAATCGTATTGGAGTGGCTGCATCCAGGCTGCGATAGTGATTTGCGAGTAGATTTTCGCAATTTTCACGGTATAAATGTTCCTTTTAAAAATCCTTTTCAAAAGTGCTTCAAAATCATCTTTTTTCTGCTTTGGCGTCGACATCCGGTTTTGGAGGTGCAATTTCCGACACCGTTGCGCGTAGTTCTATCGTGTTTTGCAACTCAGTGTCTGCAGATCGCATTGTAGTGGCTGCGTCAAGGTTGCTCGGTGCCGCGGCTGCATGCGTAATACTATTGTCTTTTGCAGCTGAACATCATAAATCGTATTGGGGTGGCTGCATCCAGGCTGCGATAGTGATTTGCGAGTAGATTCTCGCAATTTTCACAGTAGTAATTTTCCTTTTAAAAATCCTTTTAAAAAGTGCTTCAAAATCGTCTTTTTTCTGCTTTGGCGTCGAGGTCCCGGTTTTGGAGCTGCAATTTTCGATACTGTTGCGCGTAGTTCTATTGTGTTTTGCAATTCAGTGTCTGCAGATCGCATTGTAGTGAGTAGTGGCTGCGTCAAGGTTGCTCGGTGCTGCGGGTGCATGCGTAATACTATTGTCTTTTGCAGCTGAAGATCGTAAATCGTATTGGAGTGGCTGCATCCAGGCTGCGAAGTGGATTTGTTAGCAGATTTTCTCCATTTTGGCGCTAGCGATTTTCCTTTTAAAAATCCTTTTAAAAAGTGCTACAAAATCGTCTTTTTTTCGCTTTGGCGTCGAGATCCATCCGGTTTTGGAGCTGCAGTTTCCGATGCCGTTGCGCATAGTTCTATTGTGTTTTGCAACTGAGTCACTGCAGATCGCATTGGAGTGGCTGCGTCAAGGTTGCTTGGTGCAGCGGCTGCATGCGTAATACTATTCTCTTTTGCAGCTGAAGATCGTAAATCGTATTGGAATGGCTGCAGCAACGCTGCGAAAGTGATTTGTCAGCAGATTTTTTCAATTTTGACGCTAATAATTTTCCTTTTAAAATTCCTTTTAAAAAGTGCTTCAAAATCGTCTTTTTGTCGCTTTGGCGTCGAGATCCGGTTTTGGAGCTGCATTTTCCGACGCCTGTGCGTAGTTCTATTGTGTTTTGCAACTCAGTCCCTGCAGATCGCATTGTAGTGGCTGCGTCAAGGTTGCTTGGTGCAGCGGCTGCATGCGTAATACTATTGTCTTTTGCAGCTGAAGATCGTAAATCGTATTGGAATGGCTGCATCAAGGCTGCGAAAGTGATTTGTCAGCAGATTTTCTCAATTTTAGCGCTAATAATTTTCCTTTTAAAAATCCTTTTAAAAAGTGCTTCAAAATCGTCTTTTTGTCGCTTTGGCGTCGAGATCCAGTTTTGGAGCTGCAATTCCTGTTGTGATTATGTACAAGAAAGCTTCTCTGTGCAAAAACTTTTTCTGTAAAAGCTTGCTGTGTGTAAAAGCTTCTCTGTAAAAGCGTCTCTGTGTAAAAGTTTCTGTGTGTGTAAACGCTTGCCATGTGTAAAAGCACTGTGCGTAAGTGTTCTGTGTGTAAACGCTTGCTGTGTTTGAAAGCTTGCTGTGTGAAAAAGATTTTGTGTGTAAAAGCTTGCTGTGTGTAAAAGCCTCTCTGTGTGTAAAAGCGTCTCTGTGCAAAAGTTTCTGTGTGTAAACGCTTGCCATGTGTAAAAGCACTGTGTGTAAGTGTTCTGTGTGTAAACGCTTGCTGTGTGTGAAAGCTTCTCTGTGAAGAAGCTTGTTGTGTGTAAAAGCTTCTGTGTGTACAAGCTTCTCTGCGAAAGAACTTGCTGTGTGTAAAAGCTTCTCTGCGAAAGAACTTGATGTTGTAGAAGCTTTGTAGTACAAAGTAGTACTGGAACGTGTTTTGTGCAAGCTTTGCAGTACAAAGTAGTACTGAAACGTGTTTTGTGCAAGCTTTGTAGTACAAAGTAGTACTGGGAAGTGCTTTGTGCAAGCTTTGTAGTACAAAGTAGTACTGGAACGTGTTTTGTGCAAGCTTTGTAGTACACAGTAGTACTGAAAGTGCTTTGTGCAAGCTTTGTAGTACAAAGTAGTACTGGGAAGTGTTTTGCGCAAGCTTTGTAGTACAAAGTAGTACTGGGAAGTGCTTTGTGCAAGCTTTGTAGTACAAAGTAGTACTGGGAAGTGCTTTGTGCAAGCTTTGTAGTACAAAGTAGTACTGGGAAGTGTTTTGTGCAAGCTTTGTAGTACAAAGTAGTACTGGAACGTGTTTTGTGCAAGCTTTGTAGTACAAAGTAGTACTGGGAAGTAGCTTGTGCAAGCTTTGTAGTACAAAGTAGTACTGGGAAGTGCTTTGTGCAAGCTATGTAGAACAAAGTAGTACTGGAACGCGTTTTGTGCAAGCTTTGTAGTACAAAGTAGTACTGGGAAGTGTTTTGTGCAAGCTTTGTAGTACAAAGTAGTACTGGGAAGTGCTTTGTGCAAGCTTTGTAGTACACAGTAGTACTGGGAAGTGCTTTGTGCAAGCTTTTGTAGTAGACATCAGTACTGGGAAGTACTTGACATGAAAATAGCCAAGAAGAACTGAGCTGACATATGGGAAGACATGGAATGAGATGAGAAGAGCTCAGATGAGATGAGTTGAGATGAAGTGCAAGTGTGAAGTGTGGAGTGTGGGGTGTGAAGAGTGCAATGTGAAGTGTGAGGAAAGTGTTTGCATTGTACCGGGGTCGCGCGCAGGTCATGTTCTTGGACAGCAACACTGCAACAGCTTCGCACAAAGCACGCAGGCACGGGCCTGGCTGGCGCACGGCGCATGCAAGTTCCTTAGTAGTAGTACTGGGAAGTGATTCATGAAAGCTTAGATGACATATGAGAAGAGATGAGATGAGAAGAGATGAGCTGGGATAAGGTGAGAAGAGCTCAGATGAGATGAAGTGTGAAGAGTGAAGTGTGGGGCGTGAAGTGTGAAGTGTGGAGTGTGAAGTGTGGAGTGTGAAGTGTGAAGTGTGGAGTGTGAAGTGTGAAGTGTGGACTGTCAAGTGTGAAGTGTGGAGTGTGAAGTGTGAAGTGTGAAGTGTGGAGTGTGCAGTGGGAAGCGTGCTGTGTGGAGTGTGGAGTGTGGAGTGTGAAGTGTGGAGTGTGAAGCGTGAAGTGCGAAGTGGAGCTTCAAATGTGACATGTGAAACAGGACACCACTTTCGCAGAGTGCACGCACGCACGGGCTTGGCTGGCGCACGGCGCATGCAAGTTCTATAGATGAGAAAGGTCTTATATACATCTTTAAGGCAACTTCCGCCCCGCCTCGTGCGGGTACTACTGGTATCACTGGTTTCAATGATGTTTAAACAGTTCATTGCAGGGTTGAAGTTGCCAACCAGCATCAAACTGTATATTATATATATATATATATATATCCATATGGTATATCCATATGTGGCATGGTTAGAATTCGGATTATATGCCCACCCCCACGGATGGTCATGAAGTAATATATTCTATTTACCCTCTGGTAATTTGTTACATAGCTATTGAAAATTGCAATTTATAGGGAGTTTTGCCATTAAAAATGGTGATTTTCCATAGTTATGTTAGTTTACCAGAGGGTACATAATCAAATAATCAATCCCATTCATAATGGCATGACCATAGCACACTTCAAAAATGCATGTTGTTCATGATATGTGGATGAATTTCCAAAAAAGTTTCTGATCTTGGGGTAGATTTTTTGGGTAGATATTTGTTGTTCTCCAACTACTACACACAGCGATTTTTCTCTGAATACAGACGCAGAACATCCGCCATGTTGGGGTCCCAGGGTGGTTTTTGCGGTCGCCCCGGCCAGGTGGTGAAATCTCTCACTGGGCCCAGGTGGCGCACATTGATCTCCGGATCAGTGGCGTGTGGTGTTTTCTTTAAGCCACTTTAAAGTGATCTCATGGGATATGAATGGGATATATCCTCTGGTAAATTATTCACCTATCAGATTTTCAGATCTATGGTTAAGAATTGGTTTTAATATCCATTAATGTGGGTGAAACAATGCCAGAAACCACCCATGACTGGGGATGGTAACCATACCACCAAAAAATGGGGATTTAGGGCACTGTTTTACCCACATTGAAGAAATTCTTGAAATGCAGTTGGTTTTGCCAAACTCCACATTTCTGGGAATTTGAGCAACTCAGAAATCTCGTCCCGAAATTGAAAAAAACACACTGGTCTGGATAATTTGGAACGACCTCACCTCGCAATGTCACTGGAATGATGATTCGGATTGGCGGAACTTTCAGAAAATCGCCAAACAAATCCGCTTGCTCCAGGTATCCCAAGGAAGTCCCAGTTGCTTTCCAATCATAGGTCCTTACAACTTAAAAGCATGATTGGCACACATAGTAGTGGCGCACATAGTAGTTTGCTCGCAGAAACATGTGTTTTGTCTTTTTGTTGAGAATTGAGATGAGTTCCAGCTGTTCTGTCGTGTCTTATCAGCCAATCAGGGTGCATTCAATTTCTTGACCTTGGGATTTTTTAAAGGCCCAACAAATAAATCAGACAAGTCACACACAACAGCGCTATGTTTGAACATGTGGCCTGGCTACCTGGCGGAAAGTAAAGGTACCCATCCCATCATCACCCATCACACCCTCCGGTCATGGTGTGAGCCACATGAGATCGCCCCACCAAGGCCAAAGATGACAGGCGCTCGGGGGCCCAACCAGGCGGTTGTAGCCTGATGTTGTGGGATCGGAGTTTTCAATGGTGCAGATTCTCAAGGTCAAAGTGTGAATTTTGCTGAAAGTACATGATTTTCTGTTTCAAATTCTTCGTTGATGTATCCAAATCCTAAGATGCTTGAGTGATGCTTGGTACTTTTTTTGGGTGGCTACCTTATACTATAAGGTTTTCTTCACTTTTTGGACCAGCCGTTCGCCACAAGGAGGATGACGAGCCTCGCGTGACTGTGTATACGAACTTCCAAATCGACCGGATCAATTGTGAAAACAAGATTAAGTAAATTTGATGGTTTCATTAATAATTATATACATAGAAAGATAGATAGGTAGATAGATAGATAGATAGATTAGAATAGAATAGAATAGAATAGAATAGACTAGAATAGATTAGATTAGATAGATAGATAGGTACTATAGATGGGTACTATAGATATGTACTATAGATAGGTACTATAGATATGTACTATATAAAGATACTCTAGATAGATACTATAGATAGATACTCTAGATATCTACTATAGACATCTACTATAGATAGATACTCTAGATATCTACTATAGATGTCTACTATAGATGTCTACTATAGATATCTATTATCGATATCTACTATAGATAGATACTCTAGATATCTACTATAGATATCTACTATAGATATCTACTATAGATATCTACTATAGATATCTATTATCGATATCTAGATAGATACTCTAGATATCTACTATAGATATCTACTATAGATATCTACTATAGATATCTATTATCGATATCTACTATAGGTATCTACTATAGATATCTACTATAGATATCTACTATAGATAGATACTCTAGATATCTACTATAGATATCTACTATAGATATCTACTATAGATATCTACTATAGATATCTATTATCGATATCTACTATAGGTATCTACTATAGATATCTACTATAGATATCTACTATAGATATCTATTATCGATATCTACTATAGGTATCTACTATAGATATCTACTATAGATAGATACTATAGATAGATACCCTAGATATCTATAGTAGATATCTACTATAGATATGTATTCCCTTTGTTGATCACCTGACTAAACACGGTTTCGGAGAACTGCACCCAGTTGCCACATTTGTTTGCACATTTGCCCCTGGTACATTTTTTGCAAACCAACAAATATATATAATCATATATATATACTGTATATATATATATATATTAATATTGTGTATATGCAATTTATCTTGATATTTTTCCAAATCTCATATGATTTATGCCTTTTCTATCTTTTTGGGGGTTAGCCGGGATACCATGCTTCGATCTATGCTCTCCCAGGCCCGCATGATGGAGGAGATCGAGGAGGCCAGAGCCCATGCGGAGAAGGCTACGCTGCGGTGAAAAATTGCTCCGTGCATAGGTTAGGATATCAACCAACATATATTAACCCATTTGTTGATCTTGGTATTTTTTGAACATGACCATGAATTGGGTTATTTTGGGGTTTTAATTATATTAATGGAACTGGAATTCTACTACCTGGCTGGTGATTAAGAATCAACCCGTTGCAGGGAAGTCTATCAACGACCTGTGGTATCTCTATTAGTGGCTCAGATGTTTCACTAGAAAAAACGGGGATGTATGGGAATTTATGGGAGGATGCAAGGCAAAAATTATGAGACTTAAAGGTTGTCCAGAAGTGTGGTTTTCTGTAATATCTTCAGTAAACAGCAACAAACGGTGATTCAACCACCAAAACATAAGGATTGAACCAAATAGCACATATGGGTGTGTCCAGAAATGGCGTAAATATATTCCAGAATTGCCATCAAACACTTTTGAAAATGATGATCATTTGGCATTTGGGACTTTGGGGTACCGATCCGCCGATCCGTCGTGGCGATCTAAAGCGCTTTTCCAAGCTGAGCCGAAACCAGGGCGGGATGATCCAATGTGTGTTGCAAAAAATAGCATTGTTTTATGCCAATGACTGTTGGAATAAATGTGTTGCAATAAATTATTGGCAACTTTGTACATGGTTTTTGCATTAAACAATGGTGGGTTTGATGTTCTGCTCGTGAGAAAATCCCTGTGTTTCTTGTCCACAAGCACATTGGTACCCCAGAGTACCTGCAAAGTTTCGGATGTCAGCTTCGTGGTAAGAAATCTAGGAATTTCCACACCATGTGGACCATTAGTGGCCCATTTCGGATGCCGCCCGGTTTTCACGTCAGGTTGGATATGTGGGGTTCTTTAGGTTGGATGATGTAGGTTGGAGATTGTTGGAACCCCATAGTTAGCTAAGTTGGTGAACATAAGTCCAATAACTATGGTTTGTATGTGTTATATCTATAGTTAATGTGATTATAACCCATTTATAACTGGGGGGGCACCACCTTGTGGAGATTCTTGGAAAAGATGTTGGATGACAACCCTCCTGTGTCATCAAGCATGGCTAGCTGGGAACCCCCGAACTAAAAAACGGGCCAGTCAACATGTAAGCGGGAAAATCATCGAACTATTAGAAAAGCATGTTTGAGTACCAGAATGTGGATCACCATGAAATCCCCATTGATACGCTCTGGTAATTTAACATAGCTATTGAACATGGCCATAAAAATAATTGATTTACCCACTAAAAATTGTGATTTTCCATAGTTCTGTAAACGTTTACCAGAGGGTAGATGATTTTCTTCCATGGTATCCCCAGAAACTTGTGTATATCCCCATCCAGGTTGGATCCGGCAAAAAAACTCTGGCGCTTGACCAGGTTTCTGAAGCCGCTCAAAGAAAAAAGAGGCGCTGGTGGGATCCCCGTCACCATGGGTTTCAATACTCAACAGATCTGGGGAAATTATAACGACCCCACTGCGACCTCACTATAATCATGGTTAGTAAGGAGAATCATCCCCCCAAGATAGCCTTATTTCAGGTGAGTGAATTATGATCATTTACCCAGACATATCTCTATTTTTTGGGGGGTAGCCCCATTTTTGGAAACCTCCACATCATCATAATCGAGGCGGGTAAGACATGCTTGATTGATGAATTGTACATAGGAGTTTTTTTCAAGGGCTTATTAAAGGTTAAAGTTGGTTGGAACAGAATTGGCTACCAATGATTTATTCTTAACTTTGGTTAAACTTCACATGATGTTCAACTTTTCAACGGTACAATATTATATATGTATATATATATATACTATATATATATATGTATAACATTATAACATTTAAGATTGTCAATCTGGTTGAATGATGTTGCGACCTCACTGTGACCTCAGAGGTCAATGTTCGAACTTGGATTGGGGCCACCATTATAAGTTGGTTCTAAATCCCATCTACGTATAAATATATCGACCGAAAATGGTGGTTAGCCCTGTAAAACAAACTGATCTGTCTAAGAGGCCCCTTCCCGTAGATTTTGCTGAATCTTCCATTCATTTCATCAGACATTTGGAGCCGAAGACGAAATGCTCCAACCGAAGAGATGCACAGAGATGGTGTATGCGGATGAATGGGGTATGCGGTATGCAAATCCCACAATACTAGCATTGAATCCAGAAATGGCAGTATCCAATGAAAAACCATGTAAGAAAAAAACGCACTCAGACTTTATGTTGAAGATGGTTGAGTCAACCACCATTTGCAATTGAAGGAGAACCCGAACCTTTGCTGGATTTGAAAATGCATATTTTGCCCGGCACTCATACGATTGGTTCACCCCATATTGGAACCATAGTTTTCTGTCACTTTTCCCTTGAAATTGTCCGAAGGCGGCGAGGGAAAAAGTTGTCGCAGCACAGTAAGGAAGTGTTGGCAGCCTTCAATGCCAGTGACTTTGGCTGTCTGTGGGTTCCGTGAATATCCTCCAGCAAAGCAACCAATATCTGTGGTTTAAACCACTGGTTTACATATCTGTAAGTTTCGTCGTCATCACCGTCGTCATCATCATCATCATCATCGTTATCATCATGCATGGGTTTAGTAACGTGGTAAACCCAATAATAAACCATCCCCAAAATCATTATAAATTATAAACATTCCCAAATGGTAGGTTTGTTGTTGGGTTTTGCCACATTATACAGAGCAAGATGATTTCTACATTACAATACTGATGTCTAGTTATTGGAGGCTAATCTGTTTTTTTCCATCACTTTTTTGAAGGGAAAACAGCAGCAGATACCCAGACATCGCGCAGGCAGTTGGATCATTCCAAGAATGGCGTTACGAATGTCTTGGGAAAAGTAAGATGTTGGCAAGTTAAGGGTTCAAATGTATTTACGTTTTTTCAACAGCATTCTAAGTTATACTTGGGATGATTCGTTGAGATGATTCAGGATTGGTTTTATCAATATACTATCAATATCAATATTGGTATTAACATTGTTTGAGGGATGGGTTAAAACATGTTCGCTGCAACCCTGACCTTGCACCGCGTCTGACTTCAGGTGGCTATGAAGATAAAAGTTGATGTTTTTGCCCCAATCAACATATTGTTCATAGGGGGTGGCGAATTTTGATCCCTCATGAAGATAAAGTTGATGTTATTACCCCAACCAAAATATTGTTCATAGGGGGTGGCGAATTTTGATCCCTCATGAAGATAAAGTTGATGTTATTACCCCAACCAGAATATTGTTCATAGGGCGTGGCGAATTTTGATCCCTCATGGAGATAAAGTTGATGTTATTACCGCAAACAAAATATTGTTCATAGGGCGTGGCGAATTTTGATCCCTCATGACGATAAAGTTGATGTTATTACCCCAACCAAAATATTGTTCATAGGGGGTGGCAAATTTTTGTGTGATGATGATGATGATGATGATCATGATCATGACGATTGTAAGTGTGGAGCAACGTCCGGGTTGGGGCGACGATGTTGAAACCGTCAACCAGATGAGGTTTTGCCAAATAAAGTGTTTGTGGCATGGCATGCCCCACACGTCAGAAGATCTCACTTTTTGCAAGGTATTGGTACCCTCTGGCGATATGGAACTTATGTGGGAAATCAACAGTTTCAATGGGCAATTTTCCATGGCAAATTTTGAAATTACCAGAGGGTACTGCTCCACGGTTTGTTCAAACCTGAGTTGAAGAAAAATATGGGTCACTATCCATACCGGTCAAAAGTTGAAGCGTCCTCAAGAAATACAATCGACTAGCAACTTTCATCTCATGTATAGAAATCCGTCTTTCCACGCTGCTTTATCCTTTAGCCGAAAATGTTTGTCCCCGGAATGTTCACAATAAATTTGGTATTTTAGCCATCACTGGCCCAAACCCTTGTTTTCAGAAGTTGATAACTGGGACCTGGTTGCTTGGCTATAAATGGATTTTACTCATTGAAAGCCATGAGCACCCCCATACTTTACATGAACATGAATCTTATTGTTGCTGACGTTGAAAATTCGTGCATTTCCCTGTTCAAGTAGCATCCCTAGTTCCTGACTACCTCACCCTGGCAGAAAACTCAATGTCTATGTCCATCTTTCTGAGGTCCTGTGATGCCATTTCTGCCACAAAAGGGCTGAGTTGAGAATGTTGAGAAGCTTGGAACCGAGATTAATTTCAATGAGAAAAGATCCGGAATTCAGCCAGTGGATTTAGGGCTACCTTGATAGCGACCCGAAAAAACGACCTCACCAGAGATGATGCGAATAGTAGGGCGAATCATCCCAAAACATGGGGCTGCACTGGACGAAGTTTGATAGGAAGCCACGGGTAGCAATTGCATCTATCGGTTCCACCAAAGCTGGTGTCGGACCCAATGGGACCCGAAAATCAATACAGCAAGCTACATGGTGGTTGTGTTTTGCCATGTTGTGTTAATGATTTGCACTGATTTCGTATGGTTTAGCTGAAGTCTGAATGAGTTTTCCAAAGCCTTGCTTGGCCGGAGCGAGTTGTGCATTTGGAGTGCCCAAGCCTTCCAGACATCAACGTCCAACTTCTGAGGATTTTGCTTAGAAACAAACAACACGCAGTCGACAAAAGCCCGAGAAGAAAGAGCACAGCGCTAGTCGCGGGCACTTGGGTTTTCTTCTGGCCAGCAACAGACACAGGTGATTCAAATTAACAGCTGATGTTTGCTGCAATTACGTTTTGATACGTTTTGTTAAAACTGTTAGAATCATAGTCTCTGTGTTTTTTAAAGAAACTTGTACAACTGCAGCCTCATGCTTGTTGCTATTTGCAACACAAGCAGGGATTGAAAGCAGGCAGCGAAATCTCTGCTTTCTTTGGCTTTGTGTTGCTGTAGAGGTGCACAATATTAGCTCCAAAGATATTCCCCAAGCAGTGTGTCCACACTGAGGGGTTCTTACGGTAGGAGTAAAGGCCGGTGCTGATTGGGGTGCTCACACTCTGGTCTCGAGCATTTTTCCTGTCAATTTCCGTATAAAGTGGCTTGAAATGTTGAAGTGCATTTCGACTGCGCAGGCTCGCACAATGTGTGGGTCCTGCTTCTCGGGCGCGGCATTTTTCCTGCAAATTTTCGTATAAAGTGGCTCTTGCGAAATGTTGACATGCATTTCGACTGCGCAGGCTCGCACAAAGTGTGGCCCACAGGTTTGGTATGCGACATTTTACTTGTAAATTTCCGTATAAAGTGATTTCGACTGCGCAGGCTCACACAAAGTGTGGTCCGCGGGTTTGGTCTGCGGCATCTAAATGTAAATTTCTGTGAAAAGTGGCTCTTGTGACTTGTTGACATGCATTTCGACTGCGCAGTGGCCTGCGACATTTTGGCGGTTAATTTCTGTATAAAGTTACTCTTGTGAAATGTTGAAGTGCATTTCGACTGCGCGGGCTCGCACAAAGTGTGTGTTTGCGTTCTGGGCTCATTCTGGTCTGCGGCCTTTCATCTGTAAATTTCCGTGTGAAGCGGCTCTTCTGAAATGTTGAAGTGCATTTCGACTGCGCATGCTCGCACAAAGTGTGGTCCTCGGTCTTGGGATCGGTCCTCCTCCTCCACATCAACATCCCCCACATCATCATCATCATCATCATCATCACCATCATCATCTTCATCTTCATCATCATCATCATCATCATCATCATCTTCATCTTCATCATCATCATCATCATCATCCGGCATCATCATCAATCATCATCATCATCATCATCACCATCATCACCATCATCCTCAACATCATCATTCTCAACATCATCATTCTCAACATCATCATCTTCCTTCCCAGTCACATCATCATCCTCAACTTCATCATCCTCCAGCTCATCTTCCGCAACATCCTCCTCCTCCTCCTCCACATCTTCCACCACATTATCATCCATTTCACAATCCTCTTCAACATCATCATCCTCATCATCATCATCCTCAACATCATCATCCTCAACATCATCATCCTCAACACCCTCATCATCCTCAACACCCTCATCATCATCATCATCATCATGATAATTATCATCATCATCAGCAACAACAACATTATACATTAACATTATAACACATTATCCCCCCACTCACCCCACACTGTTTGGGGTCTCTTGCGGGGATAAGGTTTTTTTTAGTTGCAAACGCTACTAAGTAGTCTTTTCTGGCAGCAGGGAACTAATGAGGGTCCTGGTCCTTGATAAACGATCAACCGGCTTGTCCAGTCATCTTGCCTCACGATTTCTTCGTACGCTGGCTCATAGGGAACTGTTTGTGTTTCATTATCTGACAACTCTGCCAAAAAAATCAGATTCACAATCGAAAAGCAAACAACGAAACGTGATAAATTTCAGCACTTTCAAATTGTACACATGACCTGATTTCAGGTCGAAAAAAATAAACAATGGCCGTTTCGCCGTGTCGGTTTCCAGAAAGGGGTCGCGTAGCTCGCTGCGTCGCCCGTGGCTGGTGCGGTCCGCCATGCTGGAGCTACCGGATGTCTTGGACGCCTTTTGTCTTCCCACCAATGAGGCGGGTGACGGACCTGGGAAAATGAACCATTTTCATGGCAGAGTTCTCAGCCCAAGTGACCTAACAAGTTTTTAAAACCAGCTTGCAGCTCATAACCAAGCAACTAGATTAATTCGAAATTATGGTGGATCTATTTATACTTAGATGAAATTAGATATGGTCTACGCCTGGTTATAAACCAACTGACGAACTCTTGGGCACCTTCCTGTGGGATTGTGATGTCGGAGTTTGCAGCAGGATTTTGGGGTTGGTGTTTTGGTGACTTTATGAAATCAACAGCAACAATATCCGGTGACGTGAGATCACAATATGTGTTCTATTCTATTAGTTGATATGTTCAATTGTTTCATTGATAGTTAAAAGATCGGCATACATGTATATATATATATGTATATAATATACCTGTATACATATATATATGAAACTATAGGATAGGGGCTGGAAGGATTGGATTCGATGCGCCGCAATCAACAAAACCGAGGGAATCCAACAATTGAACACGCAAAACGTTCATGTTCATATCAACCACATTGAAACCAAAGGGGGTTGACTGAGCAACTGGGATTGTTTGAGAATTCAGGGATGGGCCCCCAAATTATGCTGCTCATGGACTTGATTTTCGGGTTGATCCGCTCAATTTTCAGACAAACCCGGAGAACATTGTGGTTTTCTTGCATACCCTAGGGTAAACCAACATAGATTTAGAAAACCAATGGTTTCCTGTTCGGAAAATGATCTACAGATGGTGGGTAAACATCACATCAATGTAAACGTTTACAGGAGGCCACATAGGTTTTTGTTGGCATAGCAGGGAATGGAAGATTAATGGGAGTCCATCCGTTCGCTGGAGCCAACTTGATGTTTCTCCAGCACCTCACCATACGGGTTCATGTCCGGTTGAAGTACAGTATTGAAATTGACATGGAGGTTTCCTGAAATGGGGGTAGCCCCAGTTCTCATCCATTTATAGATGGGATTTTCCCTTATAAACCATCCAGCTTTTGGGCACCATGTTTGGAATATGGAAATTGCTTCGCTGGTAAAATTTTCACAGCACCTATGGTTGTTGCGGATGATCCCACAAGCGGCGCCAAGGCGAATGATGATTTTTGCCCCAAGCTTGCGGCTATGCTTGAAGGCCAACGGCTAGGGCGACCAGCGGCGGGACCACGTCAATCCAAGCCCCGATGGGTGGCAGTTGGGGTGGAAAAAAAAGAGATGGCTACGGGATTTTAAGCTTTGTAAGTTGGGACATGGGGCCTCTGTGACTTCTTAATACTTCCTATATCTTCCTATAGACCTATGGTGAAATGTGTCCGCTTATATTGAATTGGAACCCCGAGTATGGTCAAAATCTGCTAATATTTCAAAATCCCATTGCGTTTGTGAGTTTGCCAGGCGTGGATAAAAACCATTGTGCCAAAAATGTTGCTCTCAGTCTGTCTTCAGTTTCGTGGTCATGGTTGACAAATGATATTGCAACTCTAGTCATATCTCAATCACACTGCGTTTTCTTCAGTTTCCATCGAAAAAGACAGGTTTCTACTGAGCGCTTGTGGTCTTCATGTTGATTTAGCTGGATGCAGGATTTGTGATGAGTTGTACCTCTCACCTTAGGCGTCCGCTTCCATTGCAGACAATTGTCCGGGTAGTTGTCTTGCCCAACTCATGAATATGAACATTATGCATATATATATATATACAAATTAAAACCCTACACCATATACCTTACTTGGGGCAGTCATGAGCGTGCTTCATATGATTTCTTACCCAAAACATCCCGAAACCATTTTGGACTATGACTAATGTGGTCAACCCAATAATCAACCATCCCAACAATCACCAAAAATTGGTTGTATAAACATCCCCAAATGACAGGCTTACTATAGTTCAACACATTCGTAATCCCAGCGTGTCGCCATGGCCGCCAGGGCAACGAATGGAGTGGGATGAACTGCCACCTGAATGTGATGAAGGAGTGATGACTGGATGACTAGTTTTTTTTTCGGCACTCCAAGTTTGAAGCTGAGCATTTTCAAACGGGAGACCTTAGCAGAAACTTTTTGTTTCTTCCAGTAGGGTTTGCATTTTTGGGGGCGTTCCCAGAATTTTGAATGTCCGAAGAAACAACAAAAGATGATTTGGTTTCCACTTCAAAGGAACAAAAGCGTGACAATTCATTACGAGTTTCAGAGTGTGTATATTATACATTTATATAACATTTGTATTTTATTGTATTCATCGATGTATTGACGGGTTCACATTATCTCTCTATCTCTCTATCTCTCTATCTCTCTATCTATCTATCTATCTATCTACCTATCTATCTATCTATCTATCTATCTATCTATATTTCTATCTATTTATCTATCTATTTATCTATCTATTTATCTATCTAACTATCTATCTATCTATCTACCTGTCTATCTATCTGTCTATCTATCTGTCTATCTATCTGTCTATCTATCTATCTATCTGTCTATCTATCTATCTATCTATGTATCTATCTATCTATCTATCGATCTATCGATCTATCTATCTATCTATCTATCTATCTATCTAATCTATCTATCTATCTATCTATCTACCTACCTATCTATCTATCTATCTAATCTAATCTAATCTAATCTAATCTAATCTAATCTATCTATCTATCTAATCAATCAATCAATCAATCAATCTATCTATCTATCTATCTATATTTCTATCTATCTATCTATCTATTTATCTATCTAGCTATGTATGGATCTATCTATCTATCTTTCTTTCTTTCTTTCTATCTCTCTATCTATCTAACTATCTATCTATCCATCTATCTAACTTCTATCTTTCTATCTATCTATCTATCTTTCTATCTATCTATCTATCTATCGATCTACCTATTATTTATCCATCTATATATTATTTATCTAGTTGTCTATTTATTTATTTGATTGTTAGGTGCATTGCAGACGCTGATGAATCGAGGGATGCAAGCGGTGAGCTCACGGTTTGGGATTGGAGTCAACATCCAGGGGTATCTTCCCTGGACACTGACAGGTTATCGCCAAGAAAACATACTGGAAAGACGATTTTTACCATTTCAATTGGCTATCGAAAACTTGTGATGACACTGAGGTCATATGTCAAATATCTGTTGCGTCTTGCACGTGTTCAACATCCAAAAAATCGGAGTAGCTGGGAAACGCTTCCATTGGGAAAAAAAAACTGATATTGGTTTTGAAGATCTGCTGTGTCAAGCGTCCAAGTGGATCGTACTGTGGTAAGAATATGCAGTAACATGACGCAGAAAAGGAATGAAAAAAATAGAAAATGCATATATATATATATCAGTATTATTACTCTTATTTTTTATCATCATTATTATGTGTTTATTATTCTTATTTTATTACTATTATTTTTATATATATACAAGTAGAAGAAACTCTTGGGATATTCTGATGAGAAGGTCTCTGAAGTTAGGATTTGTTGTATATTGGTATGTCGAAAGATCAGTGAGATCCTAGGTTTGGTTGGTAGAAATCAACAAATTACCACTATCTTCAGACACCATCAAAGTTGAACAAGATCAGCAATCTGTGTTTAGCAACCTTTTTTTCATGCGGTAAACAAACAAGCAGAAACCATCCCCCAGTCATCACCATAAATCGCTTCTACAAATCATCGCCACATGGAAAAACTTATTATTTTGGGCTTTCCCACTGATAGCAATCCGACAGTCCGGCTGCATCCGGGCAGCAACCTTTCTCCCTTTGTTTAGCCCCAGGATGTGTGGAATACAAATGGCGGCTGGGTCCGGAACACACCCACAGGCAGATTGACGATGGCGGACCGACCCTGGGAGAACTGGGATCTGGGATCCGATGAAGCTTTGATTCAAAATCATGAACGGCTGGTTGAAGATTGACCCAGATATATCCAGATGTGGGTATATGTCATATATTCATATGTCAATTTATGAGCAGGGGAAGCAGACAAACAACTCAGGTGGAAGTCCTGCAGAAAAGTGCGAATGTCGAAGAAAGCAGCCCTATTCAGTCAAATGGGCGTGTCTGAAATTGGTGATACCCCCAAAACAGTCAAAATAGCATATTGTTCATAGCCTAATATGGGACATCTTAATCGTGATAAGACATTGGATATACAGTTATGGCCCTTAAGACTTATAAGTGGGATTGTACCTCCTGCAACTAAGGTGAACAATATCACTTAAATCAGGCCTAGCTAGTTATAAAGTTATAAAACTGTGTTATTAGGGCTATAACTATCTATAACTTGCATATGAAACCCATATTAAGCCCATATTAGCCTATGATATTCCCATAGATATTCCCATTGTATCTTTCCAAATCGGATAGCGAGGTTAGCAATAGGTCTATCAAGCCACCGGTCTCCATTTGTTTACTGTATATCTTTATCTATGTTCATATCTGTCTATGTGTATATATATATATACAACGTATGATTTACCATGTATCGTATAAATATACATATATGTGTATCCAGTACCTAGTAGTATACATATCTATGTGTATCCAGTACCTAGTATATAGATGTAAATAGTATACTTAGACTCTCCTAGTACTGTAGCTAAAAGAACAAGAAACGTTTGACATTTGTGAGGTAGGAGAGTCCCCCGGTGCATCCACATCGGGGCCCTTTCCCTCAGGCGGCTCGAACGTTTAGCGCCGGGGGCCTCAGGCGTTCTCCTTTCGTTCAGGTATTGAAGGGCTCATTAGTTGAGAGGTGGGAGGTTAGGAATATAAGTTAACCCTGAAACTTGGTTGATTTCCATGATTTCCATGATATAAGTCTGTAAAGTCATGATCGGCTAATAACCAGCAATATGAGGATATAATGGGTTACAGTATCCAGGGATACATAACAAGCAGCATGATCTGGATGTGTTTGTCCAGCATTTCTATTCGTTGGGACGTGCCGAAAAAATATTGGATTTTAGGTCACCTTTTTTTTAGCAGACTAAGACTGGTTGGTTGTTTGGAACATTTTTATTTTTCCATATATTGGGAATAATCATCCCAACTGGCGAACTCCATGATTTTTTCAGAGGGGTAGGTCAACCACCAACCAGCTAAGATTTTGAAGGTGACTTCAGTCAGCTTGACTGAATCATTCTAATGTGACCCTCTGGAGATCAGAACAAATGACACCTTTTTTTTGGGCAGGTGACGCTGTGTACAGATCTCCAGTGGTCCAGTCCTCTTCACGGACTTTCGAGTGAAATGTCTTGTTTGCAGAATAGTAAAGTACCTCAGTTTTTCTGCGAAGACATGGATGTTCATACACATAGTGCATTTTGCATGCACATGTTCCGAAACATGGGCCTCAGCAGTGAGGTGTTAGGGGTGGCTGTGAGCGAAGTCTATAGTCCACCACGAATCACCGCTGAAGCTCAGAAGCAGGGTCTGAGGAGCGGAAAGGCATATGACCTTGTCACTGGTTTTGATTTGAGATTGAAGGCAGAAGAGGAGCGTCCGTCTGCTGAATGTTTTCTTGCTCTTTTGAAGAGCGACACTCAAGCAGACGTCATAGCCCACATTGGGACTCTGGCCCAGCATTTCAAGAGCGGAGAGTTGGCTGCTGCCGACAATCCACTGGCGGTCGCGCTACCGCGGGAGCAAGATCAATCAGAGTTGGTCTTAGCATGTCCCCCTTGCACAGTGTTTTGTCCTTGGCGCTGAACTGGCCGAAGATTTTTGCTTGGCAAAATGGTCAGCATGATTTACGATGTGCATCATGTCATCGCGGCAAGGGTTTGCAAGAGACAGCATGCAAGAGGGAAGTATTTTCTTCTGGAACAGCCGAAGCCGTCTTTGGCTTGGTCTGGCTAGTGGTTTCCTCTCATGGGGCTCCAACTGATTTTATGGTTGGAGTCAGGGAACATGAGTCTTTCCTTGTTGCTGCCATCATTATCTTGGCACAAAATCCCCATTGTATCTGCAATTTCTACGTGCAGAATGAAATCATTCTCGATTGAACCTTGAATTATCAGTCCAGAGTTGTCAACTGGAATATCTGGTTGCCAATATCTCGCATTTTTAGGTAGGCTTACAGCAACCCAGTTCCTTACCACAGGTCCTAAATCAATCATTGCTCCTGAATTGGTGTCTAAGATAGATGATAATATGTTTTTGTTTGACAATATATGTTATATAACATATGATTAGATACTACAATCTATTTTTGATAATCTATGTTAACATAAGATAAAAAGCCCTGGTTCCATAACATGGGTTTCAGAATCATGAACTCTTTTGCCCCAGCTGTCCGCAGGACTCAGATGAAGTTCCGATTGACCGAAGGTGCTGCCGGTGCGAAGGAACTCCCCTGCCCTTAGGGTGGTATACGTGTAACAATAGCATGCCAAAACGGCGCAAGATGAGCTAAATTTGTTTGTATCATGTTTTTATGTCCCAACACATAAAGCCTCTACTATACCTTTGGAATGTATATCCTATTGTTGCTTTGTTTGACCATGAGGTCTTTGTGCAGGTGAAGTGTGGTGTTGGTCGGTCTGAAGAAACACCAGAATTGGATGTCGGATGGGTTTTCCCCTGAAAATGACCAGCAGTACATGATGAGGTCGTGGGAACCTAGAGCATTCTGGAGAAACTTGTCTATTTTTAAATGGGACCCCTTGTTGACGCGCTGGCCGTCTTGGGCTGAAAATGAAAAACAGCTTTCAGCAGGATCATCATTTGGTGTTTACAGGCTCAGACATTTTCTGGCGGTTGGTTTTAATATATATATATATATAATATGTATATATATATATAGTTATATATATATATATATAGTTATATATATATATAGTTATATATATATAGTTATATATATATAGTTATATATATGCGGTGTGTGTATACTGTATACTGTATATATTATACAATATATATATATATATATATGTATGATAACGTATCATAATATATCATAGGTTTCTATATTTATGTTTTAGATTGTTATATCTTTAATCAACCATGTGTTCCTGTCCATTACTTGTTCATCCTTGGAGACAGCCCAGGCCGCATAGCTGGATGGCTGGAAAATCCCGTCACTAACAATGGATGAGAACTGGGGGTTACCCCCATGACTATGGAAACCCCAAGGCAAGGTAATATACTTCACATGATAATATGATATAATAGGTGGTGGGTCATTTGTTCACATGATAATCCCTATTTTAGGAAACCTTCATAATTATTTTATTTTTTGGTTGGAATTGCATCTATTTTCTAGGTCGTTTACCTAGTAGGTGGATAAACACTATACACGGTCGAAAGTTGGATAGCCACTGGGCTCGAGCCTCCACTGGGCTCGAGCCTCCACGGGGCGTGGCCGGATAGCCTGTTGGGGGGGTGAACCGATCGAGCCATGTCATGTTCTATGCGACCGAGATCACATTCCTGTGTTCAGCATGCTATTCAGTTGTCGACTGCCAATGTGCCCCAGCAGACGATCTATAACTCGCAAAATTGGTACATGTGGTTCTATGGCCGTTATTTCTGCGATTGCATTCTCTGCTGGCTATTTGCCGACTCTTGTCCACGCTGCTCTACTGGGCTTTGCGGTGCGCCTCTTTATCATGCATGGGAACTTACTGGAATGACTTTGGTTTCGTTAATGCCACAGCGATCAGCTTCGGCAAAAGATATTCCCTACAGCTTTTCTCGTGGCAGTTCGCGGTGGCCTGTATTTGTTGTTTCTGGTGATGTGCAGCCGCTTGGTGCGCTAAGTAAAGCCGAATTTATGGAGACAATGCGTGTGATCTCCTTGTGGTCCATGTTTCCAGATGGAATTTTGCTTACGGAATAGGACTGGTCAATTGTACCTTGATGCCTTCTCTGGAGAGCTGTTGTCCTCCTGGATTGGTGCATGACATTGAATTCTCTTCCGCAGATGATGATAAGTGCCAAAGGCTACGGATGTATTACTCTGGCCAAATTTGATGTGTTGTTCATTAGTCGCTTCAGGATTGTCTTTGCTTGACAGCCTGATGTGATGTAGCAGTTAGTGTCCCCGAGCATTGCTATGACATAGCTGTCATTGTTTGCCATGGTTTTATCACCTAGCAGGGGGCTGCTGCGCGATGCGGTTAATCTCCAGCTGTGGAACGGAAGATATGTCCCTGGCATGCCGTCAGTTGTGTTTAGTTCGTGCTTGTTGTTATGCTGCCTTTGACCCGCCACCAGTGCTTGGGCTTAGTCAGCGTGGACTCTTGCCACATGGAGCACGTCGAAAGTTGGATTGTGCACCCGCAATGGTGGGATAGCCATCAATCTATTAATAGGGGTTAATGTACCCATTGTGATGTGTTGTAGTTGTTTCCACTATGGGGTGGATGACCATGCCCCATTGATCCAATGTAATATATCAAATTAATGTTAAAAAACGTCCCTGAAAAAACAAAAAATCGATGTTGAATCTCCAGTAACCACTTGAATCTCCAGTGTGTTGACCCCTTGACAGCACTTGAATAAATGTCGTGGTGTTCGTCACAGGTAATGGTACAGCTTACTACCTCTTGGGAGTTCGCGACTCTGGGATCGCGGAGGTCCAGCTGAACAATCTGTTCGGGAATGATTCAGCCTGGTAAGATCTGGTCCCCAACTTGGGGCTTTCAGAAAATAGCCTGAGAAGGCTGGGTTTTTGTTACCTGCACCGAAACCTACGGTTTGCCAGCGAAAATTAGGAATCGTTTTTGATCTGTTGGATGCTTTTTGGGGTTCATCCAATTTGGGAAACAGTCAGTGAATCTTGGGATTTCGGGTATTTATGGATATTTTTTTTGGCTGTCTACTCCCTTGGCTGTTTACTGGCGGTATCAAAGCAGGATCCCTAGGTTCAATGAGTTTTATTTCCATTGCTACTAGTTACTAGTTTTAAGTCCACATCATTTCTGGAATTCATTTCTTTACTTGTTATGTGGAACTGTGGACTCTTTGTTCTACTTGATTCTTCCTATCTCCCAGATCCGTTTCGGTTTGTCTGAAAACCGGGGGTTCAGCCCACGAATGTTTGCTGATGGAATCCCTCGTAAATTTGACCTGGGAGGGAGGTTACCCTCTGGTAAATGTTTACATAACTATGGAAAATCACATTTTTTATGGGTAAATCAGCCTAATCAGCTATAAATGGGCAAAATTTAATAAATCAACATATATCACTATAAATGGGTAAATCAACTATTTCTATGACCATTTGAGAATGTTCGCAAACTGTAAACGTTTACCAGAAGGTAACCATGGATCAAATCTGCGTCCATCGCTAGGGGTTGACGGCCCGGGAGCATTCAGAAGCCGTGAGCGTGCTGATGGCGGTCCGGTCCTGGGAGTGTGTTGCTGAAGCATTGAGAGTTGTTTACGTATGGGTTTGATAATGTATGAAGAAAGAATTGGCTGCAGGACCTTACTTTGATGGAAATGGAATGACTCTTAGCAGGAGTATCCCCAAATAACCTTCTTTCAGTTGGGAGTGTCAACTGGGTTTCTTTGGTTTGAATTTGGGTTGCTTAGATTCTCGGTAGCAAACGATCCCTATCCCCTATTTGAGTGTGGGTCTGTCCACTAGCCCACGAACCCCATTGCAGAGTATTTCTTCTACTTATAGATATGCTCAGGTCAGTGATTTCGATGATGAATCCCAATAGTGTGAGGTTCAAAGCCATCATTCAACCTCCTAATCTTCGAATTGGATGACAGGAAAATCGAAACCGTAAAGCTTCATACTTGAGGATAAACCCCATGGTTTCCGGTACTGAACTTTCTTTAAACCAACCCATTTAAATATGTTTGCCGGTAAAAGAACCCATATGTTGATCAGTAGTTCGCAACGTGAATCAATGAGTTTCCAGATATTCTCTGATTGAAGTTATTAACTACTGACGTTGGTTACTTATTGTATAGTCTAGTTGCAAGTTCGAATTTAGTTGTAACTTCCGGTAATTTCACACAGCTATCGAAAATTCGAAAATTCGGACCAATTTTAACATAAATTCGAAGTGACAGAAGTTATAAAATGGTGATTTTTTTCGTTCGCTCTCCAGGCCGCAGGAGCCGCTGACAGCATCTTACTCTTGGAGGCGAGATGTTTTCCAACGATGACTCACTTGTGTTTTTTGCTCCCCAAGATGGAAAAGTAAATCACCATGAAATTTATATATATATAGAGTCATTATATTATATATAGTCACAATGAAGTGATATATTATCTATAGTCATCCCCAAATTACTAGGGATTTGCCAATTTTTTAATATAATGACTATCACTATATAGTATTGCATAGTATTGTATAATGCTTAGTAGATCCTCTTTTGTTTTTTTTTCGTTGTTTCAAATGTGGTTAATAATGGTTAACAGCGGCTATGAATGGCTTATGATTGCCAAAAATCCCTTCCCCCAAAGTCACCATGGTTTTCTTCGGGATGACAGTCACATATGATCTGGGACCATAGATGGGATTACAAGCAAAATCAGGGTTGGGTTGAACATTGCTCACTAGAGTTGTGGCCATGGCTATTAGTTATAACTGGTTATTCCAATGGGATTATACATTCTATAAATGGGGTTTCTTAGTACTTATAATTGGTAAAGGGCCATAACTGTAGATCATCATTTTGCGATAGATATTTTCATACCCCAGCGGGTTTATCAATGCGGATATATGAATTTTGCTCCCTAGAGGAGACCTTTTTGCTATAGATGATGATTTTGCGAAGAGGTTTTGGTAGTTGAGCAACCAAGATGAGGATATCGAGTTTCATGGACAGAAGCAGGAAACTATGTATATATATATATGTAAAAAAGAAATAGGACTCTTTCACACCAGCTATGGGGATCTCAAGAAAGAAACACCACTAGGAAATTTCAGCAATGGTTTGAAAATCTATACTGTCTACTTCAGGACAGGACGATCTCATAGCCTTTCACATGCGCAGTTTTTGAAGGATGATCCCACGTATTTTTTATTCTGGCGGGTTTTCATAGGATTTCCCGTAATGTATATTCATAATCCCCAAATCTATCCCAATATCCTTGATGAGTGTTATAGTATCTTATAGTTGGATCATGGTTTAATTATCTATCTATCCCAATTATCTGGTTGGCTATTGTTGGTTAATATGTATATATACACTGGTTGGTGGTTTGGAACATTTTCTATTTTCCATAATATATGAGATAATCCTTCCCATTGGCTTTCATATGTTTCAAGATGGTAAAAAAACACCCCAAACAGTATATATATATATAGCTATTGAAAATGCTGATTTATACTGGATTTACCCATTAAAAGTGGTGATTTTCCATAGTTATGCAAACGTTTACCAGAGGGTGATATATATAAATAAATATATATATATATATATCCCTGCAATCATCAACCAACAGGGGTGTCTCGCAGCCACTGCTCGGCGGAACAGAGGCCCTGGGCTGTTCACCCATGGCGCGCAAAGGGAAACTTTGCTCGGCCTGGCGACTGGAACAAAGGCGGCGGGGTTGTTTGACAGTGATGGTAGTCATAGTATCGATTTTTTTTTTAAAGTACTGTGTATATATATATATATTGAATACAATATGGATACAATATGGATATATAGTGGTGATAACGGTGGAACATAATTACAGTCAGTGCCAGAATTATAGAACGGAGCGAAGAGGACAAAAGTACGGTAAAATACCGTACCTTTGTCCTCTTCCGGGTTCGAACCTGGAGCGGAGTCGGAAAATTTAATTATAGAACGGGGAAGAGGACAAAGGTACGGTAAAATACCGTACCTTTGTCCTCCTGGCTCCGTTCTATAATTCCTGGCACTGACATAAAATGAGGATAAAATGAGGAAATGATGAGGAAATGATAATAAAACGCGGATAAAATGAGGATTTAATGGGGATTTGGTGAGGAAATGAGGATCAAATGCATATTTAATGAGGATTTAATGAGGATAGAACGACGAAAAAGGTTAGGAGTAAATTCAGATACATTTTTTTTCATACCTTCCGAGGAAAACAGAATTATAGAACAACAGGGTACGGTAAATAACCGTACCTTCGTACTCCTCAACTTCCGTTCTATAATTCTGTTTTCCCCCATTTTTCCCACATTTACCAGGTGATTTTCTCAGATTTCATGGTGATTTTATAGGAATTCATAGTGGTTTTATGGGATTTCATGGTGGTTTTATGGGATTTCACGGTGATTTTCTTAGATTTCATGGTGATTTTGTAGGATTTCTGGGACCCCGGAAGAGGTTCTATAATTCTATAATTAATTTTTCCGTTCTATAATTAATTTTTCCGTTCGACGGAAAAATTAATTATAGAACGGGGCCCGGGAAACATTAATTATAGAACGAAAATGGGAAATGTGAGAAAAATGGGGGACAACAGAATTATAGAACAACAGCGCTCCGACAAGAATTATAGAACGACGAAAAAGGTTAGGAGTAAATTCAGATACATTTTTTCTCATACCTTCCGAGGAAAACAGAATTATAGAACAACAGGGTACGGTAAATAACCGTACCTTCGTACTCCTCAACTTCCGTTCTATAATTCTGTTTTCCCCCATTTTTCCCACATTTACCAGGTGATTTTCTCAGATTTCATGGTGATTTTATAGGAATTCATAGTGGTTTTATGGGATTTCATGGTGATTTTATGGGATTTCACGGTGATTTTCTTAGATTTCATGGTGATTTTGTAGGATTTCTGGGACCCCGGAAGAGGTTCTATAATTCTATAATTAATTTTTCCGTTCTATAATTAATTTTTCCGTTCGACGGAAAAATTAATTATAGAACGGGGCCCGGGAAACATTAATTATAGAACGAAAATGGGAAATGTGAGAAAAATGGGGGAAAACAGAATTATAGAACAGCAGCGCTCCGACAAGAATTATAGAACGACGCAAAAAAATAAGAGGAAGATCAGATACATTTTTTTTTCACACCTTCCGAGGAAAACAGAATTATGGAACAACAGGGTACGGTAAATAACCGTACCTTCGTCCTCTTCAACTTCCGTTCTATAATTCCGGCACTGACCATAAATCATTAACGGGGATATCATACAATGGGGCAAGGTGGCCCCCCAGGGTTGGTTTATAAGAAGTCTCAACTATAGTTGTATCTTCCATGAAACCCTAGTGAACCAAGTTATAAGTCAACTTTGCATTCTAGGCCACACATTGTAGGATATGTATTTAAATTATTGTATGTAATAGGGATATAACTATATAAAGCCTGAAAGCTTAGGATTTAAAGAAAAATATGAGGATTGAGATAGGAATATGCCATTAGATACACAAATGATGATTATATTGTGTACGTACGTATCTTGTATAATATATATCATATTTATTATACATATCATGGGTATATATGTATACATATATATATATATGGGTATTTCTATACATATATATAATTATATTAGATCCAGCAGTTCTACAATATGGAACTTGCAATGTGCTTTTTCACGTGCAATGCGGATTTTGGGGTACCCCATTGACGAAAACGGAGAAGCCCACCGTCCCTATTGAAATGGTCGCTGAGATTTTCGTCATAATGAACCACGGGGATCGCGCAACGGTGATATAGATAGATAGACAGATAGATAAATAGATAGATAGATAGCTAGATATTACCATGTGTTACCAACCATAATATACATATATACATCATATATATATATATGTAGATATATACATGTGATGTTTTATTATGAAAAAGGCAGATACAAGATGTGATAATCCTTGTAGTTAAGCTGTAAATGAGGATAGATGATAGAAGTCCAGCTGGTTTGTGATGTCTTGACAATGTCCTCACTCCATGTTGGGCGTGTCTTTTACTGTAGATTTTGGATGAACAGTGTCAAAATTTAACATGTACCCTCTGGTAAACTAACATAACTATGAAAAATCACCATTTTTCATGGGAAAATTCACTATAAATGGTGATTTTCCATAGTTATGTTAAATTACCAGAGGGTAAGTTACTATAGTCATGTAGATTTGATGACTTTTCGGGTTGGTGGTTGGATTTTTCCCAGCCTTGCGTCAAATGACTGGAGGGAGAAAAAACCTGTTGACCAGCTGACCAGCGGATGGGTATTCAACCCCTCACCGCGATAAGTAAACCGGGTCGCAGACTATGACATCTTCAGTTTGACCTTCAGCAACTATCCCGTAGGATCCATGTATGCTATATATGGTAACATGGATCCCATCAATATACCCCCAATGTTAGCATATATACCATACATGGATCCTATGGGTATTAACTATACCTATCTCACCTGTTTTGGTGCTCTCATGTTTGCAATTGCTCAAAAAAACTTGTTGAAACTGACAGAAACTGAGGATAAACACCTGATGGGTCAAATTTGGGTTTGGGTCAAGACTGGATGATTGACAGCAAGAGCGAAACTTCTCATGTTGATTATCCCATAGTTTCGTTCCCAAGGTTGGATGCTTGACACATTTCCAGAATTTGTTAGCGTGAGGATCATTTGGACTTGTATCCACATATTTACACACCTACATATGAGCAGGCCACAACTTTCAATTGACCTGAGCAGCAATTGTGTCCGATTTTACTTCATGACAGAACACATTTCCATTGCACTTCCCTTGCTTATGAAATTGAAGGCCTACCGCAGAAGCACATAACATTGCAGGTGAATGGCTACGAAATTCAACCAGAGATGATACAGTTTCTCATCGTAATATTGAACTATTTACATCTACAGGAATCAATATGTTGATAGATGTTGTAGTTTCGTACCCAAAGCAGCTGTCAAGCCAAAACGTAGTCCTCGCTTGTCAAATAATGTACCATGTCAAATGTTTAATCTGGAATATTCGATGGCCACCCGTTTTTGGTCATGTGTATAGATCAGATATAATGTTAAGTTATGCCTAAGTTGGTTTATAATGCCAATCAACTATACACATATCTACCCAAGTCTTAGTCTCATATCTATAAACTAACTAAGCGATTCCAAACTGGGGCAGCACCATGTAGGGGATTTTTGGACTTGGGCAGCACCAGGGGTTATTGACCACTTACCAAATGGGACGAGCATCCTAGAATCCCCCGCAACCATCATCACTCTGGTCACTAGTCATTTTTGACAGAATAGAATACGGATTAAAAACAAACTAGAAGGGACAGGGACATATTCCTAGAAAAATCCATGTTCTATATCTGATCTATTCCATGATCATGTATATATATAATATTGACATATCTATGTTATCTATGTGATGCGTCCCCTTTTGGCGAGATGCCACCACCGCAATGTCGAAAGCGCATTCGACACGGGCGCTGACCTGGGCCGACACGGGCGCGTCGGACTTCCCGGCACGCTGCGACCATGCAATGGTGGTGCTGCCGGGGAAGGAGCCCACGGCATGTCGGGGACATCGGGGGGGTTCACCAGCCATAGGCATTTCACCCGGCTGGGGATTCAAGCCTTCAAAGCAGCACAGAAAGTTGTCAAACTGCTAATCTAGCAGTTTAACACGGAAGATTTCAATGTAAATCCATGTAAATCTTTTGAAATAAAGGGTCACGTTCTAAGATGGAATTCCATGGCTATGTCAAATTACCGGTCATAGGGTATGTTAGGGCTACTTTGTGGGGCTTCAAGCAACAGAACTGGTGTTTTAACCACACATGGGTTTGATTTAATGGGCATATCAAGCAATCAATCTGGCTGTCTATTTCAAATATTTATCTCTTCTACCCTATGTGGCATGAAAATCCCCAATGGTTATTATGTTTCAGAGCGGCCGCCAGTCTTAAATCTCACTGAAACATCGCCATGTCCAAAGTGAAAGTCATCGTCTAGGGCCATCGTGCTAGGGTTTTGAAACACGTGAGATTCATCTTGATCCATGTATTTCTCAAAAGTATATCCTCCCCTGCTTGCCTACTTTGAGGGTCAATGTGCTCATCTAAGTTGCCAAGTTGTGCTCTTTCAAACTTTTTTCCCATGCGCTCCAGTCCACTGTGGCCATATGTTTGTTCAAGTAGAAGGGTCCTGGAATGTTGCCATGTGGCATCTGGACTAAAATGCCTGCACAGAATTTAATATCCGACGGTCATACTATCTTCTGGCTTTCCAACTTGGCACCAGGACAAGCACGTCCTGCTCCTTGGCGGCGTGGCGCGTGGCCGTTGGGCGCTGCAGGACGTCTGGTGCAGCTGCGACGGCGGCGCCACCTGGCGCTGCACCGCGCCCTGTGCGCCGTGGACGGCGCGCAGCGGCCATGCGGCGGTGGCGCGGCGGAAGGACGTGCTGATGCTGGGGGGGGTGGGAAAAGCTGGACTTTCAGGCGGGACATGATGGGAAATCATGGGAAGTTGGATGGGACATTGTGGGTAGTCAGAATGTAGGGCCTAATGGGAAATGTATAGGCCATATAGGTTAACATAGGTCAAGAATGGTAAAGATATACGGGATTGGACAATCACAGATCAATGGTGGTATATATTGGGGAACTAGGAATTGTGGTATGGGTCCAACCCTTTCAGGCCTGACCACAGATGTTGGTCAATATCAAGCCTCCATTGTTCATGCATACGCATACAGGATCATATGTAAGCAAACATATATATAGGATCATATGTAAGCAAACATATATGGGATGGAATGAAGCATCATACAGAAATGGTGGTTTAATGGGGATGTATCGGGGATACAACTAACCGACTTGATGGGTTGGGGATAAATGTATAACAATGCGGGGATATGATGAGATATAGTCTAACATAGTCGTCCAGCTGGCATTTACCCAAAGATGGTCGATACCAGACAAACGTAATGGGTGTGTATATATAATGAGATATAACGGGATACACGTAATGATATTCTGGGAAATATAACCGCAATTTAACTATATATCAAGAGGATATTTGGGTCTATCTGAAAGTGGGACATTGGTCTTAATTTATGGCCTTGTCAAATTGAACATGTCAGATTTGTTGACTCTCGGATGGTCTTCGGAATTTTGTAGAAGATTCAAGATTCAAGGAAAGATGAAGGATGGAATTGGTGGAATGATGCAATTCCATCAACTGAAAGTGGAGACTCAAGCTGGAGACATTGTCTCTCAGGCTGGCGCTAGATTCTCGTGGATGAAAGAGGATGATCATGATGGTGATGCTGGTGATGATGACCTGATGAGAGACCCTAGACTAAGGCAAACAACATATAAAGAACGGGGGCTCATAGCTGGTCGTTAGATTTCACAAACGTTTTTTGGTCTCCACAAAGACGGAATGATTGCCAGATAAGGTGATGGTCTTTGGACTTCGGATCTGTGGTGAATGGCCAAGTGAGCCACGTTCAAAACTGCCGGCAACTGATTTTAGTATTCGGTGGAATTTATTCTTTAAAATTGAATGGCGTCACGCGCGCGCAACCTTTCACAAGCTTCGCGCAAGCTCATGTACGCGCAAGTTTCGCGCAAGCCTGAAATCATGTAGAAAATTGAAACAGAAATGAATGAATATAATTACAACGAAAAGGGTTACACAACATAATGGGACGAGACGAGATGGGTGACAAGTTCCGTTGCTTCCTTGTTGCATTGTTTTCTTGGTATGTCGGCCCTCTGGCTTGCAAAGGTCAGTTTAAGCAAACAAGACTTTGAATGGATGTCATGGATTTTGAATGGTAATAGGCCCAGTAATAGGCCATGGAGGCAACTGTCGCGTGTAATTTTGACCCTTGAAGATTTCACACATCCTGAATTTTGCGCAAGGTTCGCGCAAGATTCGCGCAAGCTTCGCGCAAGCAAAGGGGTTCCTGGCCACTATGCCCCACAGAAACCGGTAGCAAGATGATCGTAGACTCACCATATTGGCTACATTTTGCTACTATGCTCTTTCTGAGCGGGACACTAAGCAAAACCACTGCACGGACTGGGAGCCATGCCGCTGCAAGGCCATACACTCACTGGAGGCATTCAGGGACTACACTGCTGGCAAAATAGGAACTGCGTTGATTGGAGCCTAGAAGTCGAGAAGCCACCGGACAAGCCAAGAAGTCGAGAAGCTGAGAAACAACCGAGGGAGCCGAGAATCTGAGAAGCCAAGAAACCCAAGTCCGAGATCAGCTTCGTGCCTGCATCCCGCAAGCAAATATGCACCAAATCTCAGGAATTCATCTTCGCGCAAGGTCGCGAAAGCTCAGTTTGAAAAATTGTCCGCGCGCAAGCTCCCATTGTGGTCGCGCAAGGATGGCGCAAGGATTTCGCAGAAGGATAATATTCAGTTTTAATTGAAGTTTTGAACACCGCTCAAGTGGTGTACCCATCGCAGATATCTATCCAAAGCTCGAAAGATTGACCGCAGACGTAGTTCGATAGACCCACGCACAAAGCATTCCAACTTGGATTTCAGGGATGTCTGGCTTCAGGAAGGTCATAGCCTGTCTTTCAAGTTTCTGGTCATCCATCACTGGAGGTAGCCCCATGACAAAACGCCAGTTCCCACATCCCACTGGGTGTCGGATTTTTTGGAGGTGATATTTGGAGCTGCGGCGATGGTCAGGGCGCAGAGTGGACGTGCCAAGTGACGTCCGCTGAGTGGCCAGCGAGATATGGTCATTCCTTGCTGCTGCTGGAAAGCGCTGGACATGAAACGCTGCTTCTGCTGGGAGGTGCGGCGCCGGAGATTGGTCCTTTGTTGGTGGTGCAACAGGGGAATGAAATCGACGAAATTTGACGAATACATTTGTTGGATTTATGGTTGATACATCTATAGATTTCTATAGCTAATGTGGTTTTTGAACCAACGAACATCACCGGGGGCACCACATTGTCACTTGGATGTACACCCAGGGTAGAAACTGGATAAGAACTTGGAAATAGCTATGCAAGTGGAGTTTTAATCAAGCGGCTGAACTACTTACTAGGTGGGATGAAGATGCAAGGTTCACTTTTGTTTTGTGTGTGTTGCTTGTGGTTATATACAGATGATCAATGTATTATCATTCTTGATTATCGCCTACATGTCTAGATTGAATCCAGGCACATGGATGTTGCAAAACAGAAAACAATACTCTCTTGCATCCTTCGAACATGATCTTATTTTTGTTGGTACCTGACACTCAGAGTATACCATACAATATGTAATGATATATATATATATCATTACATAATCATACGCACACGTACATATAATTACATATATGGGTACGGGTCAAACTTAATGAGCCTCAAGAAGCGGATGGTTTAAGAACATACTTTAAGACACACTATTGCCAATGTGATGGCTGCATTGGCACCTCCGATTTGACCAGTGTCCAAATGTTACTGGTACCACATCTCCATTGGTGTGGCAAACCCATTTAAAAAAGCATCCCCAAGTCTCTACTAAACAATTCATAGAAGCAATGGACACAGCAAGCAAATCAATACGTACATACTATATACTTATAACTTATATACTGGTTGGTGCTTTGGAACATTTTTTATTTTTCCATATATATATTGGGAAGAATAATCCCAACTCACTTTCATATTTTCACAGGGGTTGAAACCACCAACCAGTATATATCTATACGTATTGTATCATATCGTCGTATGTTGTCATTTAATATCGTTTATTATTGTCAATGAATTTCATATAGACATCTACTATCATACATTGTCATGTATTCTATCATACATATGGTATTCACACTAAACCGTATTTATTACACACGTATGTGTATATATATGGTGATCGATCTAAAGGTCCTTGTAAGGAGTTTTAATTGCGAAAGCCGTGAATGTTATGTTGGAAACCCTCGCGAAAGTTTTTTTTCGAGCTCGCGAAAGTAAAATTTTATTTCGCGAAAGTTTCGCGAAAGTTGGGTATTATAATCATTATATGAAAGGGCTGCCACCCACTGCCGCCCGGGGTCCGGCAGGAGAAGGGCACCAGAGAATGCGAGTAGCAGTAGCCAAGTTTCCAAAAGTGATGCTTTGCGAGAGCCAAACACCAAGGCCCCTGGTCTTCGTTTTTCCTTCAGTGCACCCCCTGCTGATGGCCGGGGTCTGTGAATAGGGATATTTTCGCGAAAGTTCTGCGAAAGTTATGCGAAAGAGCGGGCGAAAGTCAAAGTGCATGTTGAAGGGGGTGGGCCAGTAAACTTTGCAAAAAAAATCTGTCCTGAGAAGGGATTCCGTGATGCTAGCTGCATGTTTAAAAGGCTACCAAGAAGTGATCCGTGATTCTCTGGCGTAATTTGGCAGGTGGTGAACGAATCTTCATAAGAGGTGTTGTTGGCCAACATGGGCCCCGCGAAAGATAAACATGGAGTTCGCGAAAGTTTCGCGAAAGTAAAATTTTTATTCGCGAAGAATGGCCGTTCCGGGATAAAGGAATTTTGATCAACAACCATATATTTATATATGCATATACATATACATAAACATAAGCATAAACTTATATGCGTACGTACGTACGTACGTACATACATACATACATACATACATAGATATAGATAGAAAGATAGATAGTTAGATAGATAGATAGATAATATCGATGTCTATGTATATGTATCGTCGTCCATATAATCACATATGTCTTTTCACAATCTGTCACACCATGGTGGATCCCATCTCCAGGCGTCGCCTTGGCTCGCTTTCTGAACGACGTTTGGCGCAGCGACGACGGTCTCACTTGGCGCCGCGTGGCTGTCGGCGCCGTGTGGGCGCCGCGAGCCGCGGCGGCGACGGCGGTCGTGAGGGGCGTCACGGTGGTGGTGGCCGGTGGACGAGGGGAAGAGGGATGCTTGGGCTGATCGGAAACGATGTCGTTTTACCAGGCTGATGCCTCAGTTTGTATTGTTTGTTGATTTCTAAAGCCATTAAGTATAGCTACATCCCCCCATAAAGACTTAGTTGACTAGTTAACCAAAACTTACATCGAGTGAATGGAAATTGTAGTTTCGTCCATTTTAGAGGGACTGACAGATGTTTGCATGGAATGTATTTGGTTGGTAAAGGGTTCGGGAAACTTTTGGCAGGAACATTATGTATCTATATCTATTCTATTACATATATATATATATTATATATATATATTATTTTATATATTACATATATATTATTATTATTACTATTCTTATTCTTATTATTATTTTTATTATTATTATTGTTATTATTATTATTGTTATTATTATTATTGTTATTATTATTGTTATTATTATTGTTATTATTATTATTGTTATTATTATTATTGTTATTATTATTGTTATTATTATTATTGTTATTATTATTATTATTATATATATATGTATATATTGTATGTGCATATATCTATATGTACATATTGTATATGCATATCTGAAAGAGTACTTCACTGGATAGGTGTCCATTTGCTTACTTTCTTGTTTTTTCCTCGTGGTTTCGTCAAAATCAAACAATGGTGTGGATTGTGTTTTGTGGAGCAAACAAGTCGTGGGTAGTGGAAAATTCATATCATTTGGGTATCTTCATTTGGTTGGTTATATATTACTTTCCGGGGTCTGCAAGACGTGGAGATTGTTTGGTTGTCAAACAATGTCAAACATAGGTTGGGTATGTGATAGTGTTGTGGGCAAGTTGAACATTAGCCCATGTGGGGGTTGACAGGACTTGGGGAATGGTTCTCATAGTCTGACTGGTTCATTGAATACACGGTTTGCACCAGGATTATCCAAGTTAATTAACAAAATCAGTGATATCTAGACAATACATGAATGAAGGATAACCCAACTACCCCCATTTACGGTTGACATAAATATCTCGAGCTTACGGAGGCTCCTAGATTCATGTGAAGGCATGGACCATTTGGTCTGGCTGCAATCCATTTGGGTGTTTCTGTAGAATTAAATTACTATTGATTCGTTTTGAAACTAAACACGTGTGGCTTTGTTGAATAATATGTGAAAAATACCATATAATATGATTGATATAATATGATATATATATATATACATAATTACTGTAGAATTATAAGCATTGGATACTCTGGATGATAATTATTTGGGAATACAATGGTAATTATGTCCAATTCTTATTTACAATGGATGTTTTTAATTATTTCCATAGAATCCATTGGGTATTTCCATAGACCTCACTGCAATCACCGGTGGCGCCCCTATAGTTTTAAGTTTGTTTATAACTGCATCTCAGTATGTGCTTGATATAACCACCAATAAACCTTTAAAAAATGAGGCATGATCCAACTTAGTGATTCCAAAATCGGGCACCGGCCGCACCATTGTTGACGAGCTCAATCTTAAGTTCCCCAGGCTGTTTCGGGGACCTTTGGATCAGTGAAGACACGGGGAGCACCTGGTCGTCGCTGGCCTCCAGCGTTGCTCCGCCGCCTCACAGTGGTGCAGCCTTGGTGTGCTTGGATGACGCTGGGAATTTGTTCCGAAGATCATGGTTTAAGTCACAACACAGGAAATTAAGGGAAATTGCGAAACCTCGACAGAATACAGGGAAATCAGCATCAAACATGAGGGAAAAAGTGGAAACGTTTACTAAATGTTCCGTGACCAGCAGAATGTGTGGCAGTTCACTGTCAAACACAGAGGCAAACACACAGGTGAAGGGTAGTTTGATGCGTTATTTCTGAGCTACAGCTGTTTGTACACAATCCATCTAAAGAATTCTAAAGATAGGTCTTTTCCAGGGCAAAGCATTGAAGTGATGGTTTTCATCAGGTTGTACTACGACAGAGGTTTTTCCACCTGAAGATGGATAGAAGCCAAAAAAATGGATACCCTCTGGTAATCCAACATAGATGTGGAAAGCCCATGAAAGCCCTGCAAAAAAGTGTATAATTATGGGTTGTCCACTTCTGTGTTAATTTACCCCAGGTTAGATGTGGCTTTGGGTTGAGTTTCTTTGCTGTGATTCACTGGAAAGAATGATCAACATCGAAGTCTCTCAGGCTTCCCAACGCTGATTAAATGTGATTTTAAATAATTTGAAAGCGTCGATTCCGGTAAAAACGCATTTCGACAACAGATGGCTCCACTGTTCTTTATATTATGTAGATGGTTTTGTTAGGTTCAAAGGGGGTTAGGTGCCCATTTTCGATATGTCCGCCGTAGAGCAGCCATGAACTCATGAGACAGGTCAGGCAGACCGCAACAAAACAGAAAGAGAGAGAACAGAAGAAAAGCAAACCTTTGGCAAGAAGCCTTCAACAAAACTACTCAGGCAGCGAGGAGAAAAAAGACGAAAACATGCAAGATTCAGAAGAAGAGTCAAGCAGCAATAGTCAATACAGCCGCTACAAATCCAAACACAAGACAGACAGACAAGACTCCCAGAGTGTGACGACCCAGCGACGCATCTGGCAAAGGCAACATGACTCCATTGACAGGATGAAGACGGCAACCCCAATCCGGCAAGGAGGATTCAAATCCCCCTTGACAAAGAAGCCACAGACAATACTAGAAACCCCCAATGAGGAGAAAGAGGACGGCAGCATTGAGGCACATTTACGGCAGCACGCAAGAGAAATAGCCAACCTGAAAGGACAGATTGCAGAAAACGACTGCAAGACAGAAACAGTGCAAAGACAAACAGCCTACCTACTGCACAAGAATTCAAAAAGAGAAGAAGAAGAAGCAGGAATGCTTGCAACAATCTTTGGTTGGCCCAAGGAAGCCGCGCTTGAAGACAGAAAACTCAATGCCAGATGGTTGATTGACCAGTCAGGAGTGAAAGATGAAAACCTGACCATGACATTCACAGACAAAAAAGGAAGACTCTCAAACTACACACGGCTTCGCTTCAGCTTCTCAACACGGTTGCGAGACCAATTCACGTACCATTGTTACAAGCACATACACAAACTACACAATACACTGCACTACTATGGTCCTCACCACCAAAGAAGCACAAACGACAAACTCATCGTGCGAGCGCAATTCTCACAGGAAAGGATGATGAGAAGTGCTTTCATCAAGGCAGGAAAGGAAGGACTTAAGGCCTTTGGTCTCGAAGAAAACACTTGGATGAACGCAGATGCCTGCACAATCTCGGATGACAAAGGGCTCCTCCTTTGGATCGTCTTCAGGCATTCTACAGCCTCAGCCGTCGTCTTTGCAGACAAAACAGTGTTTCAACCCATCCACGACCACTTTGAGGAAAGCCTTTGGCGAATTCGCAACAACAGAACAGGAAAAGGGAAAGGAGGAGAAGAACAAAGACCAGCAGAAGGCAAAGGTAAGGAAAAGGGAAAAACAAAGGACTCCAAGGGCAAAGTGGGAAGGGCAGCTTTTGACTTCAACTTCGATTACCGACGCCCATTCTACATCAAGTATGTCAAGGTGGACAACTGGGAGACACACAAGGATATCCAATACGAAGAAGACTACATAAAGACAGTGGAAGAAAAGCTTTGGGAAGAAGCAGGTATGGAGACAGAGGAGTGACGCCAGGATACAGTATGTGAGAAGCCTTTCAAGGCAACATATGAGAAGGCATCTTTGCCACCCAGATATGAGAAGGCTCCTCTTGAGCCAATATATGAGAAGCGTCAACGACGCAACAGCAAATATAAGAACTCTTCGGCGGAAAAAAGCGTTCGCGCGTTGCATGAAAGTTATCCAAAGGGCACCCTCACAAGGAGAGCCGGGAGGATTGCGCAGCGCAACCGTGCTAGCAGCGTCCACAAACCCTATGCCCCCACATCTGCACAGATCCAAGAGAAACCTAAGAAACAGCACAACCAAAAAACAAGACGCGGAAAGAGAAATAAGAAGCACGCACAGGAAAGACTTGCAGAAAAAAATCTACATAGAAAACAGAACCGTAAAACATGGAGACTGATAAAACACGCAGATGTAACTCTAGTGCGCAATCTTGTTGCGAGCGCACTTGTTCCAACAGCAACCCAGGAAACCGCTACAGCCAAGAATGCACAAAACCATTACAAAACCAAAGTTTCCCAAACCAAACCTCCGGGAAGAGCCTTCTCAAGACCTTCTCAAAACAAAAGCTTGCCAGCAAAACGAAATTGGTAAAGCAATACATGACCCACAGAAAGCGATACTTACGCAACAGGTCCACCCGATTCTGCCAAACATTGATCAAGAAAGGCAGCCAATACCCAAAACAGCAAAAATATGTGGCAAAGCATCATGACACTAAAGACGCCAGCTCGCTGAAGTATGGCCAGAAACTCAAGATCGCTACGTTGAATTGTAGAGGACTAGCAGCCCTATCCAAGAGACAACAATTAACATACATAATGCAGCAGCACAATATCGACATAATGGCAATACAAGAAACCAAACAAGCATTCAGCTCAACTGAATCACATGACGGTTACACTTTCTATTTTTCAGGAAAGCAGGCTAACAGAGGCCCAACACACTATGGAGTAGGGTTTATCATCTCTCCCCAAATCAAACATTGCATTGTAGATTGCATACCAGTGAACGACCGCATGATGAAATTGAAAATTTCAGCAAAAGGACGTAAGTACTACATTTTGAATTTATATGCTCCGCACAGTGGCAGACCGAATGATGAAAAACACCCCATGCTTCATCGTTGGGGATATGAACGCAAGAATTCATGGCAGACAAGTTTCTGAATTTGACATCATGGGGCACCACACTTTTGGGCGAGGCGCTGGATATGTACAAGAGATGCCAGGAGATCAACTAGAGAACAGACAGTATCTTATTGATTTCTGTAGATATAACAAGTACATCATCACAAGCACCTATTTCTCAAAACCGCCGCAAAAGCAGTGCACGTTCAAGTTTTCTGAGACGGAGGGTTTTGCGGCGCCATGGACACCGGATAGATTTGCCCAACTTGACCACATTTTGTGTCCAAAACGCTGGAAAAATGCAATAGTTGATACTGAAAGTAGACCTGATATTGCTTTTGATACAGACCATGCAGTTTTAACCACAAACATACGAATCAAACTTGGAAAGAAAGACTGCTCGAAACGACGAAAGACTGCGAGATTCAGAAACCCAAGCGAGCAGGCAAAGATGAGATTCAACGATGACATACGAGTAAATTTCGACTTTTGTTCATCCCGGGACGGTGTACAAGTGAACAACAAGAATTTCTCACAAGCAATCAAGCAGGCCGCAGAAAAGTTTCTAACCAAAATACCAACCGAACAAAAACAAGCGTACTTATCTGAAGCAACTTGGGGTTTGATTGAAAATAGACAAGTGGCTAGGGCACAGAGCAACTCAGACCTTGAACAACAACTCAATGCAGCCATCAAGAGATCAGCAAGATGCGACAAGAAAAAGTGGAAACTGAGGATGCTCGAAGATGTTTCATCCGCCAGGGCAAAATGGAAAGGCATTAAGCTTGAAAAGTCTACATTTAAACCTTCTTTTTATAAGTTAAAAAATATACATGGCCAATCAGTTCCACTAGACAAAAAGGCCGACGCGCTAGCGGAATATTTAGAACAACGACATTGGGCGTGTATCCAACACCTTCCACCAGACAAGGTAGACAAGAGAGAAGTAGTGGACACGCAACCACCTATCAATATAGGATCCATCACGATCGAGATACATGATGCTTTACGCTCATCAAAAACGAACAAAGCCCCAGGCCCAGACGGCCTCACAATCGAATTATACAAATATCTAGACGAAGACAACCTGAGGTTGCTGGCGAGAATCCTGAACAAAATGTGGACTGAAGAGTCGTACCCTGATGATTTTGCCTACGCAGAAGTGGTTTCTATTTATAAAAAAGGCAACCCAGAGCTTCCTGAACACTACCGTCCTATTTCTTTGCTGAACTCATCATACAAAATCATGACCAAAATATTGCAGAAAAGAATTGCAGACGCCACTGATCAGTTTGTAAGCGACACACAATTTGGATTCAGGAGGGGCAAAAGTACTTCAGAACCTCTATTCTGCGTGCGCCGATTACAAGACCTGGCAGAAGCCGGACACCAAAACATAATATTAATTTTCTTAGACTGGGAAAAGGCCTTTGACAGAATATCACACCACAGGTTACTTGAAGCTCTGGAACGAATGAAGATTGACGCCAAAATGATCAACAACATTAAGGCTTTGTATGAGCATCCATTCTTCAAAACAATCCATAATACTGAAGAAAGCGAATGGAAAAAAACAGCACTCTGGCATACGACAGGGATGTCCGCTATCGCCTTATCTATTTATTTTAATGATGAACGTCCTGTTTTTCGATGTGAGGCGCAAGAACAATGATGCGTTTTTCCAGAAAACTGTCAATAACATGACGTTTCAAGAACTTTTGTACGCAGACGACACTCTAGTCATTGCCAAAAACACCCAAACTGCAAAAGATTACCTGAGATACATCGAAGAAGAATCAGAATACTACAACATAAAACTAAACAGAGACAAATGCGTATGCATCACCTACAACAGAAACAATCAAATCACATTTGCAGATGGGCAAAAGTTGAAAAGTGTGGACGAAACTATCTATCTGGGAACGCAGATCAGTAAAAGGGTGAACCCTAAGATTGAAATCAATCGACGCATCTCGAGCACAATGCCGCTACTGAAAAGACTTGACTTGTTCTGGAAACAAGCGCGGGTGCCAACCAAATGGAAAATTCAAGTATTTAACGCAGTTTGTGTTTCCAAACTCTTGTACAGCCTGGAAGCACTGCAACCAACAGATGCCGCGGCAAGTAAACTGGATACTTTCCAATTAAAAGGTCTCAGAAAAATCTTGAAAATGTCCACAACCTACATCGACCGAACAAATGCCAACCATGAAGTCTACAGACGTGCTAATTTGGAAATTGGCCGAGGCGCAGAGGAAATCATCCGTCCACTAAGTGATGTTCTACAAGAAAAGCGAAGAAAAGTATTGGGGCATATAATCAGAAGACCAAGAGATCACCCACAACATCAAGCCACTTTCGCTACAAGAAATCCTTTGCCACAACAAGTTGAACAAAGAAGGGTGGGTCGCCCTAGAGCGGCGTGGACGTATGAAACAATGAAAGATTGCTGGCGCAGAAAATTTCACAATATACCATTTCAAATACAGAACAGGGAACACCGTGAACAAATAAAAACATGGGCTCTCAACCGAGAAGATCCTTTTTGACAGTCTTTTTAATTCACCTTTAGGACGAACAGCTGCTGTAGTGGTGCCAACGGGTCTCACCCAGACCTATGGTTTTGAAAAAAAAAATGGTTTTGCTTAAAGACAGGGTGCCGACAGCTTTAAATTTGATGGATACTCATGCTTCTCCCACTAAAATAAATGGTTCGTTTTTGGAAAACCCCATTTGCCCCAGTTTAGTATCCCTCCCATTTAATTTATCCCGTGTTACTGCGCCAAACATCACAACCATCCACGGCGCCAAGGGAAGCTTGCTGCTGATGGGTGGCTTTGATGGGGCGGATCACAACAACTCCGTGTGGAAAGGACGGGTCAAAGTGAAACTGGTCCCAGTAAATATGCGTATCTGGTTGGTGGTTTGGAGCATGGATTTTATGATTTTCCATATATTGGGAATAATCCTCCCAACTGACGAGCATATTTTTCAGAGGGGTTGAAACCACCTACCAGGTATAATTGTATACATTTGTAAATTTGTATACAGGACATGTAAGAATTAGAACTGTTGGTGCGTCCGAAGATTGTAAATTATACCCCCCAAAAGCCATTGAATGCGGACAATGATGAATTACCAATGGGCTGAGGGTGTTATATATGACCAACTATATATTGGATATAGATGGATATATCAAGGATACATTTTGGTATTGCCTGAATTTGGAGAATAGAGGTATAGGTATATAATTTTCGTTTGGAAAGGGGATCTCAATGTTGAGGCAAACCAATATTTGTTTTGACCTCCAAGTCATTTGTGCGACTTGCGCACACACAAATGCACACACATGTCTTGGGTTGAAGTTGGGTTGAAGTTTATGCTTCCGCAAAGTGAGGTAGAAGACCGGTGGACAAACATGTTGCTCATTCTTGTCTGAAGCATGATTGAACATGGGCGCTCATTGATTGGCCGTAAAAAAGAGAACACGTTTTTGGGGACACTACTTCGTGTGGGTTCAATGCAACGAAAGAACAATTTTTCTTCCACCGAGCACAGTTATGGCCCTTAGCAGTCATAAATGGAATTTTTCATAATTGCTATAACTACTAGTCATGAGATATTTTGCCAGTTATTTACACAAAAATTTCATCCAGTCGAGTGATTTTTTTTCCCAATATTTTCCCCATGGATTTTCCCATCTAAAAACGGCAGGTTCCCTTCACGTCTCCGGTGCCTCCGGTGCCGGTGCCATTGGTGCCGCGCTGCGCTGGTCCTTTTGCGGTGCTGCGCCTTGGGAGGCGCGCTACTGTCATCGCGTGGCGCTGTTGGATGACATGGTGATCATGACGGGCGGCCACGGAGCTCAAGGCGATGGAATGGTCAGCCTGGTCAGCCAGTGATTTTGGATGGCAAACTGTGGCTTTTTTTTCATGGTGAATAGTGGCTTAAGAATGGTAAATAGTGGCTTAATGATGGTTAATGGCTATGAATGGTGGATAATTGGGTGTCAAAACCTGTGACATTACAAGATTTGGAGGAATAAAGATCCACTGGCCATCTATTTTGAATGTTTAGATCGCTATTAATATTGAACACCTCCCAGAGATTTCTATGGGAAAAAATTGTCTACTTGTATAATGGGAACATAATCCCTTTCCCTCTATGATATCATCTAATAGTGGTTTAATTAGAATGGTGAATAATGGCCAGTAATGGTTATCAATCGCTACTATAACAGTTAACAATTGCTACTAATCCCTTCCCGCATTTTTATTAATTATATTAAACCTCCCCCGCAGAAATAGTGGGTTGGACCATAGCAAGGGCCTGTTCAATATGAGGTGGACGGGATACATTGGATACACCATAAACTCGCGAAATCCATGAAGAATTCGAAGGTAGGGATGGGTCAAAACCTATATGAAATTACCATATGACTGGGGGAATAAACATCCACTAACCAGCTATTTTAGGGTGTTGACCCATGACCATTTACATACACCATGATGATCCATGATGTAGTTGGTATAATTTGGGAAACCAGCTGGACATCAGACGGATTTTGTGATTCTCCATTGGAGAATAAAAAGTTCCGAGACGATGATGCTTGGGGGTAAGCTGCGGTGGAGGGTACTTTTTAGGTTTTGATAATCGTTCGGCTGGTGAATGTGTCCTGCCATTGTTTTTTTCCAGGGAAGAGTACCTAAATACTTTGATTTTCCAATTTTTGAAATTATGGATCCAATTTTTTAGGTACTCTTCCCTGGAAAATGTATCAAACTATGTCATCTTTTGATTTTCCAATTTTTTGAATGTGCATTAGCTCGCTGCCAGGTTGTACAAAGCTTATGGATCCATAGAGACGATCAGCCGTGATCAATCCAGAGACATGTTGGGGGTATGGCTTGTGAGGTGTCACAAAACGAACAATCAACAAACCGTTTGAAAACTAATCATTGAGAAATTTAAGACTGGTAACTGGTAGACTGTAGACTGTGCCTAACATCATACATATCAGTCGTGGTTTGTGAAGACTAGTTTTGCCTGGCATTCGTTTTTTTTAAGCATAGTAGTGGTGAAGCTGAGCTTCCCAGCCAACACCGGTAAAGTGGGAAGGGAACAGCAAAGGTTTTGAGTTTAGGCAATGGTGACCATGGTGCTTTGGGACAACTGACCCACTCAATCCATTGCTGGAGGTTCCATGGTCATCCCCCGATTAGCAGTGAAAATACCCAGTAAGAATAATTATGAATGCTGGTGGGATGACCATATATACATATATATATATATATATACATACACGTATGATATATATATATATATATATATACCCCATATACCATTCCGAGAAAATTCCAACAGACCCCCGGAGCATTTCGTGCCATAAAAATGGCACGATTCTCGCAATCCGAACAGGTGGTTTCAAAGACACGTGGACGAGTCCCAGTCTACATTCTTTGCGCGCAGCTGCATTGAGGTTTTCGTTGCTGGGGCGGTCCATGAACCGACGCTTTCTGCTATCGAAAGAGGTTTGGGAGGGCAGCATTTTGCCCTACCTGGTACCTGCAATTGCTTTGAAGTTGCTTGAGAAAAATGGGCCAGGTGTGTGAAGCTATTTACCCTTGTAGCTATTGTGAATTTGTGGGCTATACCCTGGAAGATTCTGCATTGTAGCGCATGGGTGAGTCGGGCCCCTTTCATTAGTGGAGCACCATTCCCAATCGTGTGGCAAACTACATTCTTGCAGCAAAAGCAATATATATATATATTATCTCATTTCGTTATCTTCGTTAATCCGAGAGCAATACAAACACACTGCCATGTATTAGCCTTGACAGCCTCCTTGTGAAATCCAAGTGATTGTGCTTTTTGGGCGCTGGGCCTCCATGTTTATTGTGCTTTTCCCTGGTGAAGTCGGCCATGGGCAGATTTGGGGAACATCTGGAAACATGCCATTGGGAAAATTCATCCTGGAAGTGGAAAAAATGATGTTTTTGATGAGGCCTTGGGCGAAACGGTGGGGTTTTCCACTGTCTCCGTGAAGCCATGGAGTCGTTGCCAGAGATTGCCATCCCCAAATTTTGATCATCTCAGGTTCGCCATTCTCTGGTTCAATTGCTTAACAAGCCCATATTTTGGGGGTGTCCATAAATGGGGCTATCCCATGCTATCATCCATTGATGACAGCCATCCATTTTGGGGTCATTTATTTATAAGCCATCCATTTTGGGCTAACCGGTAACCCCATTTCTGGAGTTACCCCATTTGAACTCGCACCGCCGGGAGGCAAGCTGCAGTCAGCAAATTGTCTAAGCAACTGCACCTCTGCGGTTCGCTCGCTGCACCTCGGAGGCATTGGTTGGGGAATTCCATAAATGGGGATACCCCAAAACGGTTGGTTTATAATAGTGGAACATACTATTGGGGGTACCAGCATTTTAGGAAACCTCCATGTGGGGATGTTATGGGATATGTGGACGTTATAGATGACATTAGTATGATATGCTCCCTGATGTCTATTTTTGCTGAGGGAAAATTATGGTTAACCATGGTGGGTTTTGGGGCAAAGTAACCTATATCTCACGTTCACTGGATAGGTGATGTCATATCAACAATGGGTGTGGAATGAAGACGTGACTTTTTTGTCAATAAGAAATAACGCCGCAATTTCGTGTGTGAAGCTCCCAGCATAAACTATGTTGTTAGTTTTGGGGATGTTCTCGGGGCACTACACCTTTGACCCGCAGCCATGGGGCAGCCAAGACAGCGCTGATACTCATTTACTGAGGTGATGGGGATAGAATTTATGGGTACCCAAAAGGGGGCTCCCAAACGATCAGGTGCTTTATTTCAGGTCAACGATGGGTTCTAAAGGATGCTGGAGGATTATTTCGGCACGCTTGGCCGATGTTTACTGATGAGCTTCAGGATCTTCAAACTCAAATAATAGTATTTATGTTTCGGATCATCTTGAATGTTCGAGGATTATTGAAATAGAAACATATAGAAACATATAGAAACATATATAGAAACATATAGAAACCAAAGATTTTATATTATAACATGCTCTTCAAGGATCCAAACTGGCGGCTAAGCCAATGTTCACATGTTAGACCCAGAAACAGATCCGGCAATCCCCAAAAAGATGCCTCAAAGTCGGTGCATAATCTGATGCTATATCACTCATCCAAATTCTGAGAACCTGAGATACATCATATATATATATTTTTTACTGGTTAGTGGTTTGGAATATGTGTTATTTTCCATTTCATATATGGGATGTCATCCTTCCCATTGACGAACTCCATCATTTTCCAAGGTGGTTAAAACCACCAACCAGTATATATATATATATATATATCCTTTGGTAATTTAACATAGCTATTGAAAATCACCATTTTTAATGGGAAAATCCACTATTAATGGTCATTTTCAATAGCTACGTTAAATTACCAGAGGGTATCCCATGTAGGAATATCTTCCATGGTTTCACCGGACTTTGAGAGTTCCAAAACAGCCCGGTGGGGGCCTTCGTGGTGTTTCGTGACCAGTGACCAGCAATTTTTGTTGGTGAAGAAAACCCCATCTAAACACCACCAAAAAAGGGCTATGTCTCCCACAGCATCCCAAGAAAAAAATGTTTTTGTTGGGGAATCACAAGAATATGTATATATATATGTATATATTATATCCCTTCAGGTTGACCAGCCTAGCCGCGGTTATCAGTTCTGTCCTCAGGACTCATTGCCTGGAAAGAGATGTCGAATGGAAAGCGAAGTCTTTAAGGCGAGCGATGAGACCATTGGTGATGTGCTACAGCATGGTACAACCAGTATAGATATGCACACATGTGTTTACAATATATTCAACATATATTCAACGAGCGCAGAAATACACATAATGTATATGTCAAACAAAACACAAGGTGTATATATATATATATAATTATATTATATTATATATATATATTATGGATGAGTTTGTGTGTATATCCTTTATATCCTTCAATTTTTCAATTTGTGCATCGTGATTCTCCTAGTTGTTGGGCGATGTTCAAGTGGGACATGTCACAACTCCTTCAGCAGGCTTTGCAGACCCAACGATCGAGACTGGGGCACAAACACGTGGATCTAACATGATTGCACCATACTTCAGCAGAAAAGGATCCATCCAGCAATCATGAGACACAGAAACATGTGCACAGGTATATAGCTAACATCAATGGGTAACTAGCTGTTTGAAGGCAATACAACCCTGAATCCCATGTTTGATACAGGAAGGCCGCCAGCTATAAGTTGCCTTATCTGACTCCATCGATGAGATAGAGCATAGCTATGCTCTGGCCAGTCGTTTGACGGCAGTGACGCAAATTGCCACATTATCTTCCCATGTTCTTTCCATTATCTTTCCAACTAGATAATGTAACAACCAGATAAACTAGTGATCATACTATTTCCTACTTACATGAAGTGGGATACCAATGATACATCAACTGGCCACTAGTATACGTAATGGCCTAGCAACCATTAGCTATCTATTATACCAACTTAATATAAACCTACTTCATACTAAGTGCTAGTAGGTCTAGTTGGTGATACTGTGGATGGTTGCGCGAAATCTTGCACCACCAATTTGGGATGGTTGTTCCACCCATCCAAAATCATGGGATGTTTACCCTCTGGTAAATTGTTACAGTTTGCTATTGAAAATTGTGATTTAGTTCGTGGATTTACCCATTGAACATGGTAGATCGTTCCATTAAAAATTGTGATTTTCCCATGAAAAAATGTGATTTTCCCATGAAACATGGTGATTTTCCATAGTTCTGTGGCTGTTTACCGGTAGCACCGTTGAAACAACTGGTGCTAGCCGGAGTTCGCTGGCCCAGGATGGCGCCTGGGTACTGGGAGCATCGGGGTTCGCTGAGAGGACGGTCCAAAGGGTTCGGAAGCGGATCGCAGCTGGGATCGCTGGAATGATATCTATCTACATGTAATTCATATTGGACATATCATATATCTATCTCAATATCTATATCTCTCTATATATATAGATATAGATATTATTATTCTATAGATGTATATATTTGAAATTCTCTATCTGTTTCAGGATGATTCTGTGTAATAATCACACATCTGTGCAATGGAGACATATTATGTGGAGACATATTATGGTATATCATTAACCAACTGAATATGGTTTCTGGCTTTCTCCGAAAATTTCGGAGTTGATATTCACTTAAGAACTTTCGGCAGCTTTGTCTGAAAATGACGCCTGGATATCCCAAGCAGCTTGACAACTTTGGTTTCAGGCCACCAGGAGATTAACGGCATTGCCAAATGCCTGTTGTTTTGTGACTCTGTTGCGCTGATGTCTAGAAATACGTGTTGAGACATCATTTATGTCTACATCATATTTACGATTATATACATATATATATATAAGCACATGTGTATACACATAGTTGTTCCTCATGAATCTCATTCGGCGAATGAATTTCCGTGAGTGTTGGTTTCCATACTGCCTCGGTCTTTTGCATTCCAGAGCTGGCAAGCAATGGTTGTGGCACCATTTTCAATTAAGTCTGATCTACCAAAACAACCATGATGCTTGTTACGGTACCCGTTACAATGTCATCGTGATTTGTTGAACAAATATGTGGTTTGATTTCAGGTTCATCGTCGTCTTTTGTTTGTCTTGGTTGATTTCAGAAAGCAAAAACGGGACACCCATGGGTTTTTGCCATCTAAATCCGTATATATATATGTGTGTGTGAGTGTCCCGACCTGGTTGTTCTTCCTTTAAACCATTTCTGGGAATATGCACAGGACGGGTCACAAATGAAGTACCTGAGAGCCTGAAAGATTGAAGCATGAAGCACCTTCTTTTTGGGATACTCGAGTCATGACCCATCATTCAATCACCATTTTGGCCGCATTCTCACGCCGCAATTTCAAATCCTTTCAAATCACAATTTTGAGATATTTTACTGGTTGGTGGTTTCAAACATTCTTTATTCTCCATGATATATGGGATAATCCTTCCCATTGACTAATATTTTTCAAGATGGTTAAAACCACCAACCAGTTTATTATGAGGGTCTCATGGAAAACCTTCACGAAACGAGGGGTTTTACATGACCCTACCAGCCCAACGCTGGTTTTGTTGATGTTTTCTGATTTCTGTGTTTTTTTCTAAAAGAAACCATTCTATGAATATCTTTATTGGTTGGTAGATCCCTCCTTGACCGCACAGGACAGAGCAGCCTCGAGAACTCTCCGTCGGGGGAGATAGGTAAGCGAAACGATCAGGCCAGTTCGCTTAAAAAAGGGCACGGGTAACAGCCCCAACAGCCCCCCTTTTTTTTCTCCACGTAGATTATTACAGCGACGAAAAAATCACCTCATGACAATTAGGATTTTGAGGGAATCATTCCAGGCCATTTTTTTTGTGTCGTGGGGATGTTTTTTTTTTGAGCAGTCGACCCCTTTTTTGAATTGCCGTAATTTTTGCTATGAACCATCCGTAACTTTGGGTGGTTTGATCATTTTGAGCCACCTGAAGATTCAAGATGTTAGTAAGTAGTGAACACCCTCCGAAAAAAACATTGTGTTAAGGGTATGGCTTAGGATATCCCTGGAAAAGAATTAAATTGCGTAAAGGTGGTATGGTTTCATAAAGCATTGGGTTTGCGACAAAAGGATTGGACCAACAAACATGGGGGGTGACAACGGTGACCAGCAAGAATCGAAAAAATGTGTTTGAACTAGTTTGAACCTGCACTTGGGGATGCATACAATATGGTATATCCCTCTTATATATGGGATTACATGGCTTATAAAGGGATCATGAACCACTTCCTAAGTGGGGCCCGCACATCCAAGTATAGCCGATCAGATTGCCAAGAGATTGTTCGCTACGCTAATCATGAGTGCAAGGGCCCCTGGTGATGGTCTCCAGTTGCAAAGTTGGATGGTCACCCACCTGACCATCTATGGTTTAGCGGTTTAGCTATGCTTGGGAAAATCACCTAGCTTTGGGGTTGAACATGGACCAAGCTGGCAAAATACGAAGGGAAGCTATCCACACAACAGTAGTGGAAGCAGCAAACTCATGGCATTTAAGCTGCTAGACCATTGGTGAATGGGTCAGAGGCCACTGATTTTCATGGGAGGTTGCTTGGGCTGAGGTTTGAAGTGATGTATAAAAGTGTTTTTTTTTGTGATGGGGGTCTTGATCAAGCAACTGATGCTGGCAGCTCATTGCAAAACCCCAAGCCGCCGGCGCATGTGTGAGATTGTTTACCCTGAAAGCGGCCCCTCGTTGGAGTTGAAGATTTCTTTGTAGAGACCGAGTAGAGACCCCAATCATCCGTAGAACGGCCATATGGTAGATGTGTAAACAGTTTAGATCATCCACCAAGGACGGTGGGATTTCGTTTTACGCCCCAGTCATGTTCCCATGTTTGTTGTTACCGCCGATGAAATGTGGCAGTGGAAAATCCACCATGGATTTGGCAATGGGCATTTTCCATTGCCACATGCCGCAACAATGGCAGGGTTGTCTTCACCTTCACCACCCAGTTCACCTTCCTTGGTTGGCGGCGGAGGGTGAAAGACGCGATGGCACCGGTAGATGCAGATGGTGAAACTGTCGTTAAATGATAGCTTCATGGTCTCCGCTATCGGCTATACATGGAAAACATATGTTATATTTGATGGCTTACACGGTTAAGTGTGTTTTTGTCGAGGTGGGTGCACATTGGGGTAAATCAACTCCTGAAAGCGTTCCAAGATTAGTGATTGGCTGCGTAGCAGACACGTTATATAATTGTTGTTTGCCTGTGTCTGTGGGGTGGCAGTTATCCTACAGGTGTTTGATCATTATGGGATTCTTGAAAACGTGATTTCCCATGACCCGTATCAAGGTATAGTGTGTCTTTCTGAAACCATAAAAACTATTTCAAAATGGAATCAAGGTTTGGAATTCACAACTTGCTTATCGCCTTTAGTAACGATGCCACTGTTGATATTTGTTTGTGTAAATGTTTCTGAGCCATATCTAAGAAAAAGGAAGGAAACGCAGAAATACCAAGGTATTCTCAAAAACAAGCAAACAATAATTTGCAAAAAACAAGAGGGTTTATACCATCAATGTCGCGGGAAAAGAACATAATATGCATTTGTTGGTTTTTACCATTTGTCTATTGAGAGCTTATATTGGATGCATCTGTGGTGCCATTGCTCGCGCTCGCGCTCCAGTGGGTCTTCCCCACTTTCCTCGTGATGAGGGCGTTGCCCGGGCATTGCATGCGTTTGAATCTCAAGGATTTTCCGTTGCCATTGCATCAGCGGCCACTCCATCAATGACTGGAGATTTGTTCACTTTTTTACCGAACCTGATGTCATCTGATGTCCAACTGAACTGGGAGCGTTTGCAAAAAAGAGGGGCGTTGTCAGATCGGGTTCAACAGGGAAATTTCTGGGAGGTCTTGGTATAAAGCCAAGTCAAATTCAATAGGGTTCCAAAAAAGGTTCCGGAAAAGAAGGATGGGAAGGCTTTGGTACAGAGTCAGGTAAGGTTCAACAATGTTCCGGAAAAGGTTCCGGAAAAGATGCCGGCTAAGATCTGGGAGGGCTTCAATATAAAGCCGGATTAGGTTCAACAGGATTTGCGGGCATTTAATTTACGAATTCCCTAATTAAAATATACAACGCTTAATTTGGCAAATATTTCAAAAAAAAATATAAAATATATATTATAATTATTAAAGATATTATTAAATATTATTATTAAAAAAATAATATTACATAATATTACGATATTATGGGTAATTAATAAATTACAAATAAATTATTTAAATTTATTTAAAAATTATGTTCTTTGTTTTATTTTATAAAATAAAGATAAATATATTTATTTTATAAATATATAATAAAATTTATATATATATTAAATAATATATAATATATAATATATATATATAATAAATAATATATAAAATATATAAATAATTATTTAATTAATAATAAATATAAATAATTAAAATAATATATATTAATTTAAATATAAATAATATATAATTATTAATTAAAATTTTATTTAAATTATTTTGTTTTGGATTATGTATTTTTTATAAATAAAATATATATTTTTATTACCCACTCCTAAAAATGTATTTTAGGTGGGGGAGAGGTTGGGAAAAAAAAATATATTTATCGTTTTCCAGGAATTTGATTTTCTAGGACCCCCCCCCTCCCTAAATACATTATTTGACCGATGGATGTACGTTAAATGTAGGATCCATGGGTCGGGATATCCAA